TTAGAATTGTTCACTCATTTTTACTGCCTAGCACTGCACATTGGCATTATCTTGATGGAAGTTTAATTTCACAGCAGCTCAGAAGAATCCCTGCTCAGCAGGCACAACATTGTGCTGAAAATAAACTGTTATAAAAACTCTTGCCATTCATATGTTTCATATCATCTATATTTAGTTTTTACACCAGTTTCTAGGATTCAGGCACATGGATTGGATATCCGGATCCTTGTCTTCTGTTCCTTACATAGAGACATAGGAGTGGATTGTACACAAGAACAGTGAGTCCAAAGTATGAACAAAGTTTTAAGTATTTCTTAAAGCAAATCAATAATCCTACACGACTCCATCTCTCATATTTTTCAATTGAATTACTGGAATTTAAGTCAGTAGCAAATTCCTTCCCTTCTGACATAATCTGCCTTCACTCCTTCCTGGGCAGCCCATTCAATCTGAACTGTCTGTTTGCCATCCCTCCTTTGAGCTTCAGTTTGTGCCCTCTCCTTATTCTTTCATAGTGATGTGAGGAGCATTACAGCAGATTAGCACAGAGTAGTTGTCTCTGTGATACTGTGGATTTGATATTCAGGAACCTTTGGCTTTCTAGATAATCACTGAAGGAGATTTGGAGGAAAGCAAAGGAAACAACACAGAATGCTTTAGTTGTAGATTCACTTGGGGGATGTGAAGGGAGATTATATTTACATAGAGTTGATGGAAGTTTATTTAAATTTTGTGTCTGCAGTGAAATATGTTTTCACCAAATCATAAACCAGTTCATGATTAGTAACCTAAATCTTTCCATTGTACGAAGATTGCACCTTGGTTCAGGTTTGCTGGACTAGCAGATTTATTGTATTATTTCTTTCTTAAAGGCTGCCTCGTGTGAGTTGATGCTTCAAATTCCTGTCACAGTCCTCAAGCATTCAGATCCAGATGTTTTTACCAGCACTTTCATAGTACTGTTTATGTTTGCTTTCTACAGTGAAGCATATTTTCTAAAAGTACCGTTTCTCCTGGTATCCTGGCTAACAACCTTTCAGATCAACTTGGTCATTCACTTCATGGCTGTTTTTGGACATTACTGTGTGCAAATTGACTGTTATATTTGCCTTCAAAATACAGTCACTAAACTTTACTGTAAATCCTGTGGAGCATTTTGAGATTTACTGGCAATGTGACAAGCACTGTACTAAATGCAAGAATTATCATTATTAACTGGACCAGGAGAAGGGAATCCAGAGCCCCCCAAAATCCTCTTCCTCATTATCATTTCCTCCACATTAATGACAACATGGGTGAATCAATACACTTTCTTGACATTCTTTGGAGTCATTCTCTACACTTTCCTATTTGTGCTGCAGTCTCTTTACCCCATTTAATTTTATTTGCACTAAAAGCTGTTCATTATAAAGTCATTTAGTGCTTCAAGAAGCCAGTTCATGATTAACCTACACCTTTCCAGTGCAAGAAGATTGCACCTTGCTTCAAGTTTGCTGGCCTAGCAGATTTATTGCCTTATTTATTTCTTAAAGGCTGCCTCATGTGAGTTGATGTTGCAAATTCCTGCCATAGTCCTCATGCATTCAGTTCCAGTTATTTTTGCCAGCATTTTCACAGTATTCACATTATTTAACTTTCAGATTACTTTTCTCTCCAGCCCTTGGCAAAATATAATATTTTATGATTTAATAGTGCATTCCCAAAATGCCAATTGAATCATACTCTGCAAGTTTGCTTAACTCATGCCTAAATTACAACATAAATCTGAAGCATAATCAGAGTACTTAATTAACAAGGTGCCAAACTAAACAGTGCAGCGAGCAAGAATGCATATTTGAGCATGAAATATTAACACTACGTTTCTAATAGCTTTAAACAAGGTGAACAAAAAGCTCAGGTTTAATTATTCTACACAGAGTGTGGTGAATGAGTGAAATGGATTTCCTAGGGAGACAGCAGTATCAGCAAATCCAGGAGGAAATTAGCTATCCATTTGAGAAAGAAATTGACTGAGGGGTTATGAGAGATAGATTAGTGCATTTTTTAAAAAAAACAAATATTTTGGAATCAGCTAGATAAATGAACTACAATGGTCTTTTCCATTCCTATATACAGTATTTCCTATGTTCCAGTATTGCATTGATATGATAAAAGATCAATTATTCTTTATTAGGTTTTACTGAATATTTGTTTCAGCTATAAATGTGATTGCTTATTAACACTTAATGAATATAAAGTATGTAAAATACATGTTGATTAACATCTATTATAAGCCAGAGAGTCTCTCCTCTTACATAAAATCCGAAATATTGTGCAACAGATTGAGATCAATAGAATTGCAGTTATTTGACAGTGTTCTTGTAATACACTTTAAAAACCTCATTCAGGTTTATGTGTTTGCCAATTAAAAATGTTTCTAATGTTCTGGAGGGTGGTCAGTGGCAAGGGAGAGCCTGGGAGAATGAATCAGGGTGGACCATTGGACTAATAAACCACAAAGCTTTATGGTAGCGTCTGTATCATTTATTTACTGCCTGTATTGAAAATGCATTAAGCATAAAGTTCAACCAGTGCCAGACTCATCCTTTGTGTAGCAATGTTGCTGCTCATTGCAAATATAGAACATTATCACTAACAGCTGTGAAAATCTTACATAATAATAATAATAATCCTTGCATTTGATATAGCGCTTTTCACGTCAGGAGGATGTCCCAAAGCGCTTCACATAACGCACTGTAAAGTGAATTGACTGTATACTTGTGGGCGAACGCGGCAGCCAATTGCGCACAGCAATGTCCCACAAACAGTCGTAGATTGAAAATGACCAATTTATTATTGTTTTGTTTTGGAGGGATTATTATTAGGCGTGTGGAGTAAGGAAACTCTCCCAAGGTTTCGCCCTCTGCCTGGAATTGAACTCAGGTCTCTCACTTGCAAAGCGAGTGCTCTAACGACTGAGCTACAGGACTCCATTATACATTAATATAAGTTTAGATTTTCAATGTGCAATTTAACCCAATAGTAATAGATGTGTACACAGTGGCAAATCAAAAGGAAATTAATAGCCAAATGACCAATAATAACATTTGCTGGGGATTTGCTATTGTTGTGACTCTGAACACTATTGTAAGCCATGTTTGTAATTGTCTTTAATACCAGCAGCTTCCACCGTGTTACACTAATATTTGGTCAGAATTCTTTCTTTTTGTATAAAATGATTTTCTGAGACACACACTATTAGGATTCATTATCCTTCACTTTGATATAACTGCTGATGCCCTATAGGTAGTGGAAGCAGCATATTTTAAAATTCCCAACTATGAATTTATTAGATTGTGTACAAGATTTAAATGAGTATCTACCATTAGCTCATTTAAATCTTAGATCATATTGTTTCAAATAAGAAAATATAACTGACGATTTTGTGCATTTTTTTTAAAGAAGTTAACTAAAGAGGCCAATCATCCCTTTCCCACTCGATCTTACATGCATTCGGGTAAAACTTGTGCTAGTTTTGAAGTGTCCTTGTGTTATTTAAGAAACATTTGATGACCAGCAACAGGTGAATCTCCCTTCACCACATCACCAGGTTGTTCCTCTCCAGATCCTGGTGGCGCTATTTGTTTTTACCTTGAGATGTGGGATTTTTGTTTTGTAAATCTAGGCCTTGCGTTGAGCTCTTAAGTTTTTTGTTGTGACTAGTTATCTTCCAGTGCTGTTGTTTTCAAGTATTGGGGCAAATTTCACGCTCTCCTCAGCCACAAAAGTAACTTTTAATTGATCAAAAATCCCTGACCTCAGGGTAAAAAACAGCAGGTGCGAGGATATGGAGTGAAACAATGATGTGCTGCCACTTACTGGTTCACACAGGTATTACTTTATGTAACTAACTATTACCACAATTTTTACCTCCAGCTGACAGTTTCTTGATGAATGTCTCTAATATTATTTGCCTGAAATACCCCATTACAACAAATTATTACTCCGAGTGGAAAGGTTCTTCCGAACATCGGCTTTAAAACTGAATTCACGACCGCTCGTCTCACTTTGCTTATTTAATTTGAAGTCATAATCCAGCTTTATTTTATCGTTTAATGTTTTAGACATCTTGATTCCTTCCCCACCGATTTTTTTTCTGAACTTTGCAGACTAAGGTCTGGAACTTCACCTTGTCTTCCCAGTAACATTGATTCTTAAATTCAATCTTAAATTGGACGCCGGTTCTTATTTAAAAACTTTGGGTGGCCATCAACCAAATTAACAACAACACAATTACATTTGTATAGCGCCTTTCGCGTTAGGAGGACGTCCCAAGGTACTGGACAATCAGTGTAAGAATGGAATTGAGAAATTTCCACAATTCTGCATGATCTCTGTTACAACAGTAACAATTTCAGGCTTCCAGTATCTCCTCAGAACCAGTAAATCCTCAATCACGGTCAAATCAATAAATAATTGAGGATTTGCTGGCAGCTGCAGGAATTACTGCAGCTCTGGTGAAACAATCAGGTGGAAACAGCACAACTCTGGCTGGTGTTTACTGAGGTAAGATCGCGGTGTTGCATGGCACCATGGAAACTGCAGGAGGAAGTGATCTGAGTGGTGTGTGGTGCTCTTTGTCCGTCTCACTCCCACCTCTTGTTTCTGTGTTGGCATGGAAGCAGTGGGAGGCGGCGCTCTGGCTGCATGGGGTGTTTCTGTACCTCAGAGGGATGTCTAAGGAATGGGACAATTTGTCTAAATGGCCTAATGGTTGCAGACTGTATGATAGCACCTTACCATCTGCCATGTGTAAAAGTTCCTTTTTGAAACTTAAAAGAAAGTTCAGTCAGTGCTCTCCTGAACAAGCCTTCAGTGTGATCCAGTGATTGATTGCTCTTTGACCTTATCTTGCCTGTGGAGTTCTGATCTCACCACTTTATTGTGCACGTTTAGCAATGCACTCTCAGCACGTGATATGCATCCACATATAAAGCGAATGTCACTCTTGTAATCTCCAGACAAGAAAAAACAGGGCAAATTCCAACCATTTCGGAAACTGTTTGGTAAAAAGAAACGGAAGGAGTCCTCTCACACACCCGTGCAAGTGAACCTGAAATCAAGTCAATCCACTGGGGATATTCGGAACGCCATCGAATCAGGGGATGACCAATCTGAAGATGAATTAAGGTAAAATCTCCTTGGAGTCCATAGTCTTCTTTATATTTATTGTGCATTCAATATATATATTATATAAGGCCTTGCAATATGATAACATCAAGTTATAATAAGCATTGGCTTACAGTGATCAGTGGTAAATCTGATAATTGGACAAGTCTGAAAAAGAACTGATGAGAGGGAGAAAATCTAAAGGAGATTATATGAATTCAAGTATTTAGAATAATATACAGATAACTAGGGATGGAACTTTAGCACCTATTTAGATATCACATCTGTGGAACAAAATAATGAATATTGTGAAATAAAAACAGAAAATGCTGGAAATCCACAGCAGATCAAACCAAAACCTGAATTTTGTGTGAAAATGTTAATCGCTTATTTGTTTCACACTATTTGGTGGTCAATAATGTTACTGCTAATGTGGTAACAGGTCCCTTAATGGGGTAAAATGTGCAGCTTTCCATATGCCATTCCTTGTGTTATTTAAGCTCAATCTAAAGAATGAAACGGTTTGAAATTTGCGATAACTTTATTCTAAGTTAATTCACTCGCCTGTGTAATGGGCACAGTCCCCAAGATCTCTGCTTCTAAATAGTCCTCTCTTCCCTCTAAACTTCCAGCAGCCGGATTTCTCCCAGATCTCAGTTAAAAAAACATGTAAAACCTGTTTATATAGTCAGTTTCCTGAAGTGCACAAAATTTATTGTTGAGATATCTCTCAGATTCTAAGGTACGTTTGAAGGGGAGTATTCACTGCAATGTTTCATTTGTTTTTCACAATTTTTAAACTACTTCTGAGTTTTTGGTTTACTCTCAACCATCTTCGGTGCCAGGGTGTCAGGTTGAGGATAAGTCCTAACCCCTCTGAGAGATGGCTTCTTCCAAGTAAGAACATCCTTTTCCTTTTGTTAGTCAGTCATTCTCCTCTTCCTCTGACGCTATGACGGTACCTTCTGAACATTCAGCCATGGTCTGTGAATAAATCCTATGTTTCCATACAAATGTATGATTATTAAGAAGTGACTTCATCATTTTAGGATTCTTTAAAGGTGTAAAAAAAACTTATATTAAAAAAAATTAAATGAAACCAAGTTAAAAGTTGCCAACGAACATTATGGAGGAGGAATCTTTGAGTTCCTCTTGGAAAGAAAATGTAGGTCAAGTTTCAGAGAAATAAAATCTGTCTCTCAATCCCTATCCTTTCATCTGCCAGAACAATGGAATAGCTTTGGACATAACCATCTTACCTAATTCAAGTGAGAGACAGATAGGTAGCAAAAAATGGAGGTTGTGATGAGTTAAGACATACAGTATCTTGAGTGCCTCAGTTAGTGTGCCTCAGTTTTGTAGCTCCTCAACTACTCATTTGAGTGCTTGAAAACGTAAAGGAAAGCAAGATAAATCTAGGCACAAAACATAAACTCCTGCAATAGGAAGTCTTTCAACTGGGATACTGTGGGGAATTAAACCAGCTAAGTCTCCAAGACTCCTGAAGACTGAAGGAACTATATAAGCAGTTACAGTGGGAGTTCAGCACCAAAAGACTCACCTTGCAAAAGTCAGACGTGTCCTTGGAAAGGAATGAATGTGGCAGAATGGAGGGCAGCCCGGTTGTTACAGGTGGCATCACATGGACCACATCCATCATCTAATTTCACTGACGTTGGTACGTTTCACATTATTTTATCAATAATCTTTATCTGATATTTTGAACATCACAAGCATATTGTATAATATGTTTTGTAAAATGAAATTATTGACCAAAATGAATTAAGCAAAGAGCTTTCCTCTTTATATCTCCTCAGATGCTTGTCCCAGATGTGAGCATGAAGCTCAAGCTATTGTAAACACAGCAGATTGTATTTCAGGAAGACGAAGTCTCTGCTCAAAAAATGTGAAACAAAATCCACGTGTGGTGTGGTTTCATACAGGGTGATTTCTAATGGGATTCCTTCATAAGTAATACAACTTAGACCTGTATTCCATAGATCTGTGTATTGGGGCTTTAAACAAGCAGGGAGTTGGGCAGGCACAGCTTACAAGGATGGAGGCTGCAGACTACAGGTGTTTTCATAAAACTTGTAGCTGCCATTAAGATTTTAGATCTCAAGTTGTGACCTTTTCAAAGCTGCTTTCCTGGACAACAACAATAATAATAATCCTTACATTTGATATAGCGCCTTATCTCATTTCAAGATGTCTCAAAGCGCTTCACAGAATATATTGTAAAGTGAATTGACTGTATATTTTGTGGGCGAAACTTTTTAACTAAATTAACTTAACTACCTTTTAACTAATTGTTTTCTCACATCACAATATTTGGTTAAAGAAAATCTACAAATATACCAAGCATTTTCATAAGGAGCAGGCAAGGTTAAGGGATTGGGGTGAGGGGTCCTAAATAAGATCACATTTGGGGGCCCTTTGAACTATGTACTCAAAATATGCAACAGTACCTTTTTAAATTACTTTCTTGCGTGACTTCCTAGTTGAAAACATGTCAACTATATGATGAAAACTCAGTGTACTTGTCAAAACATGCTCAATAGACAAGATCGCAAGTGCATTAAATCTCTCCTGGATCATTGTAGATCCGAGTGGGTTTTTGATGAGACTCATCGTTGAGAATGAGCGTTCACCTTCACTGTGAGTGTTAAGAACACATGAAGAGCAACTGCAACATTTGGAAAGGTTGTTTCCACCAATTGATTCTGTTTCATATACTTTAGCATTTCTCGCAGAGTTTTCTCATCCTTAATATGTGACATGAAATCCAGAAAGTGCACAAATTCATCAACACTGTCTGCATCAAAATCTTTTTTCAGTGCCGCTAAGATAAGCTCTATTACTTCTAACATTGCTCCCGCTCCTCATGGAGGTATAAATCATATCTCCCACTTCACCCCTCTTCCCATCACTGCCTTGTGCCTCGAACACCCTGGTGAGTGGCCACGTGGCGAGTATTGCTATGAGGCAGAGCTGTTAACTGACTTATTGGTTAATCCAGCCCTGATAGGGAGGATTCCTCCTTAATTTGCTTTATCCCTTCTGTCTCTCTAGTTACTTTCCTATTCTCTTCTCCCAGGTTGTTTGACACTTTATTTTGACTCATTTGTCTTTCCTTCAGTGGGCTAGTTCTACAGTACAATGACAACAACAGCATGCAAGAACTGATGCCAGTGATAACTTAAAGTCTCTGAAGGCAGCAATTTTGAATTCCTGGTTGCTAAAATATCATTGACTTCCAAGTCATCAGGTTGCTGACAACATCACCTCCTGTGCCTGTCCACAGCATGCTTGCCATTATGGCACTGGCTTGTATTTTCCGTGCATTATGATGAGGCTCTACTGTATTTTAAAAACATATGCTCTGCTGGAAATGCTAAAAAGTGTCTCCCCGATTTAAAGAGAAGGCACCACAAAGACTGGAAGGACATCTATCAAACTGAACAAAGTGCAGTTTATTTCACAGTGCAAAGTAAGGACGGCTGGTGCAGAGTGCGTTCTGCAGTGCTCACCACTCATGGAATGTTGCCAAAGGTCCAATACACACTTATGTACTGCAGTAATTTGGGTATATTCCAAAATGTTAAACGTGGCATGAAATCAAGGCCTCCGACTGGTACAGGGCATGCTGTCCTCAGCAACTCTTCCACATGTAGTCATAAAAAGATACCAAGTGGAGATAAGATTACAGTTATATTTTCATTTGCGCTTTACATTTCAGTATTCCGAGAAGCTAAAGCCTGTGAAGGACGTTATAAGTTGTAAGTAAGTTGTCCTTAGGTATTGAATATGTGTCAGCCGGATGTACGGAAACAGATCTCATCTTCTTCCCCCCACTCAGCTCTCAATGTTGACGTCAGTGAAGAGGATTGATCATTTGATTATATGCTTGCCAAACACGCCACATGACTGCTAGTTAGCAGGACTGTGACTATTACTAAGTAAAAGCTAAGTAAAACTAGCTGACAGTTCAATGCTGTGATTGGCGAGCTGAAAGGGTTGCATGCGACCTGCATGACCTAGCTTCAGTGGTACTGGTGTTGATTTTCATATTTGATAATAATAATAATAAATATGATACTGAAGAAATTTCTAAAATTAGAGTACAGGTCAGACCCCATTACCTTCGAAATGTAAAGGTTCACAGAATTAACCAGAACATTTTTATAGATAACAAATACACGAATTTGGGCAGAAACCCTCCCGACACTAAGAACCATTTTGCAGGTAAAGAAAGTCAAACAATGTAGATTACGAGTATCACACTAAAGCAGAGAAAATGTTAAAGGAAGCATTAAGTGAGGCCATAAGGAAGAAGGAAGGTGGGTGTCACTTTCATTTTGTGCCGTTGGGTGATATTAAAGGAAGCTCGTGCTGGTGCATTTAGTTTTGTTTGGAGCAATTTAAAATGAATGCAGTAAAGGATTGTAGGGATATTCAATGTTTCAGTGTCTCATCAATACAAATCAGAGAGACTGTGAAGGCACCAAATGTTAATGCGTCCCAAGACGTTTACTGTCATGCTTGAGTTGCTGTAATTGTGGCCTACATACCTTAATCTACTCTTGCGCTAAGATATCTTGGCAGGTTTCAGTGTAATACGACAAAATCTAGTGCAGGTTTAAATGTTAAGCGAGAGGACCAAGGTTTGATTCCGGCAGGGCGAAACGTTGGGCAAGTTTCCTTACTCCACACACCTCTGTTTACCTAGCAGTAAGTAGGAACGCGGTTGTTATTCGATTGACGGATCACTTTTCCGGGCGTTAATAATAAAACCTTCAAAAAAATAATAATAATAATTTGGTCACTCAATCCACGACTGTGGGACACTGCTGTGCGCAATTGGCGTTTCGTCTACAAAATATGCAGTCGATTCACTTACAGTATATTTTTGTGAAGTGCTTTGAGACGTCTAGAAAGGGGCTATATCAAATGCAAGGATTATTATTATTATTAAAGCACCAGTTTAGATTAGGCCTAGCAGGTCAAAGCTTCCAGTTTTGGCTCACTTCAGCTTCCTAGCTTTCTCCTCAAATGCCATTTGTTATCCAATGATCCAGCACTAGATATAGTCTGTATATGCACACAATAATTTATAAGTTTTACTTATATGTCATTGGGTGACAAACAGAAAATGTTACACGGCAAATTTAAGATTGTGTCAGCCCATCTCATTTGGTAACATTCTCACCTCTGAGCCAGACACTTGTGTGTCAAGCTGTGTGTCAGGGCATTGTCCAGGATGACTTTCTAATGAGTGCTGTGGGTGTCCTGCAGTGTCAGAGGTGCCGTCCTATTACGAGACGTTAAACTGAGGTGCATTCTGTCCTTTCAGGTGAACATTATGGCATTTATCAAAAAGGGAACTCCCGGATAAAATTGATCATTCGTTTTATGATTGTTTATGGGACATTGCAGTGTGAAAATCAGGTGCTGTGTTCACCATCAAAATATAAAGCCACTACACATTACAGTAAATCCTTTGAAGCACTATAGATGGCCTTCTGACATGAAAAAGGTGCTACGTCAAATTCAAGGATTATTACTATTGTTTGTGTTGCAATATTGCTCTTGCTTGCGGCAAATTTCAGCTCAAGGGAATAGTCCTGAAAGCAGAGGATTTGTGCAACTGTATGAGAAGAAATCTAAAGTGGGTGATTTGACACAGCACCTCCCAGAAAATGGATTTGAAATTGGTTCAAACTAAGAAATTCAGAGAGGATTATTCAAGGGTTTTAGTGAGGCTGTTACTGACACAAAAAACAGCTGCTAACATTTTTGCCAGTGTTATGTTCTAAATTAATTTGCCTTGTTATAATAACTATAATATTGTTCTAAGTGATATCCAAAATATTATACTCAGATATCCGGGATCTGTCTTATACTTTATATTCAACTCTTCACAATACTGGTAACTGATCAAAAATGCAATGAAATTGTGAACACTAGGATAGGGTAGCACAGTAGGGTTAATGCACAGTCTGTTTACCTATTGTCTGGGCCAATTGAGAAGTGCAGCCGGAATCTGCTCTGCACACTGTTTGCTCGAAGTGGCGCGAGCGGGAAATCAACTTCGCCCGGCGCCCAGCCTGGACTGAGCTCCTACAACCAATTCTTAGTAAGTGCTGCACTATTCATTTACTATGTACTATGCTGTTGGACAATCTATTTTAAACATAACTACACGCCCATAATTTTAATCTGGGGTTGTTTCACAAAATGTGTCTCTCAATAGCACCAACCAACCCTCCGCAAATTTCTGCAAAATTTATCAAATCTCTCCACAATTTCCAGAGCTCTTTTTTGCGAAATGCCCAGAATTTGGGGCAAATATTTCAGCACTTTTCTATTGGCCCAGCCTATAGTATACGGGTTTGAATCCAAAGTAGACCTGATGGGGTGAAGAAGCCTTCCCACCAGGTCCTCGGGGGAATGTGTGCAAATATCATTTGATATCTACTAACCATCACCTTGAAGAATGTAAAACTTCACCAAATAGACAGGTGAAATAATAAAAATGTGAATCTTAAAAGGAAAATTGTTGTTTTGGTGCATTCCCCATTGTGTGTGTGACTTTCCATTTTTAGACGAATGAAATTATTAATAAATAATATTATTCATTTTGTTCGGGGGATGGAGCGAGGTCTCTGTGAATGCCTTGCTTTTCAGACAGGAGGAGAAATGAGACTATTTTTAATACATAAATTGATTGTTAGAAAGTTTAAACATTAGCCTTCTGTATCTGGTTGACTTTTCACAGAGCCTCCTCCTCTCTCAGTGGTGGGTCTCAGTTATGTGAGATCCGAGGTGACTGCAAACATTTCAGGGATACAATTACAGTTGCACCAGATTAATCACTAATTGCACTTGTGATGAAACTTTTCCCTGATTCTCAGCAGCGTTTCTCTTTTTAACTCCTGGAGTAGATGTTGGATTATGCAATTTGTGGTCATTTTCTAGTATTAAAATATTATGGGGTGTTTTTAATTCCCAGAGTAGTTAAATCAGAGATAATCTGACCTAAAGGGCACAATACAAGTGTAATTTGCTGTTGCTGTATCCAGCTAGCCAAACGTCCAGTGCTTCGACCTACAGGCTGGTAGTATATTGGATGGCATAGTTAGCTTTAGTCGCAACCATTGTGATGGACTCAAGGTGGGGTGGGGGGGATCACATCTGCAGACAAGTTGATAATTATCACATCACAGGTGGCAATCTTCACCTCATCCAGGGCTTGGCTCTGTGAAGGAGCAGCACTAAATGGGTTGATGACCTGCACGCTGAGCTCCCAGCCTCAGCCTGCCTGTGGTTGGAAGGTGAGGTGCAGAACACTGCTACATAAACATGGTATCAATACATAAATACTCTACATAAATATGGTCAGAGAGAGAACAAGAAATTCAGAGTGATGGTAAAGGGAATCGGAGACATCTCCAGGAACCAGCATAAATAAAACAATGTGTTTTTTGGGGGTTAATCGGACTACCGAGACTGCTGTAGAGGGTTAACTCAATTCCAATATTCCATTGCCATGGATGTCACATTGGAGGCAGCTGAACTCCAAGGACAACCCATTTACCTCCTCCACTGCTCTCCTCCCTCCAGGAATCTCACATGTTGGATAAGAAAAAGCATGAATGCAAGAAATCTAAAAGAAAACAAGAACAAGTTATAAATACACAGCAGTACAATCAGAAAGAGAAAGATAGATTAACATTTTGTCGATGACCTTTCATCAGAACTGGTCACACCTCCGTCACACATTTTAGTTCTCATGAAGGGTCCCAGAGGCTTGAGACATTAACTTGTTTTCTCTTTCTGATCCTGATTGAACTATTGTGTGTTTACAGAGCAGAGCAATGTTAGTGAGGGGTGTGGAGAGAGGAAAAAAAGGAAGGGGGAAAATACCTTAAGGAGTGACTTTTATGCTCAAATAGGAAAGACATTGACTGAAGTAATAAAACAAACACAAGCACGCAGTACCTTTCAGTTATATACTAATAATAAAGTACAATATTAGTATAATTTTTACTTTATAACCTATTTATAAAATGTTGGCAGGTCTACTAGCACCAGTATGGGTACCAGGGCATTGTCACATGACAGCATTTTTATCCCAGATGGTTCAACAGCTGATGGAACATCAGCACAAGCCATATCCCAAGAAAACATCTCAGGAAAAATTCAAAGCCTTCAGGTAAGAGATTTTGTAATACTAACATGGTTTATTACAAGACAGAGATGCAGTAAATACAACGCTGTTTATTAAAGGGCAGCGATGCAGCCACATTACAACAACAACAACAACAAGATTCCATTTATACTGCACAGTTGGGTCATGACCCGTCCTGTAGCTTAATGGTTATTAGAGCACTTGCCTTGCAAGTGTGAGACCTGGGTTCGATTCCCGACAGGGCAAAACATTTGGTAAGTTTCCTTACTCCACACGCCTCAGTTTGCCTAGCAGTTTACCCGGTTGTTAGTGGATTGGCAGATCGCTTTCCATGGCTAATAATTCCTCAAAAGAAAATAGTAATAATAAATTGGTCACTTCAATCCACGACTGTTTGTGGGAGACTACTGTGTGCAATTGGCTGCCGTGTTTCGTCCACAAAATATACAGTCAATTCACTTCACAGTATATTCTGTGAATCGCTTTGAGACGTATCGAAGATGTGATAAGACGCTATATCAAATGCAAGGATTATTATTTATTTATTATTAACATGCTCAGTCAAGCATACCAGCAAGCTTTGCTAAAGCACGAATTAGGAATTTATGGATCCCAAACACTGCATTATAACAGACTCTGCTATACTAAAAGTGAGCATTACAGGGAAGCGGCAGGCATGTTCCTTGTCGGCTTCATGGTATGTGACCCAGCTCAGCTTACACAATAGTCAGTGATTAAGCTTTGTGTCGTTAAAATTCATTGTTTGACTCTGAAATAACCTCAATTTGGAAAACATCAAATTGGAATGCAAGTCCTCGTTGAATTGATTGCAGTGAATTTTCCCTTTGTTAGTAAATTTACTAGCCTTTGGCAATATAATACTTCAAATCAGATTGTTATCATTATAAATGCACATAGGCAGGTCCAATAGATTTCCTATCAAGGAAAAAAAAGCTCCATTTTATTTTTGATTGTGAATCTACCATGAGAGTTTAACAGATATGCAGCCCAACTGATCGTTGGCAAACGGGGTTCAATTGAAAGAGAAATGCAAGGTACTTTATATAGGAAACAAAGGAGGCTTGAAATGTGACATTTTAGAGCGGATACTTTTGAGGCATACAGTATGAACATTACAGCACTGAAACAGGCTATCTGACCCAACTAGTGTTCACCTTATCAAGTCCTTTCATAATTTTAAATACCTCTGTTATATCCCCTGTAAAGTGTTTCATCTTCAGGGACAGGTGAAATAAACCTGAGACAATACTTTTAGATTTGTAAAAGCAGCAGAGCAGGAGATCACTGGTTCAGTTGTGAAGGTCAAGTTTTAGACAGACAAGTATTTCATTACAGATTGGATAATCAACAGCTGAACTGAAAGGGGTGTTTAGGAGCTGGGCTCGACTCATTTAATATAAAGCTTGATGCAATAATCCAAACGCAAAAGAGTGTGTATTTTGGAAAGATGATCAAAGTTCAAATGGCTTTCTTCACTCAAACCTCTCATGATTTTGTGAGATCCACATTCCTTCATGTGAAACTTTATCAAAAGACTTCCTTGGAAAATCCATGTTCATACTACTACAACTCAAAATAATATTCCATGTATGTACTAATAGTAAATAATAAGTGAAGTAATTCAATAAACCTGTTGCTAAAATTGATAAATATTAATACAAATGCTAAAGTTGTTAAAATGTCACATACTGTAATACAAAGAAAGATTAGGAGATTCTGAAATAAAAGGGATGACGCAAGTGGTATAAGGCACTGCTTCAATTATCAAAATGAGATAGGTCAAATTACTACAAAGTTGCATAACTACCAGTTATATGACTAGGTGGATCAGTGGGTTGCACATTGTCCTTTCGTAGCTGATATCCGGGTGTAAACCATCCCATGATGGGATGAAAGTCTCTTCTGCTTTAAGATTTTCATGTGGAAAATTTTACGGAGAAGTCTCAACACAGATCCATCAAATCTCAGCCAACAGCACAGCAAAGATATTTGCATATCATTAATCTAGACTGGATTTAACCCAAATCCCAGAGAAAAGTAGACATCTCCTGCATCAAAATGTGTATATCTATCTATGATTGAAACAAGGTATAAAGTACACTGCCATTTTTGATACTTGAACACTAATATTACCCTAGGTGATAGAAATATTGTAGTTTCAAGCCTTTTTAACTAAATTGGAACTCTTTAGGCATGGAACCCTTTGCTTTAGTTAGGATTTACATACTGTAACACTGAAAATTAATCAAATGCACAGATATCAGGGCTCCTTTCCCCAGTGAGTAAAAACATTGCCCTATTAAACCACACAGGCCAGAAAATGATAGACTCCATTCCAGGTTAGTGCACACAGGTAAGGTTCTAAATTAGCTTCAATGCCCCAGAAATAAATTTTGACATCAATTCTCTGCATAAAGCCCAGTATTAATTCCCTAGATAAAATTGACCATTCACTTAATGGCTGTGAGAATTGGCTGCGGTGTTTACCTATAAAATGCACAGTCATTGCAACGTACTATATATTCTGTGAGGCACTTTACAATATTCCCTAACATGAAAGCCACGATATCAAATGTAAACTTATCATATTATTTTATTATTATATTTATGAGTTATCATTATCTACATCTTAGTGAGATCTACCGTGAAATAGAAAATGTACTGCTGTTTACAATTTTCTGAAAATGGTGCATGCAAAACAAAGGGCTGTAGAGGACACAGCACCAGACAAAAACAGCAAAACACAGTTACTACATTTTACAGTAAAATCCTTGGCGTTTGAAACATCACCAAATTATAACTTTCTCAGATCAACCTTTTCAATCCCTTTCAAACCCTTGAAAACTTCCTTTGGGTCACTGCAGACTTTTATGAAAGAAACAAGCCCAAAGTCCTTCATATTTCCCAGTAATTTAAATTGTTGATACTTAGGATCATCGTGATTCCTTGAATCTGTGCCTCTAAAAGACATTAATATGTTTCCTAAGACTCAGTTTGAGACATCCACCTACTTGAAAGCTGTCATATAAGTGAAGGGCAAGTTGTCAACGTTGATTGTGACATGAACATAATACAGTGCTCCACACAAGGGTCAGACCATCATCTTATACACTGATAATATGCAATGCTGCGTCTTATCTTTTTTTNCTTAGCTTCATTTCAATGTACCAACAGCACTACAGCTTGTGTTGCTCACAGAGGTATGGTCCAGTTGTACTCTTGCATTATTTCTAGCCATACGATATACAGGCATTAAGTATATCTAATTATCACAATCTTGTGGGAAACATGTCTTCAATTGGATTACATTGTTTCAGTGTGGCACTGACTGTGTCCTTACCAAGTTTCACAAAAAATTGGATGAACTGTCATTTTGCTATGCTGCAATTATCGCTGGTAAAAGTTGTCTTGTTACAGAGGTGCCATAAAATTGTTCTTTTGAGATCTGCTGAGTACTGTACAACAGGAAGCATCAATAAAACGGCTCAGCAGATAACAATTAATGCAAGCTTTTGTTTATGCACAAATGGAAGAAGCCGTGAGTCATATAAGTTATCAACAGTATTCTGTGAAGCGCTTTTAGACATCTCAAAGACGTGATAAGGCACTACATCAAATGAAAGGACTATTATTATTATTATTATCACTTAATATGTCAATAAACTAGAAGCATTTCATTTTCTAGAGCCGTCAGATTTCTTGGTGTTTGCATTGCCTGTTAACAGACTCAGCACTCAGCAGCACTGCCAATCACTCAGTTTGATTTGAATCAGTAATCTTATTTTGATGTGCCACTCAGACAGAATAACTAGAGTCTTCAAATGGGTTTTCAATCATTTTCATGCTTTTCCTGATCATAAATTGAAGTTTTAATATTTCACTGAATGCCAACAATTCAGTTCAAATCACACAATTACTATTTTTACACCAGATTCAGTCTAGCCCTCAAAGTTCAAAACACTAGCTGGTTCAAGGTCCAGCCTTTGGCCTCACAAACCAGTCGCGTTCATCAGACAAGTGATAATTTTTGAGTAAATCCAACATCCAATGAATCAAAACTCCAATGCAGACCAGATATCCAATGCATGAATTAGCTTGGGGGAGAGGTGGAGGGAGAGGGGTCATACCCCTCAGCCATGTCTTTAGTTATTGACTGGTTTCATTGAGTGCATTTATTACAAATTGGTCATTCACTTCATTGCTGTAGGAAATTGCTTTACTCAAATTGGCTGTCTCATTTGCCTACAAATGTACAGTCACTAAGTTGACAGGAAACAATGGAATGGTTTGAGATGTTGCAACATGATCAGGCTTTATATCGAATGCAAGGATTATTATTAGAATTAACATGTAACCCCAGTGATAGTTTTAGGGATTATTGGTAGTGAATTTGCTATTGAATTTACTAGTGAATTACACCATTTCAGTCAGAACCTGCTCAGTCACACCTGGTTTTAAATGCAGCAACATTCAGGGACTGCTGACTGCTTGACTGGCCCCAGGCAGACTGGAATCGATAAAACATTTACTGAATTTACCGCCATGTAATTTTACTATCTACTTGTATCAATAGCCATTAGAGTGAAGAGGAAACTGAATTATTACCAGCCTTTTCCCTGATGCCTTTTGTATTGTCTGGTGCTTGGCACAGACATATCTCACTTGACTGATTGGTACTATAGTGAGGCTATAATCACTGCTACGAGATACTCGAAATTGTGAGTGTTAGTGTAAAAGGATAAAATGAGGGGGAAACACAGCAAGTTATCAACTTATCTATCATGTGCTGTTCACAAACACCAACAAACATATTGTTCTGCATTATATATAGAGGATATATTGCAGGATATCTTAATTATCAGGAGTGAATTTGCATAATTAAGAAATCCAAAAGGGAATTCCTTTCAGCAACCAGCTGGACATCACCTCAACTCAAAAGAAACCTACTCTTAAAATAAATGAAGTTTGTACATCTACTCCTAGATTTTTTATTAGAAATCTTGTAATACCATAAAAGTCACCCCATATATAATGGGAATGGACCATTATATAGTTAGAAATCCCATTGAAACAGTTGAAATTTTCAGGGTGCTACTTTGTTGTAATCACTTTTCATCTCTACCCGTACTTTATGGCCTGATCAGAGTAGGATTCAACTGAGAATAAATAAGGAAACTCCACTCACGATCTTATCACTGCTATTAAGTGACCCTGCAGCAGGCAAATTTGGTTCGTAAACTTTAGGCTCTGCATCAACAACAACATAGAATTATTTTGCATCTCTCATGTTAGGAGAATGTTTGAAAGCACTTTACAGAACCCGAGCAGGAGTCCGAGCTGGGGACAATGACGCAGGTGGGGATTGAAAACAGAATCTTATGTCTTGGGCAGGATTTGAAAGCAGAGAGGGAAGGAATGATGTGGAGGGGTTTTGGGGAGAGCGTTCTATAGAGGGAGGGTGTAAAGTAGTTGAAGGCTCACTCTCTGAGAGCGCAAGTGAGGATGTGAAGCTGGCCTGAGTTGGCAGAACGGAGGCAATGTATAAGTGAATGCGGAGATAGGGGATGTAAGGACATGGAGGCATTTGAAGGTGAGGATTTTAATGTTGATCCATTAGGGGATAAAGAGCCAGGAGAACCAGGTCGGAATAGGACTGATGGGCTCTTGGAGTGTAGTGTGGGAAAGCATACAGGCTCTGGATTTCGGTATGGTCTGGAGCTTGTGAAAGATAGAGCTAGGGAAGTGGCCAGATTGTGTTAGAAATGTTAAGTCTGGAGGTGACAAAGGTGTGGATGAGGGTCTCAGTTGATGGAGAAGGGTGATGCTGAGGAGATGGAAGAAAGGGGAATTGGTCAGAGTCTGCATGAAAGGTTTGAAGGAGAATTGAGGGTCAAGCAAAACACCAATATTATACATGGGCTCTCTGATTTGGAGTGAACTGACAAGGTTGATATGCTCAGCGCCTGAGGTAAGGAGTCACTGACAGGAGGATGTATTAAAGCTCTTCATAGGATTGGTTATGAACCAAAGTTGGCATGGGGGCAGCTGAGGAAGGGAGGGGAAGAGGAGACTAAAAGTGCAATGGAAAAAGAAAGATCTTAAGACAGGCTTTAAAGGTGATGAATGAGGGAGCGAGGTGGAGTTCCATGGCTGAAAGCTCTCCTACTGATGGTGGGGGGAATGAAGCAAGCCAGTGTTTGCTGAATGGAGGGATTGGCCAGGGCAGCAAGGTTGCAAGAGGTCCCAGAGATAGGATAGGGCAAGATTATGGAGGGATTTAAATGCAAGGAATTTGATCCACAGATGGTGAGCTTGTAGCACGAGTGAAGGTGGAGTTAATAGGCTCACAGAGCCTTATATGGGAGGGGGCATGAGCTGCAGAGTTATGGATGGTGAGGTTAATGGGCATTACTGAGGTTAATGGTCAATACAGAGTTAATAGTTAATACTGAGGATAATTAGCTACACAGAGGCTAATGTGAAATACAAAGGTTAATGACTTTTCCTTACAAATTACCAGCCATCAAATAAAGGGATTCAGTTAGTATCACATAGCACAAAGCTAAACGTAGATCAATTTATAATTACTTAAAGGCATCAGTTGGGTTACACCCTTAAAAATCATTGTTATCATTTATCCAATAAAATATATAATGAATGTATTGTCAAGTTAGTCTGTTTGCTTTCTGAGTGTTGATACGTGATTCAGAGATTAACTGATGCTGTTGAAAGTGAAATTAATACTGTATGACGATCTGCAAAGGGCTTGACAAATTTGATAATGTACATGTTTCAGGACCTGCAGTTTCAGGGGATTATCCTTAACAGTGGTTTCCTGCAAAATGTACAAGCATCTATAAATAGTGAAAGTAATTGTTTGCTTCATTTAGAGGTGCAAAGCACCAGTCTGTCAAAAGACAAACCCACCCCCAGAGAGCAGCTTTCTCTGGTTTAATATGATCAGAGTGAGCTCCTTTTAGTGGCTGTTGTTCAAAATGAAATAACACTGAAACTCACCACAGTAACATCATCACACTATATATGTTCACTATTGTTTAAATTAAGCATCGAATCTGTAACAATCATCTTAATTGTCACTGTTTGTTAACAGATTCGATGTGTTAATGAACACATTGAATAAGTTAAGAAACATTGCAATTTCATTGTTGCATTCCATAGACTACATTGGAGACTATTATTTTATTAATGACGTGAAACCAAACAGCTTTAAAGGATTCAATAATAATGATAACCGTTGCATTTTGTATAGCGCCTTTCACATCGAGAGGACGTCCCAAAGCGCTTCACATGATTTACTGGGAAGTGGAGTGATTGTGCATTTCTCGGCAAACACTGCAGCCAATTGGGCTCAGCAATAATAATAATCCTTGCATTTGATACAATGTCCCACAAACAGGCACGGAGTGGATGTACTTATAAAATAATAAATAATAATAATCGTTGCATTTGATATAGCGCTTTTCACGTCTTCTAGACGTCTCAAAGTTCTTCGCAGAATATACTGTAAAGTGAATTGACTGTATATTTGTTGGCGAAATGTGGCAGCCAATTGTGCACAGCAGTGTCCCACAAACAGTCGTAGATTGAAGTGACTAATTTTATTATTGTATTTTTTTTCTTGAGGGATTATTATCAGAGTAAGAAAATTTGTCCAAGATTTCGCTCCTGCCAGGAATTGAACCCAGGTCCCTTGTTTGGAGGCGAGTGCTCTAACCATTGAGCTACAGGACTCCTACTCTTATGATGTGGGACTTATGTCCTTATGAGTCCCACATCATTAGTTTTTTTAACTGCTTCCTACCTCCATTAAAAAATGGAGTCCTGTATCTCAGTAGTTAGACCACTTGCCTCGCAAGCAAGTGAGAGACCTGGGTTTGATTCCCAGCAGGGCAAAACGTTGGTCAAGTTTCCTTAGTCCACACGCCTCTGTTTACCTAGCAGTAAGTAGGCATCTCGTCGTTAGTCGATTGGTGGATCGCTTTTCCTGGGTTAATAATTCCTTCAAAAAAAATAATAATAATAAATTGGTCACTCAATCCATGACTGTGTGTGGGACACTGCTATGCGTAATTGGCTGCCACTTTTCACCCACAAAATATACATTCAATTCACTTTACACTATATTCTGAAACTTTGAAACTCTCGAAGACGTGATAAGGCGCTATATCAAATGCAAGGATTATTATTATTATCATTTGAACTATTTCATAGAATGCTGGAAGATGAAACAGCAGGGAAGGCATTGAGTGCAATTGATTCTCATTTAATGCATTCTTTAGAAAGACACTGAGGTGAAAGGCCAATTTTCATTGTGAAAAGAATGACTGATGTAGAAAGGAGTAGTAGTGAGGATAAAATAAATTGAGGAAGGAGTGGTTAGGTGACATGGGGCTTGGACTGATCCCAAAGGATCGAGTTTAAGATCTTTGTCCTCACTTTAGTCCTCCAGAGTCTTGCCCTCCCTACTGCTGATACTTGCTAAAAACCTTACCTACCTGCTCCCTCCGCTCAGCGGGTACTGGCCTGCTCCATGTCCCCAGCCCTGCCCACCCTGCCAACCTCACCATAGGCAGTCGGGTCTTCAGCCTTTCTGCCCTCACCCTCTGGAACTCCCTCTGCTTCGTCCCCTCCTTTGCTTCCTTCAAGGACTGTCTCAAGGTCCATTTGAGATTATTCTTGCCTAAATATAGATGCCACGGAGGAAAAATTCAGCTTGGGTCTTCATCTAGACTTTTTCCTTAGCATTTCGGAATGTGCAAAATTTGGGCAATTCAGTGTGAATTCTGAAGTCAATTTCTGCAGTTCTCAGACGAACCTACAGACTTCAAAATTCAAACTTCAAAATTACAACTGAATTTAAGAACTGTCCAAAATTTTCTCGCACCAAGTCTAGCACCAGATTGAAATTCCAGAATTTAGTATCAGGAAAAATATGAATTCATTGTAATGTGATGGATTCAAATAGTTTATCTCACTCGTTATGGGCTTATTCTTAGTCAGGAGATCCAATGTGGTGTTTGGTAATAATAATAATAATTGTATTTGATATAGTATCTTATTATGTTTTCAAGATGTCTCAAAGCGCTTCGTAGAATACTCTGTAAAGTGAATTGACTGTAATATTCTTTGGGCGAATCGCTGCAGCCAATTGTGCACAGCAGTGTCCCGCAAACACATGGAGTGGATGACCACTTTTATCTGGGGGATGGTTGGCCAGAACCTGGGAAAAAGCACCCATTTCTTTCCAAATAGTGTCATGGGTTCTTTAACGTCCATCAGAACAAGCAGATGGGTCCTCAATTCTAACATCCTGTTGATGGATGACACCTCCGACAATGCAGTGTTTCACCAGTAATGCTTTGGAGTGTCAGACTAGACTGTGAGCTCAGTGGATCTTGAACTCATAAACTTCAAACTCGGAGTTAAAAGTGCTACCAATTGAGCCAGGTTGACACTTAAATGAACTGTTTCATGGAGCATATATCTATCAATGGGCCTAAATTCACACAGTTTTGTGCGATTCTTACAATAATTGTTTCATCAAACTTTAGGCTTGCAAAGAAAGCACTACAATTTTAATGTGGGAGAGGAGGAGAAGGTTAGGTTGGAAATACTTTCTCTCCAAAGGATTAGAAGAAACTTTCTATGATTCTATTGCTGTCCCTTAATTGATTTGTGATTCAGAACTGGGTTCCCAGAGATAGGGAAGGTATCACTCCAAAATAGAATCATTATTAACAAAAACTGTATACTGGTTCTGTATCATTGATGATGTTGTTTCAGAATTGATCTAGAAGAAATGGACAGACACATGGGCATTATAGTGTATGGGGAAATGATTTTAAGAGTTCTGCTTTTGATCTGATAAACTGGCGAAACTGTCTTGATCATCCGAATGGCTTCCTCCTGTTCCTATGACTCAGAATAATTTTAAGTATTGTGTAAGATGTAGTGAATTTTATATTTTGTTCTTTTCCAGCGCCAACTGGTAAAAAATATCAAATTTGGCCATCCGCCTTCCAGGAAAATGGAAGACCTCGGAGCCAGCTCAGAGGATGATGGGACTCTCAGACATCCTTCAGAAAAGTCCTCAATGGAAGAGACACAATTACCAGGCTCAGGACTGAAGGTGTGTCAATTTTCACAAGCTTCCACATCTACAGATTTACCATTACACAATTGTAAACTTTCACCCAGTTCTCAAGAGTTATGTATTGCGACTGAATGGTTTACATAGATTTATATAGAATGTACAGCACGGAAACAGTTCCATGCTACATGAATCTCCAGCCACTGCTTTCTTCCTCCATCCCATACCCTTCTATTCCCTTCTTCCTCATTTGTATATCTAGCTTTCTCTTAAATCAATTTGGCATTTGTAGTATCCAACAGGCCAGTTTCTATAAGAGCATAGTAGAACATTTTAGTTTATAAATCAGCAACAGATTATTGTTAACCAAGACTCTGATTCATGCACCTATGCCATACTCGAGTCTCCATTTCAGATTGACATATGTCTGTTTACTGGAAGGAGTCCCCATTTATGACTCTGAGTCCCTGGATTCCTGTTAAAAGTTGCTGCTAAATCTCAATGAAACAACCTTCCTGTTTGACAGTTCTGGAATGTCCAATTTCTCTCCAGGGGAAGTGCGAGCACAAAAGGCAAACACATACACGTGGAGAACACAGGTTCAGGTTGCAGAAGACTAGGTATTCCAATCTCTATAAGTATGAAGTCGGGAATCTCCCGGAATTGAACCAGCAAAGATCTTGCAAATTACAATTATGCGAAAATGGTTGGCATCTCACTGCTTATCTAGGCCTACTCAGTCCATTAAGTTATTGCCTAATGGATTTATCAGTAAGTGTTACATTCTCAACAAACAATGTGTAGAACACTCTTTTATTTTAGATTTCCAGTTACACAATCCAACACCCTCTACTTAGATCGCAAAATACTGCAGATGCTATAAATCTGAAACAAAAACAGAAGTTGCTGGGTCAGGCAGCATCATGGACCCGAAACGTTGACTCATTTTCCTTTCTCCATAGATGCTGCTTGACCTGCTGAGTGTTCCCAGTGACTTCTGTTTTTGTACCCTCTACTCAGTTCTTCCTGCTTTCTCTCCCTCCTGATCTTCTTCCATTGGTTCTAGTCAATTGATCCTTATTTATTAATTAGTATCTAACAGTAACCAAGTGGAAAGAATTCCATCTCCATTATTATGCCTATTTCTCCTGTTGATCAGCCAGACAAACTGGTCAACTAAAATATATTGCTTGGTTCAGGTTTGAATCTTCAAGTCTCCACCAGAGTGAGAACATCTCCACTCCCCCTTCTCTGGACAGCTCACCACCTCAGAAATCATCATGATTTTTTAATCCACCCCCACTTACTTCCCTCAAGTCTTTGTGTCACTTGTGTGCATGAGAGGTCTTTGTGATAAATAATAATAATAATCCTTGCATTTGATATAGCTCCTTATCACGTCTGCGAGACGTCTTAAAGTGCTTCACAGAATATACTGCAAAATTGAATTGACTGTATATTTTGTGGGTGAAACGCAGCAGCCAATTGCACATAGCAATGTCCCACACACAGTCATGGATTGAAGTGACCAATTTATTCATAGAATCATAGAATTATTCAGTACAGAAGGAGGCCATTTGGCCCATCGTGTCTGTGCTGGCTCTTTGAAAAGAGCTATTTAAATCAATCCCACTCCTCTGCTCTTTCCCCATAGCCCTACAAACTTGTCCTCCCCAAATAATTATCTACTTCTCTCTTAAAAGCTGTTATCGAATCGGCTTCCACCACCCTTTCAGGCAATGCATTCCAGATCCGAACAACTCGCTGCGTCAAAAAATTTCTCCTCACCTCCCCTCTGTTTCTTTCAACAGCTATTTTGAATCAGTGTCCTTGGGTTACCGACTGACCCACCCACCAGTGGAAATAGTTTCTCCTTGTTCACCCTATCGAATCCCCTCATAATTTTGAAAACTTCTATTAAGTCTCCTCTTAGCCTTCTCTGCTCCAAGGAGAATAATCCTAGCTTCTCTAGTCTCTCCTGATAACTGAAGTCCATCATTCCTGGTACCATCCTGGTAAATCTCCTTTGTACCCTCTCCAATGCCTTGACATCTTTCCTCTAGCTGAGGCCTAACCAGAGTTTTATAAAGGTTCATCATAACTTCCTGACTTTTGTATTCTATTGTTCTCCCTATACCCAAGTCCAGGTCATTTATACCAAAAACAACAGTAGTCCCAATAACGACCCCTGGGGGGCACCACTGCACAATTAGAAAAACAACCATTCACCATCACTCTCTTCTTTCTATCTTCCAGCTAGTTCTGTATCCATGCTGCCACTTTCCCTTTAATACCCTGGGCTGTTAGACACAATTTGCCTTTTAACAAAACCGTGTTGGCTGTCCTTTGTTCCGATTATAGTCTCTAGAAGTTTCCCCACTACTGACGTTAGGCTGACTGGCCTGCAGTTCCCGGGTTTATCCTTCTGCTTCTTTTTGTACAGGGGAGTAACATTTGCAACCCTCCAGTCCTATGGCACCACCCCGGTGTCCAAGGAGGATTGAAAGATTGTGGCCAGAGCCTTTGCTATTTTCACCTTTACTTCCCTCAGTAACCTAGGATGTATCCCGTTTGGACCGGGTGATTTATCTGCCTTGAGCACCGTCAACATTTTTAGAACCTCCTCTCGGTTTATTCTTATCTTATCCAATTTTTTTACCCTCTCCTCCGATACTGTGGCAGTGGCTGCATTCTCTCTTTTGTGAAAACAGATGCAAAGTACTCATTTTATTATTTATTTAATAGTATTCAAGGATTATTATTTACTCGGAAAATCCAATTCTTAGCATTAAACAATTGGAGGCCGACTGGGAGCCTGAACTAGGAGTGGGGGAGCTGAGGAAGGTGGGTTGGAGCAGCAGATTAACCAATAAACCAGTTAAGGCATATTTTAGGGTTCCAAGGTCTGAGGGGGCCCCAGATATTGTTGATCAAGGTGTGGAGGGAAGTGACAAGGCGGAGGTACTCTTGGATGGAGTTCCAGAGTGTGGAAGCATGAAGCAGGCCAGTGTTTGCTGATCGGAGGGAAGGGCTGGGGTGATAGAATTAACTTTAAAAATACAAACACAATGATATAATAAAAATAATAATCATTGCATTTGATATAGCACCTTATCAAGTCTTCAATGCACTTTTAGTATCATATTAGTTATTCCATTAAAATGTAAGTAGCGTTACCTCCTTTCCCCTCCCCTCTCACAGACTCTTCATTTTACGTTTCATCAGTCTTCGCTTCATCAGTGTTTTTGTTAATCTTCCCTTCCATTTCATTTTTCCCTTCTCCAGTCCTATCATTCATCCAAACGTCTAAGATCCTTCAGTTTAGGTGGAACAGAAAGTGAAGAGCAAGAGCAGGTAACTTAACTATACCAGATAATATACAGTATATATATGTTTGCTTATTTCTAATAAACTAGAAATTAAGGGTAGCCATGATCAGTGGTGACAACACTAGTTTTGTTCTATGCTTATTACAGGTTCTGTTATCTTTGTTTTGGTGTGAAATATTTGTCGCTCAAATCTTTCTAACATGAACAATGGAGAACATTTCCTTCTGGGATTGACCCATTAATTTATCCCTCCCTTCCCTCCACCCCCTCCGCCTCCACTACCCCTCCCCACTCCATGGCTTTGGCACATTAGTAGAACCGGAATGAATTCCCAATGCAAAGTGTTATTTTTGGGTTACAAATGGTGTATCTATCAACAGTAAAGAATATGAGGATACAGCAAGAGCATGGAACTAAACGGATAGATCTTTCAGACAGCCAAAACACACATGATGGCCTTGTAAAGTAAAGCTGTTAGGTGATTTGAGATGATTGAAACGGTGCTCTATAAATGTAAATTTGTATTGTATTATAAATTTATACGGTTCGAAGTTGCAGAACACGAAAAGCAAGTAAATAAAGTTGGCTTCCAGTTAAAAAAAANTGACTGAAGATCTGCTTCAATACCATCAGATTAGAGGCAGTTGCAGCTGTTAAAACTGGATAGTCAAAGTAGTTGGTGATCTGAGGTATGATTGACAGGCAGTCATTGTTGGTGTAGAGTAATGAATGAAGTTTATAGTATTTGATAATACCTTCCTACAGAACCCATCATTAAACACCACAAACTTCACCCCATTATTTGCTGAACAAGACTGGCCAAAACTAAAACAAATCCTGGTGACAAATCCCTTTGCATTGTGAATCTCTGCATTTTTAGAATCTATTTCTTTTATGTCATTTTATATAATATCTTTATGAATGCAGCTGTTCTTTTTTAGGTTACTCCTGTCCGGTCTTCACGTCCCATGAGCGCCTTCTCTTTGGTGAGCTCTGTTGGCACCATTGAATCAATCGATCTGGATGCAGTCCCGCAGTCTGCAGATCGCCTCGACAACACTGCCGCAAAACACAAACTCTCCGTCAAACCACGGAATCAGAGAGTGTCCAGGAAACATAGACGACTGACACAGGTGAATTATTTTGAACCTCTTTTGTTTTGGAGTTGAGGCAGTTGTCAACCATGATATAATAATAATCCTTGCATTTGATATAGCCCCTTATTTGGCCACCAAATATACAGTCAATTCACTTTACAGTATATTCTGTGAAGCGCTTTGAGAAGTCTAGAAGATGTGAAAAATGTTATGTTAATGCAAGGATTATTATTATTCAAAACGCAAAATGATTATTATTATTTATTAATATCATGACTTCAAAACATCTCAAAGCACTTCACATTGTATTGTAATGCAAAACTCATGCCTTATTGCTTCCGCTGGGGAATATTAATAAGACAGCATCCCAGGAATGATGTCCTACTTGAGTGAATCTCAGTATGGTTTTACATCACATGATATCGGCCAACGATAATGACCGCGATCAATGATCAAACCAGCTACATTTGAAAGTGGTCTGCGATCCAAAGCTTTATATTTCGTAGAAGTTCCACTAACACGAGTGCTATGTTTATTTTGCGGGAAATGATCTGGAGTGGAATCCGATTTATACTTCTCCTTCCACATCGCATCATATTGGGAACTCTTTGGGAGATCAGAGGACTGAAATTTCTCATGGATTTAGCATTGTGACCATTGTCTTAAAATTCAACATCATGCAGATATTTGGAAAATTCTTGAATTGTTTTTTAATTTGGAGGTCAATTTCCACAGTTCTTTCCAAATAAAAATGTTCTGGTAGAAAAAAAAACTTCCAAATTGAAACTAAATTTTCCCAAATCTTGCCAGAAAATAGCATAAGGAACAGGGTCCACCTGAAATCACGACTTACGCTACATGTTAGTCAATGAATTGCTGCTGATAATATATTGATTCTCCATGAACCGTGTGGTATAAATGTACCATAGGCCTGCTCCACTAGATTGTACTATTAATCATCGGATTCACAGTAATGGAATAAGTAATTATAAATTAGTTCAGTTTTATTTTTTATTAAACATCATTGATAAATCATTATCACTTGATCCTCCCCATCCTGATCGCTGCTGTAAGAAAGAAAGTGGGCTATTACTTGAGGGCGCTAGCCTGAGAAAGACAAAGGGTTAAAATGTTTGAAGAAATTAATTATCGAAAACTGCTGATCTACTTTTAAGATTTGACAGTAAGGGAAAGGCTCAATTGATTTTCATCAATTGTTACTGGCAAGTTAAAGGATTTTTACAGTGGCTTCAATACTGGAATAAATACAAAATGAATACAGGGGATAGTTTTTGCACTGGCATATATTTCACTAAATATTTTTAAATATAAAGATATACTTGTGCCAAATATTGGCTACTAGTGTTTTGACAGATATTGTGCTTAATTGCAAATTGTATGAGACTAAAGAAATGTATTTGATTCTTTCGTACCTTCAGGATGTACAGAATATGACTGTAATTGAATATGAGCTTGAAGAGGAGCAGGTTTATACTGGGAATGAACAAATGGATTACAAGGACGCGGAGGAGAAAAGAAAGGAAGATCAAAGGTATCAGATAGTTGAAGAGCAAAGACGCAAGGAGAAAGCTGAGAATCATAAAAGGCTGGAAGCAGAGCAAAGACAACATGAATTTGAAGAACAACAAAAACGGGAAGAAAACCTTAAAAGGGAAGTTGAAGAACAGAGGATGAAAGAAGAAGAGCAGAGACGCTTGGAAGAGGAGGAAAAGCAAATACGAGAGGAAGAAAAGAGGCGCGTGGAAAATGAACATCAGAGAATACAAGAGGAAGAACAAAGACGTCTCAAAATAGAAGAACAGCGAATGCAAGAGAAAGAAAGACGTCTAAAAGAGGAAGAGCAGAGAATACAAGAGGAAAAACAGAGATGTCTCCAAGAGGAAGAACAGCGACTACAAAAAAAGAGACGTCTAGAAGAGGAAGATCGTAGAATACAAGAAGAAGAAAAAAGATGCCATGAAATGGAAAAACAGAGAATACAAGAGGAAAAACAGAGAATTCTGAAAGAACAAAGACAGCATGAAATTGAAGAGCAACAAAAAAGGGAAGAAAAGCAACATAAAGAAACAGAGGAGCAGGAAAAGAGTGAACAAAGGCGTTGTGAGGTGCAATTGAGTCAAAGACTGGAGGAGAAGGAATTCCATCTCCAAGCTGATGAAAAAAAGCATCTGGCAGAGGAAAAAGCAAGGCAAAGAGAAATGGAAAAGAAAAAACACCAGGAACAAAAGAAGAGGCAGCGCAAATTGGAGAAACTGCAAAAAGAAGAAGAGCAGAGGCAAAAGGAGGCTGAGCTGTTAAGTCAACAAGAACAATGGCTCCTTGAGGAACAGGAAGAGGAGCAACGCAGAGGAGAACTTAGGTGGAAAGAATTGGATCAAAGGCAAACATTATCGAGGCCATTTTCATTCCAGGTTTCATCAGGAGAAAAGCAAATCATTTTTCAAAAGGTTAATCTGAGCCCTGTGTCACATCACAGGGAAGCTGGATCTTCTGCAGATACAACTGACATAAGATCCTCCCCAAAGTCAAGTAGGGGACTCCCATCTTCACTGTATGTTCCCCACACAGCCATTTTGGTCACTGGAGCTCAACTTTGTAGTACAGCTGTGGATCTGAACCAAATTAAAGACACTGCCTGCAAGTCTTTACTTGGATTTTCAGAAGAGAGAAGAACTGTTGACCTTCCACCTATTGAAAACACAGCAAAATCCAGTCATGACACAAGAGCAAGGGTAAGCAAGTCTAGGTCCGGCCCAGAACAATCAGTTGACCAATCTCGATCTGCAACATTAACTGAGTGGGCGATTATTCGGGCAAAAATCATGAAAGGTTCTGATGAAAAATGGTTAGAAAAAGACAGGAGAATCCACAGCAGACTCAGTGATGATTGGACTGGCACCAGAGTTTCTGGTACACATAGTAATGTGAGGAAAACCCTTTCAGCCAATGCAAAATTTTCAATAACCCCTGCATGGCAGAAATGGGCAGACAGCAGCAAATTCAGTGACAGTGAGAATGTAAATATCTATCATACCCCAGAGAAGCAAATTACACCTGAGGGAACTGAGCCTGCACCAATTTGCACTGTGGACATATGCAAATCTAGTTCTTTGGCTTCTGATGACATAGTACAAGAGATAGCCAAAGATGGAAAAGAAAGCCCTAGGTCGGATAGTCAAAGTATTCGAACAGCAGATGCTACTGAAAGCTACAAGTTTGCCAAAGATCTTCCATCATTTCTGGTCCCAAGCCTTCCTATTATACAGAGGAAAGAGGATTCAGTGTCTCAGCTACAGTTTTCATTTGATAACCAAGATGTAGCAACTTTGATCACAAAACCTGATGAAACAGAAGACAAAGCAATAAAAAGTACTGAGGAGTGCACATCGCCTTTTGGAGTGAAATTACGACGAACACACTATTCACTCCGGTTCCACTATGAACAGCAGGGAGAACAGAAAAGGAAGAAGCGCTACAGTGCGGGGGATACTTTGGAAGGGATTCCAGCCCCACTAACCTCAAAAGAGAAAGAAACTGAATCTTATATAATTTCTACAAAGCAGTGTTCTTCCAGTAAGAAGGACAATAAGAGCAGTAATGTCTTAAAAGACAATTCCAATAGCATTTCAGACATTTCACAGACTGGAGGTACACATCTAAGCAGTATTGATGTGGCGAAACATGTTAAAAACAAACTTGCAACCCTTTCAAATGAAAAACCTTTATCAAGGCCACCAATGTCTCAGAAACCATCCTTAGCCCCAAAGCCTACACAGTTCACTCCGCCTCCCTCCCCCCAGAAGACAGAGTTTATGGAGATTACAGATTACAGTAGTGTAAAGATTGCATTTGACTCCACTGGGAGAAAAGGAGATAGTCAGGTTGAGACCTTGGCACAAAGCCACAGACATGAAGATGAAGAACCAAAGGAGAGAAAATGTTTTTTCCCTTCCATCAACATTCCATGGCGTGAGAAGGCAGACAAAAAGTTTGACTCATTGAAAAAAGGTAGGCCTGATCTATGGATGTTGGCTCAGTCTGAGACTGGGTCAGTTGGTAGCACTCTCATTTTGATAGCACTCTCACCTTTGAGTCAACAGGATGTGGGTTCAAGTTCTACATTGGGACTTTGTACTCACAGTGTAGGCTGATATTCCAATGCAGTGCTGGAGGTGTGCTACATTGTTGAGGTGTAGTTCCTTGAGATAAGATGTTAAACCCACTTCCTGTTCAGGTGGAGGTTAAAGATAATATAACAATCCTTGCATTTGGTACAACACATATAGATATGTATATTTGATTTGTATAAGTGCGACAACCAATATGTGTACAGCAATGTCCCACAAACAGCCATGGAGTAAGTGATTCATTTTATTTGGGGATTCGTTAGTCAGTACACCGGGAGAAACTCTTCTGTTTTTGAATAGTGCCAAGGGATCTTTAACCTCCACCTGGACAGGCAGATGGGACATTGATTTAACATCTCATCCAACGGATAGTACTTCTGATAAAGACACACCCAGCGCTACATTGGGGTCTTAGCATAGACTACATAGGTTCCAAGACCCAATGTGGGGCTCAAACCTGCAACCTTCCGACTCAGAGGCAAAAGTACTACCAACTCAGCCAGGCTGACATAATGTGGTACAGTTTTCGAAAAGAGTAGGGAGTTTCTCCCAATGTCCTGGCTAATACTCCCACAAATAAAATTGGTCACTCATTTCATGGCCTGTCTGTGGTACTTTGTTAAGCATCAATTGGCCTCCAAATTCACCTACAAATTAGTCGCTACACTTTACACTATATTTCTGTGAAGAGCTTTGAAACATCCTCCTGATGTGAAAGGTGGGATACGGAATGCAAGGAATTTTATTATTATTTGTTGACGTGTTTTTGTTTCAGAGTACCTCAATAACTGGAGAAACATTCTCCTTACTGGGAAACTGTCAGTTCTATAGGGGACTGTCCTATAGCTCATCGTTTTTTTTTAGGTCGGCCGGGTGTCTGACACGTGCGGAAACCCATCACCATGCTTAAGTGTATCTAACCCAAGCTGAGATTTCCATGCATCCCACCTACACATAGAAATCACAAAGATAAATTGTTAGAATGGAATGCGCACTCTCTCCCTGGAGGGATGCATCCTGTTTACCTAAGTCCGGAAAGTATTAGGCACAGGTTGGCAAGAGCCAAGGCTTGGGGACCTCAGAGTATGTGTTGGGGTACTGCTGGAGTCTAACCAGCTAAAACCGCATAGCTTGCCATTGATATTGCTGTACGGCAAACTTCCATCTGCTTGTCTAGCTTGGACAACCATACCCGTTAGGGCTTCGTCTTGCAGGGTTAACAGGAGCTGAGAGGGATGACTATCTATCCCCAGTGATTGGTCTGCTTTTCCAGGTTCTGCTGATGAGCCAGGTTAGCTGGGCTGTCATCAGCAGTTCCCTGGAATACTGCGGACCTGCCTGGTTTAGGAACCGAACTACTGAGACAGCCACAGAGGGCTGGCTTGATTCTGACATGCCATTGCCAGGCATGTCACCTTGGAGCCAGTTCAGTTCCAAGGAGACCCCATTTACCTCTCCCACAAGGAGAATCATCATGTTGTAGCTGTGCTCATCATCATATTGTTAGATTTGTTAGTGCTCTCAATAATCCCAACCACAGACCAGACTGCTTAAAATAATAATAATCTTGGACGTCTCAAAGCACTTTACAGGAATTACTGTGAAATGGAGTGACTGTTTATTTGTAGACAAACATGGCAGCACAATTGCACACAACAATATCCCATAAACAGCCATGAAACAAAAGATTAAAAAGTACAGAGTGGAAACGGTGACACGTGATGTGCTAATTAACACAAGATTGGACTCAGTGACATGAAGATAGTTAACACATTGGCTGGTCCCAGGTGTGTGATCCAGGCAGGACCTGCTCAATGGTTACATTGAGAAGCTAAATGAATTGGACTGTCAGTGAGAGAAATACTGTCTTTAAATAAAAAAATAGAATAAACCCAGCAATGTGCTAACTGGCAGACATTTTTGTGCTTAAAAAATAAAAAAACTTCTGAGTAAACTGGCAGACTTACATTACAATTTGTAAGATGGAATTTCAATGTGCAGTGACTGGCTTCTCAACACAATCACTGAGTAACTGTCCAGTTTGGGGAGGGGGAATTCTGTCTCTAAAATGCCAGTGGAACCAGTTGATGTGATATTTATTATCAGGTTTCTTCATTCAATGGTGTGTTAGTTAGCACTATGTTGGTGTTAATTTTCACTCCTCTCTGTGACAAGATTGCCAGCTATATAGAGAAAGGAGAAGACACTTGTTTTCTTTTTTGTCTAGTCAGTCTTATGTTATTTGTATGAATATTAAACAGCAGATGTTTTTTAACATTACCATGCAGTTTAGATAGGATAAGTGGTAGCGCAGGTAATAAATCTTTGGATTTGATATCGCGCCTCATCACGTCGTTGAAATGTCTCAAAGCGCTTCACAGAATTTACAGTAAAGTGTAGTGACTGTGTCGGTATGGTCGAAGAGGAGGGTCATGAAGCATGCCTTGAATGAGGCAAAGGGGGTAGTGAGGCAAAGGGAATGTGGGATGGAGTTCCAGAGGGTGGGGGCAGAGAGGCTGAAGGCCCGACCGGCCAGGTAGGGGACAAGGAGGAGGCCGGAGCCTGGTGAGCAGAGGGAACAGACAGGTTGATAAGAGGTTAGCAGATCGGAGAGGTAGGAGGGGGCAAGGCCACGGAGGGCCTTGAAGATAAGGATGAGAATTTTGATCTCGATCCTCTGAGGGATGGGGAGCCAGTGGAGCTGGGCGAGGGTGGGTGTGATGGAGTCACGGAGCCTGGTGTGGGTGGGAGAGGACACGAGCTGCAGAGTTCTGGATGATCTGCAGCTTGTGGAGAGAATAGTTGGGGAGGCCAACAAGCAGAGCATTGGCATAGTTAAGTCTGGTTGTACTGAAGGCATGTAGGAGGGTTTTGGTGGCCTGAGGGGTGAGGCATTGGCGGAGTCGGGCAATGTTGTAGAGGTGAGGGAAGGCAGAGCGGGTCATGGCACGGATGTGGGGGAGAAAGGACAGTTGAGGGTTGAACAAGACGCCGAGGTTCCTGACTGACTTGGTGTGAAACAGTTCCCAAGGAACTCTAACACAATAGTTAGACCTGAAGATTTCAACATGACCTTGTTGTTGCCGAATGTTTATTGGAATCCCTGCCTAATTCAGGTTGAATGTAGGCCGTATGTGGTGAAGCTGCACTAAAATGCCACTCTTCAGAGTTGGCCACAACATGGTGGTTGTCAGAAAACATTGAGCCGGTGAAATCTTGGGACTGGCTTTGGGCCCATTGTGCCAAAGCCTGAGGGAGGGGGTGTTCACGTATAGCTTGCTCCATTCTCTTTTATTAAATGGAAACAAAATGGGAATGATTCTTTGTTGACTGGAAAATATTTCATTTTAAACTGACATGACCAAGGTCCATAATTTCAATCGCGACTGTAGAATTACTTTCCTGTGACAGCTTTCAGATTTATCTGCAGTATTCAGGGCAGGTTAGAATTAATGCTTAAACAGTATGTAACAGAATGGCTTAATGGTTTTGACAACACTTATTAGCAAAGATCAGTATTTTTCCAAAGCTGCTTTGTTTCTGTTGCTACAGTCCTTATATGTCAAACGCCAATGACGTGCTCTGTATTGTAGTTTTCAAGGTTTCACTGCCACACAATTAGTTTTGTAACCTTTTTGAGTAAAAAGAGCCTCAATAAATTTGCTTACTAAAACAGTCACTACACATGGCAGTAATTACTATAAAAAATCTTTGACATTTTGACGTGATAAGTTACAATAAAAATGCACATTCTTTCTATAACGTATTTCAACAATAATTGTTCTTAAATCCGTTTTACGTTTTGTAGGAAGGTCTAAGTAAGTTTACAAAGTGTTTTGACTTCTGTACCATGAGCAAACATTACTTGCCTTAGAATTAGTTGCCTATGTTACAATTTCTCGAAACCAGGCACTAGAGTTTATTATTTTGCCTACAAAATACAGTTAATCCACTTTACAATATATCCTGTGAAGCACTTGGAGATGTATCAACTATGTGATAAGGCATTATATCAATTGCAAGGATTATGATTGTTATTATTATCACTATTACCTACTATACGTTTTCAGAACATGTCATTAGGGCAATGAAAAATTGAACAATCTAATGATATTTAAATTTCTCACACATACTTTTTCCTTATTTCTTCTCTATTTCTAAAAATTATACTTCTGTTCTTTTCTTCCTGCCGTTGCATGTAATGGGTTGATCTTGGCGCTTGCTTATGCCTCTCGCAATTGTAAAGAAACCTTACCAGTGAACACAGGAAGTGGCTGGGCTGTGTGCACTTTTTTATTGCGCCTACTTGCAGTGTTGGGAGGTTTGTAATAACCAGACTTTTGGTGTCTGGTCAATGCTTTTGTTTCACTTCAAACCTGTCTTTCTGGTCCAAAATCAGACAGTTTACAACTTACTTAGAGTTGCTGGAAGTCACTGAATCAAGACCTCGGGTCAAAGAGAGGAAGCAAACAAACCTTCTGCTTGTAGAGTTTGATTAAATAATGATAATTATAGTCCTTGCATTTGATATAGTGCCTTAACACGTCATTGTGATGTCTCAAAGCCCTTTACAGGAATATAAAGTAGATTGACGGTATATTTTGTAGGAGAAATGCACTTATGTAGAAGTCAAGTACAATACGCTGTTTGTCTCCACTGCAGTGTGTTAGAATATATTTAGGCAATCAAGACCCTTGCTGCCATTCGTATTATTTTAATTAACTTGTGATAATAGTTGCGGTTATGGTCACCTCTCCTCTAACCCCTATGCCCTCTCCCTTGTTTGGCACCTGACACTGTCATTGTGAAGTGCTCCAAGATATTATTCTATGTGAAGATGCTATATAAATGCAAGTTATTATAATGAAGCCGTGAACCATAATTCTTGAGTGTGCGTATCCTCACGCACCACAGGACATTGAGCACACTGACATTTGTTATCTATACTATTAGCTGCTGCTGGAAATAACACTAACCCAAAACCCAATATAATTTATAAGACACCGAGAAGTAAAAACATTAAGCAATATGGATAAGAAAAGAAATAGAGAAGGGGATTAATAGAAAGGACAATTTAAGAATATAAAACAAGCAAACACAGGGGTCAAATCCTTCTTTCTGTGATTAAATGTTTTTTTCAATGTAAATGCATTTTAAAACTAACAGACATCCTGAAGCAATCCGAAAACTGTAATCTCAGCTCTCATGTGACTGAAACACCACACAAGCTTTGCTCACTCACAGTTTATGATGTTATCTGACCCCAGTGATCAGATTACTGCCTAGTAAGCACTCCAGGTTTCCATTGGTCAATAAATAATTCATAACTGTATGTACTATCCAAGGTTAAGTTACAACAGCTCTTCTAGAAGTTGAAATAAATATGCTCTAGAACCAAGAAGATTGGGGGAGGAGGGGTGGCGGTGGAGATGACCAAAGTACAGTCAAAGAGATAGGTTCTCTATTATCATGATAATAAAGCTGATAGCATCTAAATTGCATTATGTATTTCCTTTTGTTTTATAGGGACTTGGGGCAAATAACTTGATCCATCTCTTTGACTGCACCTTCGGCACCTGCCCTCTTGTCTCCCTCCTATCTCAGGCTCTCACTCGACTTTGTAAAGTGCGTTAAAACATTCTCCCTGTGTCTAAGGCACTGTTTCAATATAAATTAGTGGTAAATGATCTCAGTCTGCTTCTGATAGCACACGTAATAGAAACTTGTATCCCTATCGGCCGTGTTTTTTCCTTCTGTGACATTGTTATGGTGAAAAATTAATTCCCTACATTATTTTTTCCCAGAAAAACCTGTGCTGCAGAGCAGACATTCCCTGGATAGCTCCAGGCTAGTGGAGAAGATGGAATCAGCCCAACCCCTATGGATTACCCTGGCGATGCAGAAACAGAGAGGATTCCGTGAGCAGCAGGCCAGCAAAGAGGAGAGGAGGCAAGCCAGAGAAGCCAAGATAGCAGAAAAACAGGCTAAAGAAAATGTATGGAGCTCCTCTTAGATTGTTACATGTTAGATTGTTTCTGAGGACTGTGAGGTTGCATGCACACTCAGGGGATAATATTCTCTTCTCAATTACTGATATTTTTGGCAATGAGCATGCAAAATTCTCCATTTACCTGTAAATCCAGTGCATTGGGATGACCTCCCAAGGAGAAAAGCATTATATATATATATGCAATATAGTGTTGTAAATGTTCCCATCTTGGACAGGGTGTGTTTAGAATGGGATTTTCTGTTATAATAATAAAAAATAACAATCCTTGCATTTGATATCGCGCTTTATCACGTCATAGAGACATCTCAAAGCGCTTCGCAGAAAAACACTAAATGGTCAAAATTGATAAACTTAAAAACAAGGAGAGAAGGACCCCATAGCTGTTCCATAATGGGTATTACGAGCTGATTATGTTAAGAATGATATCTGCTGGAGAATCTAGCAATGGTAATGACAATGTGTGGAGTGTTACCTTCACTTACACAATTTCTAATTTCTAATTCACATTCTTTCACATCCCTCCCCCCTCCCCCCCACACACACGCACACACACACTAATTATCAGTCATGTTAGAAGAATTAAGAGCAAGATAGCTTGTATAATAAAGGCAATGTCTGATTTTAACATTTCATCCATAGGCCGTGACCTTCAGTCCCATTGAAAATAAATTTAGCATTAATCACCATGTAAGTCCACTCTATTCATCAACAACTCAGGATGAGGATAAGAAAGCTGGAAGCAACATTGCGTCAAAGGTAGAACGACGTGAACACTTGAAAAAATCTGCTACACTTCCAAATTCTGTCACAGGTACTGAGAAGAAAATGGTTTCTGAACAGATAAGATTTTCATTATTTTACACCTATTGCTGCATAGTATGTAATACAGTAATAATAATAATCCTTATATTTGATATAGCACCTGATGTCGTCAAGACATCTCAAAGCACCACAGAGTATACTGTAAAGTATATACTGTAAAGTGGAGTGACTGTACTTTGTGAGCAAAACGCGGCAGCCAATTGCACACAGCAGTGACCCACAAACAGCTGTGGATCGAGTGAACACATTTTTTTTGAAGGGATTCTTACCCTTGGAAAGCAATCCGCCAATTGACTAACAACTGCATTCCTACTTACTGCTAGGTAAACAGAGATGTGTGGAGTAAGGAAACTTGCTTTAGGTTGTACCCTGCCGGGAATTGAACCAGGGTCCTCTCGCTTTCGAGGCGAGTGCTCTAAGCACAACGCTAAAGGACTCCACACAGTATTAGAAATACAACATTCGATAATGTTTCATAGAATACACCTATGTTTGTCTGGCTCAGTCGAAGGCACTCTTGCCTGGGTCAGCGGGTGTGCGTTATGTCCCACTTCAGGACTTTAACTTCACTGTCCAGGCTGACCCTCCAATGCAACAACAACAAAATTACATTTATATAGCGCCTTTCATGTCGGGAGGACTGATGCTGGGGGAGTACTGTGTTATTGTAAGTGGTCCTTCAGATAAGACAAAGTCAATTAAACTGACATCTGCCTGTCCAGATGGACGTTAAAGAACCCGAAAAAAAAGAAAGGAGGTTTTCCTGGTAACCTGGTCAACAATCCCTGAAAATTAGCCATTCACTTCATGGCTGCTTGTGGGAAATGTGTTTTTGGATCTCCTGTGGTTTTTGCCTGTGCCTCTGATGGCTTTTTGCCTTCCAAAACCATTTGGGGAATTAATAATCCTTGATAAATCACTCTTCATGACTGACAGTGCACATATGCAAGCTTGCATCTTAGTTAAATGTAGATCTGGTGCTGCAGGAATTGGCCTCAATATAAATGTGGTGGTTTCTGAAATACTGGGACTTCCAGCTGGAATTGCAGACAGAGCTACTTCCTGAAGCGACAGAAACACAGCAGACATAGTCATCTGCTAAGAGTCAGATCTTTAGTGTTGCAAGGTTTTATTGTTATTCTTCAAGTTAGGAGAGTTGAGGTACAGATTATCTTGCACTACATTTAAGACAGCACAGCATATTCCGAAACTCACAAAACTCAAGTTTGACCAAGAACTGAATAATATAATAATAATCCTTGCATCTGATATAGTGCCTTATCACATCGTTGAGATGTCTCAAAGTGCTTCACAGGATATACTGTAAAGTGAATTGACTATTTTGTGGGTGAAATGCGGCAGCCAATTGCACACAGCAATGTGCCACAAACAGTTGTGGATTGAGTGACTGCTTTATGCTATTTATTCAGTTAGAAGGACCCTCAGAAGTCCTCTCACACAGTAACCCCAAGTAAGAACTGGTTGTGGAAATTTCCGATTCTGAAACTATTCCACTTTCGTAATAGGAATTACTATTTACACCTCTTTATGCACAAAGTAAAACCACGTAAATGGAAAGAATTCTAAAAGGAGGTTATAATTTGCAGTGGTATGTAATTTTGTTTCTTTCAAATATGAAGTTCTAAGTGAGATAAAGCACATTTTTGTGTAATTGTTTTTCATTCTCTTTTCCATAGTTGAAATTTGTGACTCAGTGGCATCAACTCCACCGGTAAAAGATTTACCTAAAAGGTTCTCAACACCTGATGCTGCCCCAGTATCTGTGGAACCCACCTGGTTGGCTCTCGCCAAGAGAAAAGCTAAAGCCTGGAGCGACTGTCCTCAGATAATTAAATGACCTTCTGATGTATGAGGAACTGCTGCTGTATTCTGCTGAGTTACCACTAAAAAGTGCTAAAGTGTATTTTCTTCACATGTTTAAGGAACACAAAAAATACTGCTTGTGCCGCAGAAATAACATACCACCGTAGTCATGAATGCATAAAACTTGTAGCTTTTAAATGTGATCTCCATTCACACACTTGGTACAGTAATTTCCCAACAGTAATGTTGAACCTGCACCCAAGTACCTATATATATATATATCTATATATATTATAAAATTATCGTGGATTCCAATATCAATAGAACATAAGAAAACATGAACAGGAGGAGGCCTTTCAACCCATCAAGCCTGTTCCACCAGTTTATTAGATCTTGGCAGATCTTTTTATCCCAATGAGGTGCCCTTTCGCCATACCCATTAATATCAACAACAGCTGGTATTGCTTTCTACCCTTGTTATTTCATACCCAATTTACTTTCAAGACTTAATGAAAGTGAATGCCCTATATAATGCCTCAAGTGAATCTTAGCTTGAACTGAAGAGTGGTTTAAGTGAGATCCAAAAGACCTTTAACAAAATGTAAGATATTTTGATATCTTCACCGTAAATGAAAATCAGTCTTATATTTGCTGATACTATATCGATAGCTGGGAGTTTGGTATGTAGGGATAGATGTCTGATTCTAGAAAAAAAATGATTTCTTAGGTCAGTTTACTTAATATTTAGAATAGAAATTCCAGATAATAATAATCCTTGCATTTGTTATCGCGCTTCATCACGTCTTCGAGATCTCTCAAAGCACTTCACAGAATACACTGTAAAGTGTATTGACTGTGCATTTTGTGGGCGAGATATACTGTACATCAATATTAATCAAGTGAGATGCTTAAAAATGTTTTTAAAAAATGGAACTTACAACACATCATAAATGAAGAAAGGATCTTTCCACTTGTATCTACTGAAAATACAAGTGTCTAAATTGCATCTCTCATTTTATGGATGATCGTGAAAAATTCTGACTCCCTTTGTCTATTTTAGCAATAATTTTAAAAATCTTTTTTTTCGATCTTTACCCTATGATTAAAACTGGTGGGTGACTGGAGAATATTTACAGGAAATGTCATTTGTTTTATTGAATGGCTGTGTGGATCTACCTCACTATCTCTGTTTCTTCTATTTCTTCCCTTTTTTGTTCAGTGGTCTGTCTCTCCATTTATGCTGTGGTGTGCCTGTGTTAATAAAATATCTTTCTCTGTATTTTTAAGAGTTTTCTCTCTTTCTGCCTTCTATGGGCCTTGTCTTCTCTATGAACGTTTCTCCTTTTTAGTCAGTTGCTTCTCTTTTCTATATGTCCGTTCCTCTCTTTAGTTTATTTTCTCTTTCCATTCATTGGTTTTCACAAGATCACAAAGAGATAGTTGAAGGAGCCCCCTCAGTTCATTGATATAATAATCCTTGCATTTGATATAGCAGCTTATTGCGTCATTGAGAAGTCTCAAAATGCTTCACAGGATATACTGTAAAGTGAATTCACTGTATATTTTCCTCGTGCCATAACACCCATTCTACCATCTTCAAATTACAGTAACATGCTGTTTCTTAAATGTCTCTTGTGGTCTCCATGTTTTTCTCTTCCAAATTTTCTTGTGTGATTATTTCTTGACACACTTCTATGTCTGTTTCGTCTCTTATTCACATCCACCCATGTTATACTTTCTCTGCACACCTTTTGCTCCTGTACTTCTACATTTCCCTTGGTCAATCCTTTATTTTTCTCCCCATTGCTGCTCTATTTTTCTTTTCTCTATCGATCACTCTTCTCCCCTTCAGCCAGACTCACACGCAGAAAAAGGACATTAAGCAAAAGATGAGGACAGAAACGCCTGCAATACCAATAGGGTTAAAAATCTGCAGCACCCCATGAGGCCCCCACATCCTCTGTCAGGTCATAATGTGTGTAAGGATGTGATCTATAAACTTGACAGAAAATCATGCTAATTTTTAGCTTCTGAACAATTTATTCCACCAAATATGAAATTACTATTTTCAACAATATATTGTCCAATTGAAAATTAATATATTGAAAATACCACTGTGTAAAGTAAATCTACAATACCAAAAATTAAGCAAGTTGATTTTTTGTAACTCTTTTGTAGCTTGTAGCTTCAGATTGGAAGTTCGATTTATTGGACTTTTGTGGCTATTTATATTTCAGAAACAAGCCACAAAGTAGTGTCTTGGTGTGCATGTGGACTTTTCAAATGTGCATCATTCATAATGCTTTTTCTTGTCATTGATATTTCAAATCCATTTTTATTTTATTTGTCTCCAGGTGAGAACAACATTGGATTAGAGGCATTGCACTAGCTCCAGATACTACAATGTTCCTCCAGTTTCCAGTGGGTCTCAATGGAAATTGCATATATACAGCAGATTGTAATTCAATACTTCCTCTAGCATATTTTGTACACAAAATTTACTGTAAATTCTGTGAGAAATCATAGTATAATATGAGAGAAATCTATACTTTAAAGAGTTCTGAAAATACTCAGATTCTGCTGCCCTCTGTCAGTTCATAAACTGTAATACAACCAGAAGGGCACATACACTCCATTTTGTTCAAAGGTGTGTTTTAATTCTTTCCTGCTGCAGAAAATTAATATGAATCTTTATTATATTAAGTTTTATTTAAAAAGCACTTTATAAATATTACATTTTTCCAATTTATTTAATTGCTCATTAAAATGGAATCAATTAAGTTACTGGCTTCAGCAAATAAAAGCTGTCATGATTTCAACACACTTTAACCTTGGCAGTCCTTAAAATACGCTGTTACATTACAAACTATATTGTTCTGATTACATGAACACTGTATTCAAATTTGAGCAGGGAGACCCAGGCCCTCTGTAATAGAGTATTCAGAGAGTGGGCTATTTGTGGAGTTGGCTACTGTTTTAGGCCAGATGATTTTATTTCAAGCAAAGGACATGTTACTACCTGAAATACTGTAACAATAGGAAGTGTCAATGGTATTGATTCTACCTGTATTGCACTTTGGAATTTAAGAGAAAATGAATTGATTAGCCAGGTTGATTTGCCAATCCTCACTTCCTTAGTGCAAAAGACATTTTGACATGATAAGGTTCTGTACATTTCAAGCTCTTTTACTCATAGTTATCCATTACTACTTAACCAACATGTAATCTTTGAACACCATTTTAAGTTGCCAATTCATGAACCTTGTCTATTATGATGATTTTCATTTCACAAGACTAGACGAATAGCTTCCTATGGCTCTTTCGAAAATGCATAATTTTATTCAATTTTATTGGATTACTCTTCTGAGAAATATAAAGCCCTCAAATCAGGACCAATTTTAACTGCTAATGCTAATTATCAAAAATGAGCGCAATCAATGTTATCAAATAGGTTAATAAAATATTTCTTAGAAAGTGAAGGTTGCAGTAAAACTACAATGATTAACAGTTGAGTGTTATAGGGCACCTTGAAACTACGGCAAAGAATATAGGCCCACAGTTTTCAAGTGAAGTATGTCTAGATAAAAGTGGCAAATTCCTTTCCAAATGCTATTCCAGTCTTCAATTGCTAAAATAAACGGGAGACAAAATAATGCTCCCATGACCGTCTGGTGATAATAGGATACAGTTTTTTTAAGGAGCCAGTGATGCCTGGTATATTACAGAATGAAACACCCATCACCTGAGAATCTAACCTTTATGTGTACATAGATATCAGAAAATCTAACTACATGTATATAGTTAACTGAAAATCTAATCATTATGTGTACATAAATATCAAAGTCTAACCATTAAATGTACAGCTTGAGGCTTTCCTTAACTTTATGTGCAGTCTAACAGCTGGATGAATTTGGATATGTCGCTTCTATGAATCAGTTCACTAGATTTGCTTTCAAAACTCAATCATTAGAACTTCCAAAATACTGTGTGTGTGTGTGTATATATATATTACCTGATTAAGGCGCTGTAGAGAGCCTTTCTCCAAGTACATTGGTTTCTTTCTGCTTGTAATTTTCATCAGACGTAAATACCATTGGAGCTTGAAAAGAAACACATCAGTTTTTTAATATTTATCTTTTTTAAACTTCAGCTACATTCATATCTTTATGGTGTCATGGGGCAAAAACAATGCTCACATGGCCACTCTACATTTAGCACAGAAAGGTTAAGTAAAGAAGCTTAAATAAAATGAATTTTCCCCTCTAGACACTGCATTTTCAAAAAGCTTTGCATGTAACAATTACAACTTTTACACTCAAGTGGAAGACAGCTGAAAATTTAAATTTATCTTTCCTTATATTTATAATTTTCAATCCAGGTTAGTGTCATTAGTAAAGTGTATATTTGAATTCAATCTATCTGTGTTGGGTCATGAAATTCTGGTTGAACTCAGAAACAAGCAACAAAGCTATTTTGAAAAAATGATTTTTCTCAAAAATAAATCCTGGATTTTTTCAACAATTACTTTTTGTCCAATGTTTCCCTGAAAACTTGTGTAATTAGAAGATGCCAGATAATCTATTCCCCACTTAATTTTGTGATAGCTCTATCTTCTTTGCATTTCTCAGCTGTCCCTCCACCTTCAACTTTTAAATAGTCTCCCACAGTAACTCAGCATGAATCAAAGCTCTCAAGATTGATTGAGTGCACATTCCTTGTCGATCATTAAGGGAAATAAAACAATGTTTAAACAAAGTGTTTATTTTACAATGATTCAGGTTATACAATAATGAACATTTCTCACCTAGAATCAAAGATAAAAGAGACAAAACCACTGTGTGATGGCTTCTTGCTGAAGTTTTTGTAATACTATTTTTCTTGAAAATTCAATTCATACTCACCTCCTCCCTTCTGATTCTCACTTGGATTTTTTTTAAATGTCTGAAAGCTGAAAACGTAACCAGAGTTTTTTTTAAATAACCGAAGAAGGACAATTTTACACAGCGTGCAACATATTAGCACAATTTCACGATTCACCAAACACATTTTTTTATGTGTATTTAATTTAAGTCTAGAATTAAAAAAAAACTTTTTCAAACTTACACAGATTCTTGCTAGGCAGCTGTAAGCATTTGTAAGGTTTTCCAGATGAAATAAATTTGTAAGGGGTAGGGACTCTGCGATTATTCCAAGTGTAACTCCTACACTTGTGAGCTGTTTTTGGTGCCCAGATTCTTTATTGCTTCTAAATTCTTGCCTTTCAGATATTGGACCAATTATTTAGCTTATATATGACACATAAAAATGATCCTTTCATCTAGATTGTAAGTTGCAAACAGGATTCAATTCAGCTAATGGAGGGGATATAAAACACAGATAGCTGGAGAACCATGCTTTAAAATACTCACAGCTTACCTAACTTAATGTTCAAGGTAGGATTTGATGATGTGCTAAATTCTCATCAATATAAATGCTATATTAAATAATTGGTGTCAATATGCAGTATTTTTATGTACTTGATTGGTATTATGCTGTAATATAGACTCATCAAGGACTGGGTCCTAGTCACTAAAACAAAGGACAGCTTATTCGATGTGCTAATTGTGTTTTTGTGTAGGTACTGTACGATGCACAGTAAATTTAACACCAGAAAACAAAGGGCCATTACTAAAGCATTTCATTATGAGCAGCAAATTATTATGCTGGTAGAAATCAAAATCTAACATCACTATTGTCCAACCTATTATTCCAGGTACTTTGCACTAACATCTTGTTATAATGTTGCTTTACAATAAATTGTTAAACGTTCTGGCCATGACATTCATTGCGTTCCTGTTTATTCAGCACTGAAAATTGGGAACACAATGCAATACTTAATATATAGAAAATAATACAATGTCAAATGTTATTCAAGGGCACAATTCTTAGACCTGTTTTTTGGAATTACACAAACTTTTGTTATTCCTGATTTTGTTTTTAATTTTTCATTCTCATTTGCAGTTTTTAAAAAAATCTCTACAAACCATTTCGTATCAATACCAATATAAAACAGCTAACGTATAAACAGAGTAAATGTTTATTGTGATACTAACCTCATTCCATGTACAAAAGTGATTTTATGATACAATGTTACCTTAACTTGGTTTCACTTTATTTTTAAAAAGTGTTGCAAAGTGCAATTGTTTCTAATTGTGTTGTCTTTTTAGGTACATTACTTTGAATTTCAGCACTGCATTCAGTCCTGTAGTGTGTAATTATTAAAGTGTTGTTATGTAATAAACACCTCTTTTATTGATCAACTGCCTAACTGTTACTATAAAAGTTACTGTCATCTTTTACTATATTCATCTTTATTTTTTACGTGTTTGAACACAAATTACTATCCTTTTTGGGAGGCGGCAGGGAAAGGGGAAAGCTCCTATTGAGCTCAGCTGGTTCTAAAGTTGGCAGAGGAATGCCAGAATCAGGTCAACCCTTTCTGTCTATCTTAGTCATCCGGTTCGAGCCGAGTGGGTCAGCAGTACTCCAGCCATGTCATCAGCAGGACTTGAGGTGCAGGACTAGGAACAGGGATTTTTCTGGCTCCTGTTAATATCGCAGGTCATAGCCCTAACAGATAGGGTGATTTTACAAAGCTTACAAGCAGCCGGAAGCTTGGCAAGCAAAATTATTTTTTAGAAGCTTATGCTCAGTATCCCAACCCACACACTGGGGATCCAAGACTTGGTTCTTGCCATCCAGGCAATTTCCATGTTTAAATGGCATACAAATGTGGAACTCTGCTTGGGTTGGATACATTTAAGGATGACACCAGACCCCAGCAGATCACAAAAAAAAATGCAATTCTTTAGGATTCTTTAGTCCGGCACATTTTATATCACAAACTATAAGCTGTATTGTACGAACTGGAGGTCTACATCGCTTTTTAAATCGGATGCATGAGAAAGTTTTGAATTTACATGAATGAAATGTTACTTCTTTGCCACCTGAAGTAAAGTTTTAGTGTATTAACGTTATTCACTTTTCCATCAGTTGTTGGAATCAGGTATGGGATAGGGGAGATGCAGAGTAAAGCTTCCTATTTTCTGACCAAACATAAGCTGTCCCTGAGCTGTCCTTTATTCCTCATATCCGCGCCACAACTGGCACCGCCTTCCATCACCTCCAGAATATCGCCAGACTACGGCACTACCTCACCCCTCACGCGGCTGAAACTCTGGTCCACGCCTTTATCCCCTCAAGGCTGGACTATGGGAACTCTCTCCTCGCCGGCCTTCCCGGCACCTCCCTCCACAAGCTGCAGGTCATTCAGAACTCTGCAGCTCGTGTACTGTCCCGCACCAGGCTTCGCGACCACATCACTCCCACCCTCGCTCGCCTCCACTGGCTCCCCATCCCCCAGAGGATCGAATTCACGATCCTCATCCCCACCTACAAGGCCATTCACGGCCTCGCTCCCTCCTACCTCTCTGACCTACTATCCCCCTACCTACCTGCCCGTACCCTCCGTTCCTCTGGCTCCGGTCTGCTCCACATCCCCCGCCCCAACCGCCCTACCATCGGTGGTCGGGCCTTCAACCTCTCAGCCCCGAGGCTCTGGAATTCCATCCCCCAGTGCCTTCGCTTTGCTTCCTTCCTTTCCTCCTTCAAGACCGGACTCAAAACCTTTCTCTTTGACTGTGCCTTCAGCTCCCCTCTCGACTCTCTACCCCCTCCTCGCTCCCTCCTTTCCCTCCCCTCACCCTGACTATTTCCCCCCTCCTCGCTCCCTCCCTCCCCCCCCCCCCTCCTCGCTCCCTCCCTTCCCTCCCCTCACCCTGACTATTTCCCCCCCTCCTCGCTCCCTCCCTTTCCTCACCCTGACCATTTCCCCAATGCTCGAGTCCTGACCCAACTGTACAGCGCCTTGGGACGTCCTCCCGACGTGAAAGGCGCTCTATAAATGGAATCTTGTTGTTGCTCGAATGTAGTTGACCACTTTTGTAACTGTGTCCACGACATTGCTTAGTTTTAGAACACTCTTACAGTAAGAGGAGCTCTTGTGGATAATGCAGCGTAGAAAAACAATATTCTGTTCTGGATTTGTTGCTTTGACTTGATCTTGAATTCTTTTCAGTAACCCAACATTTTTGCCTGTCAGATTTGGACTTCCATTGGTGGTCACATTCACCAATTTTTTCCACTCCACTCCTAATTTTAAGATACACTTATTTATTGCCTCCAAAAAGTCTTCTCCAGTTGTTGTATCTCTCACTGACAGCATTGATGTCAATTCTTCTGTGAGCTCAAAGCGTTTGGTGATACCTCGAATAAAACTTATCAACTGGGCTGTGTCTTTGACATCACAACTCTCATTGAGTGCCAGTGAAAAACATGCAAAATTGCTTACTTTATTTTGTAACTGCAGATACAGGTTCTCAGAGATATCCTCAACATGTCTCACAATAGTTCCCCTTGACAAGCTAATGTTCTCGAACTGTTTTTTCTTGTCTGGGGATAAAATCGAGGCAGAGTCAACCATACATTCCTTTATAAATTCTCCTTCAGAGAATGGTTTGCTGTTCTTGGCGATTTTGTGTGCAATCACATAACTCACTCTTGTAATCTCATCCTGGGACGCAAATTGTTTTGTGAAAATGCTTTGCTCTTTTTGCATTCGAACAACTATCTCATCAGCTTTCTTTCCCTTTTCTTCGGCAGAAATTCTTATTTATATTTGCAAGCATGTTTGCTCTCAAAATGGCGATTCAAGTTGTAGTCTTTCTTTGCAAATTAAGTACACAGCTTTTCCACCCACACTGGTAAAAAAATATTTAGAAGTCCATTCTTTGTTGAATATTCGACCTTCAGCGTCCACTTTCCGCTTCTTTGATAAACCCATTTCCAATTAACATCCTCTGCAGTGAAAAGTATTGCCACGGTTGCCGTGCGCGCGTTTGTAAATTTGACGATCCGTACATTTCTGATGTCAGCCTGATTCAACACTTAAGGGAGCATGCGCACAACTAAGCAGTGATTGGCTGATGTTCCCGCTCACCTTCAAATGCGAAATTTGGGACTGAACGAACTATCATTTTTCTATTGCTAGACACAATGACAGGCCAGATAGAATCATTTGGAGGGCCAGATATGGGCATTTTGCCCACCCCTGATCTAGGGGATAGACAGGACATTTTCATTTAGTCAGACAGAACTTAACTCCCAGAGATGGCAAGGCCATTTTATTAATACTACTGTACACCCAGTTTCTCGTACATTTACAGTTAAGAACTGCTTTATAAAACATTTTTAAAAATTAAAATTTTATTAAACGGAATAGTACAGTAATCACTCAGAGCTTTAAACATTTCGCCATAACTATAATTCAGTATGATTTATATGCCTTGCAAACCATCTGTGACCTAGAAGAACATATTAAATTGTTGCTGCAAGCAATCCACAGGAATGAGTACAAAAAACAATCAATTCTTATTCGCAAATAAATAGCTCAGATGTCTTAGAAGGCAGTTTTGACATAATATAGCTGCAATAAATCAAAGAGATGAATTTCTCCTTCATAATTTTCAAAGAGGTGTAAATTTTATTCAATATGCAATTACACTGATGTTTTGCTTCAAGTGTTATTTGTTGCTCGAGATGTTTACCAGACTTATTGCAGACTACAATACAGTAAAGGTTACATCCACTAAATATATCAACCTTATATCATCTGCAATAGGAAATGAGAACAGAGCAACATTTTGTTAGCTGAACCTTGGCTGTCGACATAAATTGTCGTTAAGTAAACACCATGCCTTCTGATCATGTCATGCCAACCCAACCTGACTCATCTGTAGGGCTTGGAAAGGCAGATCAGTCAGTGGGGCAGGGATTATTCCCACTGAACTCCTGTTAACCTGAAAGCCAAAGCACTATCAGGTGGGATGGTCCTACCTGGGCAAGCAGTGGAAAACTTTACCAGACAGTGCTTTTGATGGCAAGTTATGTTTTTTTTTGCTGGTTAAACTTCAGCAGTACGCCATCACACACCCTGGGCAGCCTGTGCCTAATACTCTCCGGAATTAGGTAAGCAGGAAGCACCATTCCACAAACTGCTCAGCTTCACCCAATATAGTACTATGAATTTTCTTCTGTTGTGGATATCTCTAAACAATAGACATAGTTGTTTCTACAACCAACAATAAGTGTCTTTCTCCATAAGACTGGTGAGGAATACACGTCACCTGGAAGTGAATATGCTGCAACCAATTTTCCTGTTGCCGCCCCCAGGATCCATATCTTTCCATCTGTTGACGTTACAGCAACCAGTTTTTCAGTATTCAGACCATAGTCGCTATAAACAAATGGGATTGAGTACACTTGTTTGCTGGCTTTAAACTTCCACACAAGGTCCCCATCTTCATTCAGGCAGTACACAAAAGAGTCATGAGATCCACATATTACCATCTGATCTGATTCAGAGAAACTTGAGATGCACGGTGAAGAAAAGATTGGGCCATCGGTCAAGAACTGCCAAATCTGAAAATGAAGCAAAGTTAAGTTTTAACTAACGTACCCAAGAATGTTATTACAGAACATTGCACAAATGAACTTGTGCCCTTATTTTTAATAACTGGAACACAATTCCTCAGTTTCAAAATTGAAACTGGATTCAGATAGAACAAAAAGATACAGCCCTTTTTTGTAGTCCTTCCCCTACCCCCAGCTCGGAGTCGTGCTCCGCCATTGTCAAGCACTCTGGAACCCTACCCTGCATGAGGGGAGCTATATAAATTCAAATTATTATTGTTGTTTATTGTTGTTGTTGTCAATCAGGTGTCTGATACATGTGGAAAGCTATCAACATTCTTAAGAGTATACAAACTGAATGGAGTTCCACTCATCCCACCTATACATGAAATTCCCATGTGTTGGAATGGAATGTGCACTCTCTTCCTTGAGGGACACAACCTGTTTACCTAACTCCAGAGAGTATTAGGCACATGCTGTCAAGAGTCAGGGCTTGGTGATCCCAGAGTATGCATTGGGGTACTACTGGAGTTTAACAAGATACAAACCACACAACTTTCCATGGAAAGCACTATTTGGCAAGCCTTCCCTCTGCTTGTCCTGCTATCTGTTAGGACTTTGGCTTGTGGAGTTAACAGCTGAGTGGGAGGAATTTCTGCCTCCAGTGACTGGTTTGCTTATATTCATGAGCCAGGTTGACTGGGCTGTCATGAGCAGTGCCCTGTTTGTGATCATAAGTGAATTATTGTTTTAGTTAAGTTGGATTTGTTTATACTCATTAGTCAGTGTTGAAACGACTTGCAGATCTACAATCCTAATTTAACTGAGCTGCATTGCAGAAGCTCTCAGCATGACAGGTGGTACAGGGTAGCTGGTAATAACTCTGGATAATGTGTACTGAGAAGACGTCAGTATGCTGTGTGTTATGAACAGTTACATTGGCTAAGAAAGAAGTGAATTTGTTACTGCAGCAGTAGATTGTTGATGTACGTCCTGTATCGCCCTAATCAGAGTCAGCCTAAGATCCAAGACTGACCTGATTAAACATCTATTAGGTAGGTGAGGACGTGCTGACCTGCACAGATCAGCCTGAAGTAAAAAAGGGAACCATGATATGCAGGATAGCTGAGCTACATTTTGGGCAGTTTCAGTTAGTGAAAGAGTGAGTATGATTTTGCTCCTCCAGGAAGGCAGAACTCCCACCCTAGATTCTGAAACTCAAACTACTCGAATGTTCAGATTCCAGTAACATTGGAGGAAAAAAGAACACACTTCAATACAAGAACAAAACTGCAAAACTCCCACTATTATCAGCCTTCCCAAACAAGAGATGTTTGTTTGCTGCCTATGAACTTTGATATTGTCACTACAGTGACATACTACTCGTGAGCGTAACAGCATAATATTGCCGATTGTAACCATGTTTATTGAATCAGTACAAAGTTACATGCCTTTTTGCCTTAGTAATTAAATGAGTTATTGAACCCAGAATATAAGTGACTTTAATTGCTCACTTCTTGCGTTCCAGACTTTATAAGTTGACCAAACAAAATAAATTGGTCTTTTCCTTTTGACCCAGTGGTTAATTCCACTGATGGTTGACTCCCAGTCTTCAACAGAATGGGTAGCTCCACTGCTGGTATACCTGGAACCCAACCCCTGGAGTCCTGCGGATCGCCTGACTCAGGCACCCAGACTATTGAGACTGCCATACAGTGCTGACTCAACTTCCATATTCTATTGCCAAGCATGTCACCCTGGAGCCAATTCAGCTCCACAGAACCACCACTTGCCTCCCCCCCCACCCCTCCAAGGAGGATAACCCGTAGTTGGTAATTTGACATCCAATAGAGCAAGTCTGAGCTCTTACTGGGTACCAGGAACTTTCTTCAAGCTTCCTGGCTGGCAGCACAGCTCAGCAGGTAATGTGTGAGAGCATTACCGCGATCTTCCTGCCCACAGCTCAAAAACATACCCATTGAACCACCATTGAGAGACAGCACATATTATGGAGCTTCACAAAAAATCAGCAGTTTAGATATTGAAAATTAAACTGACAAAATTATCTGGATCTAAATAAAACCAAAGGCAATGATTTCTACGATTTCACTTTACATCTAAACCCTGCATCAAATGTTACCTGGTGTCCCTGATGGTTAAAGCAGTACAGATTCCCATCTACACAACCAATAAACACAGACATGGCCGTACATTGTGGTGAGGAGAACAAGGGTTTTCCACAGGAATGCTTCCACATTATATTCCCAGTATCCTGAAAAAAAACAATCAGTTCAATGCTTGCAATTTCCTTTAAGAGAAAATATGTAAATTTGTGAAATATTACCACAAAAAAAAATTAGGCATTTTCATTTCTGGAGTCCCTGTACTTTAATTGTAAAATGTGTTGCATTTTAATGCTGTATTGTGTGCGTAAATATTTACCCAAGTACTATTTCAAGATTTTTCTCCTACATATTTCCTTTACAAATTTTCAATGTTCAATTTAACATCTGATATTCATACACTGCACACTGTCAACAACATGAATATTTTCAGGTACAAATTAACCATTGTTTTAATACAACATAATTGGTGATGTTTAGACTTGTCATGAGTTTTCAGCTTGCAACTTAGCATATTGAAATACAGTGATAGTGTACATTCTGCACAGACATGGTGGGCTGATTGCTCTTCTTTTGTGCTGCAAATTTCTGTGGTTCTATTAACATGAACAGTGGACCTGAAACAATGAGTACAAGATATGCAGTTGTATATAAAAATCTACTTTTGTACTGTAACAGGATTGACACATCTTAGTCACTTACTGGATTGATAGCAAGTAATGAATTCCCAAGAGTCGCTACATAGAGCAGTCGTGGTGACTTATTTAAACAAGCAGATGAGAACACAGCTCCTCCTCCACAGTGCAATTTCCAGACACATTCTTTTCTCTATTCGGAAGAAGATAGCAAACCATTAAACAGGATATATTGCAAATGTGAGGATTGGTTATCATAATAAAAAAAAATAATCTCTTATGTTTAGGGAAATAGTTTATGGTCAATTTATAGCAGCCTGTCAAATTATAAACTTAGCTAAAAAGCTCAGACAGACTGATAACCCAAGGTATTGATTGATCAGTACAAAATCATAGCATTGTAACTTGATATGTTATTCTATGTTTCCACACACATCACTGTGTAGGATCTCCAGTGTGCACTTTTATAAAGACTGTTTTGGTCCAGGTTAGAACCATAGACATTTACAGCAAAGAAGAGCAACAACAAATTACATTTAATATAGCGCCTTTCATGTCGGGAAGACATCCCAAGCCGATGGACAATGAGGGTTTTGACCCGAGCTGCAGGTTGGGATCGGAGAGTAAGATGACCAAAGGCAGTTGAAAAGGATGGTCTTGAGATGGGCCTTGAAAGACAAGGGAAGGAGGGAGGCGGAGAAACTCTGGGATGGAGTTGCAGAGGGTATAATTTACACCTTTTTTAGATATTTATCTAATTTCCTATTGAAAGCCAATATGGATTGTGCCTCAACCACATCTCCTGACAGGACATTCCGTATCCAACAACTCAGTGTGAAAATAAATCTCATAATCTCTCCATTTACTAAGGCACAAGGCTGTCACTTTGCGTTCACAACACAAACTTTAATGCTACTTATTATATCTGGCTTCTCTAGTTTTAATAAAAAGTGTTTCCTCCCTTGTTTCATCTGTTATATACTTTTTTGCCACCACTTTCTATTTTCCTTAGTGTTCTTTTATCCTATTTGGTTTTCTACCCTAAGCTTAAAATTTTATTTCCATTCTTTTCTTTAGCATATACACTATAGGGGAAGAACCAAACAAGTTTTATTTGTATTTCTAGTGAGAATAATTTGAACATAATGTACTCCCTTTAGACTTTATTTCCGTTTAGCTGGTTAATGCAGATCTTTCAAAACTCAAAATATATGAACTATTGAATTTCTTACAAATATATCCAAAGCATAAATGTGCTCGTCATGTGATCCGACATAAATCAATCCATGGTCAGGATCCACAATAGGAGAGCTTTTCACTGAATTCCCAGTGCAAAACATCCAGTACGTTTTCCCATCATCGCTTCTTAGCACATAAACAGAACCATCATAACAACCTGGAGAAATGAATAAGGAAGAAATCATGCAAAGTAATTACTAGTAAAGCCATTTCACATTGGAAGAATTTCTATATGGAGAACTGAAAATGCTCTGTCAAAGTTCTGAATCTCCAGATAAGAGCTGGCTTTTTGATTCTTCTGATCACTAAACTGTTTTGCAACTCGCAATATATCCAAGAAAAAACTCAAGCTTTCATTATTTCTGAAGTGGGCAGTTTGGCTGCAGGACAACTTTATAACACTTGTGGATCTGAACAATCCTGAGCTTCCAACTGTTAGCCTCCTTGATGTAATTAAGATCTTCCTCCTTGCAGCAATCTCACTGAATTACAATGTAAACTCATCGCATCAACTCTCCTTCTACTTCAGCCTTTGTCAGGGCTTTAAACCAAAGTCCTTTACTTCCCACAGTCTTCCCTCCCTCCTTCAATTTAACAAGATTTTCAAACCCAAGCTGGGTGTCACTTAACCACTACAGTAGAATGCCCTTTAATCAATTCACTCTATAGCATATTCTGTGAAGCGCTTTGAGACGTCTAGAAGACTTAAAAAGCGCTATATCAAATGCAAGGATTATTATTATTATCTACGTATAGCCCTCTAATCCAAAGTTGGACCCCAGTCCTGTGAGATACTGGAGAAAATATTGTAATGCACATGTAGGAAGTTGTGCACTGTTTCTAGCCATGTTCTAAACCTGGCTTTAATATTCACATTGGGTGCATGTGCCCAACAATGGGCCCTACAAGACACCAGCAAAATGCAGTTATGTGCCAGGTTTCTAGGGACGCACTGATTTTACTCATAGTTAAAAATGAGCCAAGCTGATACACTTCAAATCTATTACGTTTAATTTTACTGTATTTTAAACAGATATGCCGGCCTTCAAGCTTCAGTTGTTAAGGTATATTCATCCTTTCAACAGATGGGGTAGACTTGTGCACTTATTCATCAATTAAAAAATGAAATTAAGCAAAAACAATCGTAACAATTGATTCAACCTCATTTTTTGTTCAACTAGGATTTTTTCATTTTCCCTCAGTATCTTTATCATTTTGTACAAATACAAATCCCATTCCCGTAGCCAAATAATTGTACTTTTCTCACTTCAGCTACCAAAATGTTGCTGCGTGGGCTAAGCAGTAAAAGGTTAGTTTCATACCTACAACTATAAAGTTTCCACATCTTGATATACATGCAGATGACTCAATCCTGTCTCCAAGAAGTGTCTCCCATTTAAGTCTCCCAGAAAACACCTCAATCGCCTGCATTCTGTGTGAGTGAGACCCAATGTAGACAGTTGCATCTGAGCCACTACTGCCAGATATTACCAGTAAAGGAGATGCATCCACACATTTTCCGGTGTCGGACTTCCACCTCATCTGCAATGAGACCGTTCTGCAATTAACAGGACTTTCTCCTGGGAAGAATCTTCCGGAACTATGTGATGGCTGTTTGACACCTTTTTCCAAAGATTCTTGAGTAACAAGAGTGTTCTCCTCAATTAATGAACTCTTCACAATCATGAACTCACTTGTTCTTTCAGAGAAGGAAGTAGATTCAGTTCTGTTTCTTTCTCGATTTGATTTAAAATCCGGCAACTTGCCATCCGAAGACTGTTCTGTCAGACTTACGTCCTCTTGTATATTATTAGGAATGTTCGTATAATATTCACAACTTACTTCCAGATTTTGTTTTAAGATCTGGCTCCCTCTACTTATAGCTGTGATATTACTAATACTGTTTTGACCAAATGTTGATGCTGCAGTTCTCTGCTGTTTTAATACTTTTGAATGGGATCCTTCCGTCTCACTGTTCCATACTTTTCTTTTCATTCTACTTTTTTCATCCACAAACTCCTCTGAGTCCTTAGTTTTATCAGAAAAAATTATGTTCGTAATATGATTATAAATGTCCTGAATGGAGTTGTTCAGAATGACTTCGAGAAGCCCAGATACTGACTGTCCGATGAGTGTCTCTATTTCTTCTGCAAACTTTAGAGCTTTTAAGGAGTCTCCCCCACTGTACAAGAACATGGAAGAATCAGAAAGAACTGGCCGGTTTTCTGGAAGATTGAGCACAGTCTGCAAATGTACAACAGCATAAAATGAATGTACGGTACACATTAAAATACAATCTAGATTCACCTGCAGATTCTCTATCAAAACCTTATAATTGAAGTTCTGTTCAGTGATCTTACTCTTTCTTCAGTGAGTTTACTCAAATAGTTGTAAACATAATTTGCTGGTTCAAGAAAGAGGTTTGATTAAGGCCTTGAACCTACAACAGAGTAGGTGGTTCAGCTGCAGAATATATCTGTTTCAGTTCCACAAAAAATCCTGAATCTGGTACAAGTTCATTCCAAAGTCACTCAATAAAGGTATTTTCATTGCACAGAGAACACTGCACAGTCAGACTCACACCATAAAGCACCTGTTGGACAGTTTTGGTGTCCGTATGTATTTTGGAGTGAACCTGAATCAGATTCAGCAGCTATTGTAGAATTGTCACAGGCAGCTGATGGTCAAATGTAAAGTCAGCATTTCAAGCAGCTGTTTTGAAACATGAGCTCAGTATGGACTGGAGTGTGAAATTTATGTAGTTATTATCAACTGATGTCCACAAGTAAATGACAACCTGGTTCTTGTCGCATAAAACATTTTTTTGGAAAACCCCAAACAATTGAAGGATTTGATGGACTGCCTATTCTCAAATGTCTGTTACAGTGATTCAATATAAATCTTATAAATCAGCAATAATCCAGACTATTACAGGCACTGCAACCTCACCTTCCAAAGGTGACAAATGCCTTCCCAAAGGTCTTCTTTTCTCCATAGCACACAACTTGACTTTCTCCCTTCTTTCTCTTCATGGTAAATTTCTATCAGTGCAGTTATATTTACTTTGCCTAATGAAGAGATAATATGAAAATAATAAAATATTAATAATCCTTGCATTTGATATAGAGCCTTTCAAATCAAGAGGAAGTCTCAAAGTGCTTATTATTATTATTATTATACCTGCTTCATGTCCCCGCTTGCCCTGCCCCATGATTGGTGGGGGAGCTTTCAGTCACTGGAAAATGAAGTGACTGTGTATTTTATGGGCAAATGCTTCTTTAAACTGAACTAATATTTTTATGATCCACAGTAAGTGATTTCTAAAGTATATTTTCGGGTGGGGAAGAGTCCACTACTGTTAAAGCAATCTTACAAAAAGATTACAGGGGGAATTAAGGTTTAAAATTGTACGAGGAAAAGACGTGGTTACATATTTGGCATAAAAATAAGGCAGAATCAAAGGATATGATTTTAAAGCAAGAAAGCTACAAGCTAAAATGAACACGCTAATTAACACATATTCTTTTCACTTATCACATCAATTTATATGTATATCAATTCATCAAACAATTCAGTCATTTAATGATTTAACAAAGAGTAGACTCTTGTTAGTTTGAAGTAGGCACAAAATATGAATGAAACTCAGACTGGTGCTGTAAAAATAAAAGAACGAGACAACAGAGGAAATTGAATGGCCCTTTTGTGTTCCTATGTAGTGAAAATAAAATACTTATTAGAAATCCTCCATTTTTACCCCACCCAAAGAATGGATAATGTGCTAATTGGTTGTTCTACACATAACAATAAACCCAATTTTTATTTTTTTAATATTTAAATATGTTTTAACCTCTTTGTGCTTACAACCTATCATACTGTATCATTAATATAAACAGAAATGTTGGTTATATCCAAGAAATCAAAAAATTATTTTACCATGATTCTGAAAGTTTTAAAAAATAATTTCTTTTTGAAATTTGACATTTATTTACCGTGAGCTGTAAATGGTAGCGAATCGATGTGGACAACGCCATCTGGGATCGCATAGGAGGGCAAAATCTTTCCTAGAGCAAGGAGGATCTCTGTGTGGAAATTTGCAGCACTTTCTTTACTCTGCTCAGACATGTGCCTGGGTACGATAAAGAGAACCATCTTATCTTGCTCACAACTGGTCACTGCACAAGCTTCCACCTGCTTCAAACGTTCAGCTGCCTAGAAATATTTGTAAATCAACAAGTGTTTTAAAACAACATATAATATTTTGTCAGATAATTTAAAAAAACTTCAGCTCCCTGACAGCCTAGTGGGTAAAGATACTGCCTTTTGCAGGGCAGTAGACAATACAGGTTATAGGTTCAAAGTATCGTTCACGTGTGAGCCTCAACAATGAATATTGGTAGATTACTCAACTCCCTCTGCATCACAGCCAAACATGATCCTGTCCTCACCCGATTCCTACACCTGTGCACGTTCTTGAACGATCTCATGCTTGCAAATAGAGGAAACCCTGCCCGATTTTCCCTACATAATCCAGGACCTTGAGATCAATGTGGTGAACCAACTGTAGACCCAATTCAAATTGGTTCGGTCAACACAGATCAGGATTTGAACCTGTAACTGCTCTGTAGGAAATAAAACTGTTGTACATTGTCTTTACACATAATTATGGCCTATAGTTCTTATTAATTTTACCTGCTGCACACTTCCAAGGTTCACACGTTTCCCATGGCGCTTAATCTGATCATCTTTCCGACCTAAATAATACATATATCCATCTTTCAGAGTTACCCAGTCCCCACTGGCTCTCATTGTTCCTTGACACACAGTTGTTTCATCGTGAAGAAGGCACACACGCTCTCTACCACCTGTCATAAAAACAGTACAATGTTACAACAGCAACAACAACAAGGATTTATATAGCGCCCTCCATGCCAGACGGCGTCTCAGAGCGCTTTACAGTAACGGATCCCGGGGCCGAGCCAGGGGGAGGGGGGGGGGGTAGGTGACCAAAGGCGCGGTCGAAAAGAAGGGTCTTCAGCAGAGACCTGAAAATGTTACACGTCAACAATGTACAAAAAATATATACTATAGGAAACATTTCTAGATCCCTTATTAAAAATAACATCTGTATTAGTGCAGCAATAGTATGGAGCAAGTTGAGAGGAAACTATGTGGAGTCCTGTAGCTCAGGGGTTAGAGCACTCGCCTTGCAAGTGAGAGACCTGAGTTCAATTCCAGGCAGAGGGAAACCTTGGGCAAGTTTCCTTACTCCACACAGAGCCTAATAATAATCCCTCCAAAACAAAAAACAATAATAAATTGGTCATTTTCAATCCACGTTTGTTTGTGGGACATTGCTGTGCGCAATTGGCTGCCATGTTTCGCCCACAAATATTCGGTCAATTCACTTTACAGTCTATTCTGTGAAGCACTTTGAGACATCGAGAAGACGTGAAAAGCACTATATCAAATGCAAGGATTATTATTATTATTATAAACTAGACGGCTATGCGTATAATTAGGTAGAACATGATAATTTGTTTAGAAGTGCACTGTACCCTCCCAAAGGCGTTGGAGGTAAAGAGGTAAAGTGAACTACCAAAGATTTAAAGAATAGCATTCCAGTGATGGGAAATAAAAACACCACCATTGGAGCAGTCATGTCAAAACCGCAGTGTTCCCTGTGAGGTGATAATCCCTTCTTCCTATTGGGACTGGTGACTGAATTATAGCTGACAGGATTCAGACATGATTTTGAGTACTGGGTCCAGTTATGGACGCCCATCAGGCAGGCTGAATGTCCTACTCCTGCTCTTGTGTTCCTTCACAGATACTAGTGAGACAACGCTCTTCATATCCTTTTCAGAAATCAGTCTTTAAATTATCTTCCAGCAGTCGAAACAAAACAAAGTGAGTTCTTCTGAACAACCTACTATTCAACTATTTTTATTGTATTTTCATAAAAAGCAAACTCTACCTATAAATACTTGCCCCACTCCTTCCTGGATCACCTGACCAGAGTCATTCCTGACCTCCAACACAGTTCCCAGAAGAGGGAACCCCAGTGGTACAGGCTCTTCAAGTCTATAATGAAGAATCAGATAAATACAGTTAATAGTTCAAACTCATTTATAGGGTGGTATAGATGTAACAAATGGGTATAAGCCCTTCAAAAAAAAATCAATCCACTGCTGTGGGCAATTGGCTGCTGCCTTTCGCCCACAAAATATACAGTCAATTTACGTTACAGTATATTCTGTGAAGCACTTTGAGATGTCTCGAAGACGTGATAAGGCGCTATGTCAAATGCAAGGGTTATTATTATTTATAAATACATTTTTNCTTGAGCAACTTATTAAACTATTCCGTTTTTGCAATATATTATCAAACCACCATTTTGTGCTCTTAACATCACACTGAACACTGCCACCCAGAACATTAAACCATATTGAACGCTAACAGTCCTGTAGCTCAGTGGTTAGAGCACTCGCTTTGCAAGCGAGAGACCTGAGTTCAATTCCAGGCAGAGGGCGAAACCTTGGGCAAGTTTCCTTACTCCACACAGAGCCTAATAATAATCCGTCCAAAAAAACAAAACAATAATAAATTGGTCATTTTCAATCTACGACTGTTTGTGGGACATTGCTGTGCGCAATTGGCTGCCGCGTTCGCCCACAAATATACAGTCAATTCACTTTACAGTGTGTTCTGTGAAGCGCTTTGGGACGTCCTCCCGACGTGAAAAGCGCTATATCAAATGCAAGGATTATAACAGGTACAGTAAAACAAAAATAAATTACATTTGTATAGCGCCTTTCACATCGATGCGACAGTGAAGGGTTTGCACCCGTGCTGGGCGTTGGAGTCAACAGGGTTTGAGGGCAATGGAGATGGGAAGATGATCGAAAGCACGGATGAGATGGGTCTTGAAGGAGGCATGGGATAGGGCGAGGTGAAGTGCCCCGGGATGGACTTCCAGAGGATGGGAGCAGAAAGGCTAAAGGCCAGTCTGCCGTTGGTGGAGTGGGCCATATCAAACACTGCCATCAAGAACAGTAAATCATAGTGAATACTGATACTAGATACAGTAAACCATGCTGAACACTGTTGGTAAAATTGTAAATCATAGTGACCACTACTACCCAGTATAGTAAACCATTATTGAATACTGCCACTAGATTCAGTAAACCAGAGTGACCACTACCACCCACTGAATAATGAAGTAAAATATGCTAGACAGTATATCTGGAAGATAAATATGTAGGAAAAGCAATTACAACCTAGTGTCGCTACCCAAGACTTCTTCAGGAACCTTGTAGTATGATGCCCAGCTCGACACTTCTGTAATCCCATACAGATTGTAGATGTGGGTTTTGTTGCCTTCTCCTCGCCAGCTTTTCATTACAGGTAGTGAGGGAAAGGACTCTCCACCCAGCGCTAACACACGTAGCGAAGTATTGGCTGAAAGCACTACTGTTGACAAGAGTTCTGATCCAAAACGTTTCATTAACGTTGGGGTGGCCTAGAGAAAGAGAGAGATTGTAACATTATCCAAGATATGTTACTTAGACTTCCATAACAAAGACAACACAACTTGCATTTATATAGCACCTCTCACGCTGGCTAGCATCCCAGAGACAGCTTTTTTACTGACACATAATTTTTATTGTAACTACATACTGGCACTGGTTCCATGTTGGCACCAGTATGTAGATTGTGATGGTGACTGTGTGGAAAAATAATTGCACTGGTGTATTTGAAAAACCTTCTTTTGTGCCTATGTTAAGTTTTGTAAATTAACAACCACAGAATTTTGAGAAAATAGAAAGGAGGTTTTAGGGTCTCTCTCGAAAATTGGAAAGACAAACCAGATGTTCTGTGCAGAAAACAGTTTATGCTGCAAGATGTTTTTCTGGGGCAGCAGTAACATTACCTTTTTCCCATGGAAGACATATTGTTATTAATAATAATAAAAAATAATCATCATCAAATAATCAACCCCAATACAGCATCGGGCTTAAACTGATGCAATGTGCATTTCATAAATAATAATTATCCTTGCATTCGATATAGCACTTTATCATGTCATTGAGACGTCTCAAAGCGCGTCACAGAATACACTGTAAAATTAATTGACTGTATATTTTGTGGACAAAACTGATGATCAAACAACTAAAAGGCCTGGGCTTTTCGGATAAAATGGGGATGCTGATTTGCGGGGAACCGATCCTGCATAAAACTGCCATGTGTTTAAAAACATGTTTGAGGCTTAGGTAGGAGGGCACGATCCAGACGATGATTGGCTATTGACCTGTCACTCATCAAGAGAACGGGCTCTGGGCAACGATTGGCTGGTCCATGCTGTCATTCACCCAGTTGTCAGCTCAGGGGTGATCTCCACAGGCTGCACATCATCCAGAACTGTGCAGCCCATGTTCTCTCCCTCACTAGGCTTTGCGACCCTATCACCCCCATCCTTGCCCAACTTCACTGGCATCCCATCACGGAGGATACAATTCAAGATCCTGGTCCTCACCTTGAAAGCCCTCCACTGTCTTGCTCCCCCCTACCTCTCCCGATTTCCCATACAGCCAGTCCGTCCCTGAATAACAACTTACCTGTATAACAGTAACTTTGTGATGGTTAAAAAGAACCTTGGCCAGTCTTTCCGGCATCATTTTAATGACTGGTGGAACAATCAGCAGGGTAGCTCCACTGGATAGCGCAACAAACATTTCAACGATAGACGGGTCAAAAGTCAAAGGTGATGCCATAAAAATTAGATCATCTGGTGATATTTCAAAGATAGACCTAGAAAAACAAAGTAAAGACTGAAAAAGCACAGAACATGAAACTATGAGAAAGCACAACAATGACAACCATTACATTAATGCCTCTAATGGTTCATTTATAATCCAGTGGAGATCATTGGTGTTTTGATATAAAAAATTGAACAACATTAAAGGGGAAGCCCAGAATGGGGGTGGTCCAGACTCTTTAGTAGAAATCAGTTCCTATATACATGGGTTGCTGATGGAAAACCATCAACCCACAAATATTGATTTTTAGGTTTCTTTATGAAGTCAGGGAGTAATCTTCCAACATTCATTGTTGAGGCTCACACATGAATGATACTTTGAATCTGTAACCTGTATTGTCTCCTACCCTGCAAAGGCAGTATGTTTACCCACTAGGCTGTCGGTGAGCTGAAGTTTTTTCTTTAATTATCTGACAAAATATTATATGTTGTTTTAAGAAGATGAATCTGGAACTTATTATTGTTAGTGCAGTTCTGTTGTGTGAGGCGAAATGAAACCACAGGTTTTAATGGAAGGAACTGAAAGGTTGATGCTACAATATCTCTTTTTTTATGAACAATTTTTTTCTTAAGAACAATTTTTAATATATTAAAATATTCGATATACTACACTATCTTTTCCTTTAACAATTGAGGCATGAAGTTTCCAGTATTGGGAATGAAATACCATGAAATGATCATCATGTGGCAAGTCAAGCTGAACATGATGGGGGGAAAATCTTCAGTAAAATCAAGCCCATCTTCTATATTCTTGGTCAGCTACGAGAAAGCAGAACCTTCACAATACATTCACTGGACAATTCTAAAATGGGCCCTAACAAAAGTGATGATAGTTACAAAAGGGCTTGTTAAGATAAGTGAGAAAGTCACTTGGGCCTGCTCAGACATCCTATTAGTTCATCATAATATACTGATATTGGTAAACCACAAACTAGACTTACCTGAGATGCTCTATGTTAGGCACAATACACTGATGAGGCACTCGAACAACTTTTGGAGTTCCTGTTGTGCCTGAGGTGTGCAAAATGTACGCCATGAAACCTTGTGTCCAACAATCTGCATATTCACGTGAATTGATTTTAAGTTGCTCAGTGCTTCCTAGACTGTCTTCTGTCAAATCAACTCTTTTATTGTAAGTAATACTTTTTGTGTCCACAACATCTGAAGCTAGGGAATTCACATTAGTCAGTTTCCACCAAATCTTCACAAGGTCTATGTCTAGCTCTGGTATATTACATTCAATATTAAACTCCAGCCAGGTTGACAATGAATCCTTGAATTTCTGGAACATAAAAATAATAGTAAGAGACTAGAGGTATTTGATAAGAATTATATAATTTATTCCTACAGTCAAATTTTTACTTTATTATCCTTAATTTGTAATTATAATTTTCCCATCAATGTACAACTGGGGAAATACATAATATACTACAGAGTATATTATGTGTACAAGAGGATTTTTACCAATATTTTGTCATGTTAGTATTTACATTTTAAAGTACTTATACATCGACACAGCTGACATAATAACAAAACAATTTGAGCAGGTCCAGAGAGTGGCCTGAGGTATGACGTACAGGCTAAAACAAATAATTTTAAAAAAAACTTCGGAAAAAATTAGAAATGTTGGGCTTCTGATTTCTTTATTACCCATATAGGACTGCATTTTACCAACCAGAGAAAAAAACATTTTGCTATTTGACTCATGATTAGAAATAATCTAGACTCCCTTCCATGTTTTTCAAAAATGCAGACTAAGCAATACAGGAACTCTACGATTTACATTGTACAAACAGAAATTCAAAAAGGGCATATTTGCTATGTTTGATACAAATATTAAATAACATTTTTAACACAATTTGTTTTCCAGAGAAATCCATAAACCATACTAACACTTTTTTCCATTGTGAAACAAAAGCATGCTCAGCATTTTTTCTTTAATAAATATTATTTGTCTTTGCTCATTTGAAGCTCGGTAACTCACCACCATCATATCTTTCTGGACAAGGACATACTTCAACTTGCAACTTCGCATAAAATATGATGATAAATGAGGCAAACTTTCTGGATCAATAGGGCAAAAGGCAGCTTCAACTTGAAGGATTCTGAAATTGGACAGAACAATTATAATATTTTTGAAATAGCAGCAATGACTCATATTTAGATAACAAGCAGAAGACAGGTTGAAAAAATAAGATTACTGCTTTCAGTATGGCCTTTACTTTTTTATGTTTGAATGTAGCTTTGTTTTCCCACATAATTTGTAATGTACTGTTCCATGATTCATCAACCTTAATTTGTAATTAAACTTTTCCCATCAATGTATCACTGGGGAGTTGAGGAAGGGCAGGAGGAGGCTTATGTGGAGCATAAACACCAGCATAGACCAGTTGGGCTGAATGGCCTGTCTCTGCGCTGTATATTCTAATAATAATAATAATAATAATAATAATAATCCTTGCATTTGATATAGCGCTTTTCACGTCGGGAGGACGTCCCAAAGCGCATCACAGAACACACTGTAAAGTGAATTGACTGTATATTTGTGGGCGAACGCGGCAGCCAATTGCGCACAGCAATGTCCCACAAACAGTCATGGATTGAAAATGTATATGTACATATAATGTACATGTTTTCTAATCCCCACAAAGGATTAAAAGACTGGAATTTCTGCAGCATATTTGTGACACTGAAGATTTTCATAGTAAAACATAAAACAGTCATTCACGATACTGTGCGCCAGATCTTTCATATTATTGTAGCATATATTTAAGAAATTCCCACAGAAAAAAATGCTACTTTATGAGATCTGAGATCTTTTGTTACTTTTACAAGTTTCATTGTAAACAAATAAAAAGTGCTATTTCACTGCCTGACCCATGATAAATCGCAGTAAGATCTTTGTAACATTGTAACAGCTACATCCTCTACATTCACAATAATCCTTGTATTGCGGCCTACTCTTGCCATCGGGTCAATATTGAAAAAATAATTCTGATATATGAATTCAATTCATCTTGCACATTTATTGTACTAATCAAAAGTACGTCTACTTCATGTGCTAAACAATGGGTAACTTCCAAGTCATCGGGTTGTCGTCAACTTATTCCCCTTTGTGGGGGGGAGTGAAGGCAGCAGAGCTTCTTCGGGACGCTCTTCAAGCCGGGAGTGACCTCAGCGGTGACCCGATGACCCGGAAGTTGGCCACTCTTTCGATTTACTTTGCTTATAAATTGCCATCCGACCCGTTGGGCAGCGAAGCAGTTCTACTGTATCTACTTATCCCTCTCGAACATCTCTCTCGCCGCTGAGTCGGAAGGTTGTGAGCGCCATTCACTGCACGGAACACAAATTGTAGACCAGGACTTGGCCAGATGCATGACCCTGAAAGTCTTTGTTATCCGATTTATACAGATCAGACTTAAGCGGATTTTTTTTTTATTATTTTGGCAGAATAAGTGGCGAGAAAACCGACTTGAAGCTCAAGTGCTGGGAAGTCACATGAAGTGTCTCACACGGCAGTGCGGCTCGTGGGGGTGTGTGTGGGTGAGTGTGTGAGGGTTTACCTGCATCTCAGGTCAGGTGACAGTGTGGGTTGGGGAGGGGGGGGATAAGGAACCAATATAAAGCAGTGAGTGTACCCGAGGGTCCAGCAGGGCAGCAGCAGGGCGGGTCGGCAGTACAAGCCGACCACGTGCTGTAGGTCGAAGTGGCAGTGAGTGAGCAGCGCCTCGGCGAGGGCGGCGGCCAGGCCGGTCACCTGACCGTAGGTCAGCACCGCGCACGCGCCCTGCCCGGCCCCGCGCCCGTCGTAGCGCACGGCCGCTCGCGCGCCGTGCAGCGCGGCTGCGCACAGTACCCGCTCGTGCAGGCGCTCGGCCACCGCCATCCGGTCACGACTGGGGACAACTGCCAGCGTCGCCTGGCAACCGGGGCCCGCCCCGCCCCGACTCGGTGACAACCCCCCCACCCACACCCCCCCACCGCCGGGGCTCACAGCCGGTCACCGAGTCCAGGAGAAGCGGCCGAACCGCGGCTGAAACGCGGAACTCCCGGTTCCGAATACCGAGCGGCTGCCACACACGCGCACACCACGAGCGCCCCGCGTCTGCGTGCGCGGCCCCGCGTCTGCGTCACGTCCCGCCCCCCCGGCTCCCTGAACTGCGTGACGTGCGCATGCGCACTCACTGCTGCCCCTCCTCCCCCCCCCCTCAGCCCTGTGCACTGTGGGCTCGAGCCTCACATCAGCAGCTCCGCTCTCTAACCTGACACTGCAGTGCAGAGGCTGGAGAGCGGCCCTGTGGGGCACTGAGTGCCCACTGATCAGCTCACTCATACTGCAGTAGGCAGCAGGATGTCAGCAGTCTTACCCTGACACCTGTACTGGCTTTCTGCAATCTGCCTGCGCCCAACAACAACAACAACAACAACAATAATAATAATCCTTGCATTTGATACAGCGCCTTATCACATCTTCGAGACGTCGTAAAGCGCTTCACGGAATATACCGTAAAGCGAATTGACTGTATAATGTTGTGGGCCAAACGTGGAAGCCAATTGCGCACAGCAGTGTCCCCCACAAACGGTCGTGGGTTGAAGTGACCCAATTTATTATTTTCCTTTTTCTCTTGAGGGGTTGTTGTCAGGAGTGGGGAGTAAGGAAACCCGCCCAAGGTTTCGCCCCCGGCCGGGAATCAAACCCGGGTCTCTCGCTTGCAAGGCGAGTGCTCTAACCACTGAGCTACAGGGCTCCTAATCATATACCAATACTCTGGGGAATTAAAAGGCAAAACACTACAGATGCTGGAAATCTGAAATAAACATAGAAGTTGCGGGGAACGCACAACAGGTCAGGTAGCATCTATGGAGAGAGGGTTAACATCTCTGGGGAGAGAGTCCGCATTCCGCAGTAATGGTTTTCTATATGTGTCAGAGCTCAGGCTGTTCGTGACTAAGTTGGCCAAAGCGACACAAGCAGCCCCTTTTGTGCCGTGAGATCAAAACAGCAAATTGCATTAGAGGATTGCTTGATTGAAAATACAAATCCTATTAGTTGAGGAACAGTGCTGGACGAATCCGCAATTGTGTCACCAGGTACAGGAGGAGGATGCCAGTACCAAAGAATCATAAACCAGTGTGAGTTGCCTCCTTCAAGAATGAGCGAAAAAGAGAACCATAAAATTACAATAAATAATAAAGTCCAATTCCAAAATTTAAAATTACTGATTTATTGACTTGGATTTGACAATTTATATTATAGGTTGGACAATTAGATCTGAAATAATGCATCCAAAGTTTAGATCTGCAACCAGGACCCAAAACTAAATCAGTCTGATAGAGAAGGTGGATTAATCCCATCGCACATTAGTAGAGTATAATGAATATAATATAAGTATATTCTGTGAAACGCTTTGAGACGTTTAGAAGCCGTGAAAAAGTGCAACATCAAATGCAAGGATTATATTATTATTAATGTGGTCGGACTCGATTGCCAACATTCTAAAGAGAAAGGCTGTAAATATCGCAGCCCATGAAGAGAATGAATTCTCTATTGGAAACATCACTAATAATTTCCTAAAAAGAAAATGGTCACTCAATCCATGACTGTTTGTGGCACACTGCTGTGCACAATTGGCTGCCGGGTTTCACCCACAAAAAATATAGTCAATTCACTTTACAGTATATTCTGTGAAGCGCTTTGGGACGTCCTAACATGAAAGTTGCTATAAAAATGTAATTTTGTTGTTGTTGTTGTGACGTCTCAAAGATGTGATAAGGCGCTATATCAAATACAAGGATTATGATTATTATTATTATCACTGAACTGGATCCCAGTCCAGTGATCTGAATGCATCAACTTGCAAATGGTTCTAACGTTTTCACAAACTCAATATGCTTCTGTTTGGACCTATAATTCTAGAGAAAGCATTACAGTTTTGACACAAAACTCAAAAAACTGTACTTCAAGGCATTCAAAGCTAGTTTACCAAACAACATTGGATAGTCTTTTGGCACTAATACACATGATATATGCACATTTGTGGAGTCCTGTAGCTCAGTGGTTAGAGCACTCACCTTGCAAGCGAGGCATCTGGGCTCAATTCCAGGCAGGGCGAAACCTTGGGCAAGTTTCCTTACTCCACACGCATGATAATAATCCCTCCAAAACAGAACAATAATAAATTGGTCACTTTCAATCCACGACTGTTTGTGGGACACTGCTGTGCGCAATTGGCTGCCGCGTTCGCCCACAAATATACAGTCAATTCACTTTGCAGTCTATTCTGTGAAGCACTTTAAGACGTCAAGAAGACATGAAAAGCGCTATATCAAAAGCAAGGATTATTATATTATGACAGCAATGAAAAATACTGTATATACTATAGTTTGTAAAATGACCTTGTAAAGTGATTTGAAATATTCTTGAAATCAGAGAATGTGGTGTTGTTAACGTCCCCACCCAGCTTTGCCTATTCAGAAACTATTTGGAATGCATAAGCAATGAGGCTCTGCTGCTTATGTCATGTTGTCTTACAATTATCTGTTCTATCTACACTACTTTCTCTCTTTGTCTATTCTTGCTCATGTGTTTTGCAACAGGCTTATTGCATATATTCTGCTCTTAAGGCTTTTCGCCTCAGATTCATCCAGTATGCAGCTTCTGGCTTTTCCCTTTATTGAATCACAGATTGTTTACGTCACAAGAGTAGCTGAGTTAACCCAGATGATTCAGGATTCAGTTTTTTAATTGTCAGTTCTGGAAATAATGATTTGCTCCTCATTGAGTAAAATCTTGACCAGAAGTACCTTGTCCTATTAATAATAATTCTTGCATTTGATATACCACCAGCCAATTGCACACAGCAGTGTCCCACAAACATCATGTATTGAGAAATAATTTTTTTTATATTGTTCTGAATGGCGGTGTTCAGTGCGATTTTAAGAGCACAAAATTGTGGTTTGATGGTACGTTGCAAAAATGGAATAGTTTAGTTATTGAAAGATTTGCTCAAAAATAATTTTTTGGGGGCGGGAGGGTGATTTGGAAACAGATTAAATTCTTTATTTTCTCATAGTTACAGAAGCTTAAGAGACATGCGATTAAAAAAAAAAGGTGATTTAGTAAAATAGCTAGAGCTTGGCATAGACAAGATAGACAATGACTCTATGCAATGCAAAATAGTCTGTTTCCATAAATATTTCAAACTATGTTAAGCATCCTGTAATTCCATTATCACTATAGTGTAAATCATTCTTAAATTATTATGCTAATTCAATTTTACTCACAAACACAGTCACAGTAAAGTTGCTTTGAGGTGTCTGTTCTGATAAGGTGCTTACTAAATGCAAGGATTATTATTGTTAATAATAAGATCAGCCAATGTAGCAATGATTTTAACAAGCTCACCAGCAATAAATGCTATACTGCACCATATGGTAAAATATGTTAAATATCTAAACTCTTGCGATTAATCAGTCTTTGGTTTCGAACTGACTGAAAAGTGTTGACATTTCAAATTTCTTCTGATAAGCGTTTTTGGAAATCAATCATCTGGTCCCTCAAAAGGTTGAGTACTCAGAGTTGACTTATTGTAGTCACTGTACTCTTATTTCTGTAGGTATTCTGACAACAGGTAACTATGTTCATGCATGGTGGAGAAGCTAATAAACAATCCTTCTGATAGTTGAATAGATTGCGGTGAAATTGCCTATTTTAAGTTAGTTTACTATGAAAGCAACAACTGCATATTCCAATTTGATTTTAATATTTATACAATTTATATTTGGGCTGAGAGAGCTTTCCCCCACATGACAAAAGTTCACTGAGTTTTCCTTTTCACTGATTAACCAGTCTGTGAATATATAGTCAAAGATAAGTGTTTGCCCATTATTCCAGAATGTTACAAAGATCAGGAATGGGAGTTGCATTCCACAGTGGGAAATACAACTTTTAAAGCTCAGCACCAATATTATTGACGTACCTTAAGGCAATACATAAGTTGCTCCCTCTCCTAAGATGTCTCAAAACATACCTCTTTGCTTATGCTTTTGGTCATCTTTCCCCTCCCCACCCTCTCAGCTCCTACCATCACTTCAAGCGCTCCAGGATGCTACCAAAAAACCCTTGCATTTGAAACAGCATCTTATTGATCTGAAACGGGGCTTTACATAAATGCAAATTGCTATTTGTGACTAGGCAGAATTGTCAATTGCTGTAGGATGTCTTCCTGACTTGAAAGGGATTTACACAAATCTAGACTATGAACAATTAGCAACAATAACTTGCATTATATAGCGCCCTTCACACAGGGTAATGTCCCAGAGCATTTTTGTAAATGTAAGGTGCATAATATGTTTACACAAGGCACATAATGGAGCCAAATGGCTGCATGGCTTTGTTAACACATATTGTCAAAATCCCAGTTGTTAACTGATTTTACAATATTTTAGTCTTTCTTTGATGGCCTAGAAATAGTTAACAGAAAATTCCAAGAACATGTATTGGTACTATAATGTTGTATTTTATTGCAGAAATGAATCGATAACAATACAAAATTCAGGAAATCAAGTAGTTTTGCAACATATATTCCCACAATGATCTCCTTCAAGTCCTGCCTCAAAACCCTCCTCTCCCTTCCCCTCCCCTCACCTTGGGTCTGAAATGCTGTACGCTGTCTAGTGCCTTGGGACGTCCTCCCGACATGAAAGGTGCCATACAAATATAATCTTGTTGTTGCTGCAGCATAACAGTTGATATTTATCAAACAATTAATAGAAAATTGTGTTTAGTCAGTACAGCTTTATTCCAAAGACACTATTACTGAGACACTAAAAACTTCAACCTCAAATACAGAATTAGTTTAATGAGGGAACATGATTTTTTTCTGGGACTTGGCATTAAATGAAAGGCAGACTTGATAATTAACAAAGATCCAAAGTAGAATTGATAAGACCGTTATTTTACACAAAATGATTGAAATTCAAAACAAATTGATCAAACCCAAGAATGTACAGGCATAATAACATTGAATTGTCAAGCTGGCACAATTAATAGCATTACAGTTTTGGATGGCAACACTTATTGGGGTCAGTTTACTGGTACAATCAATATTCATCAAGTTAAATGTATTGTAGTAGTCAATAGAATTCTGATGAGAAAAACTTACCACTAAAATGGTCTCCCATTATCAATGCAATGAATAGAAAGATACTAAACACCACACATAACTTAATAGTTATTGATTTCAAAACAGTAGATAATTTGGATTCCTACCAAAGACATTCCACAGCTTAACGTGTCATACTGAAAAACTGTAGGTAAAATAACAAACCACTAAAAAGCACTTCTCAATTGTTAACACATTTTTGTAAATAGGGCCTACGGTACACCTCAGCCTGGCTCAGTGGTATCACCCTCACCTCCGAGTCAAAATGTTGCGAGTTCAAGGCCCACGTTGGGATTTGGAATCACATAGCCTAAGCTGACACGACTATGCAGGGCTGGGGCTTTGTGCATTGTTGAAGGTGCCGATATTCGGATGAGATATTAAAACCCAAGATCACGTCTGCCTGTTCAGGTGGACGTTAAGGCACAATTCAAAAAGAGAAGGGAGTTTCTCCCAGTGTCCTGACCAACAATCCCCCAAATAAAACTGGTCACCCTCACCACGGCTGTTTGTGGGACATGGATGCGCACAAAATGGCTGCTGCATTTCACTCACAAAATAGTCAGTCCACTTTACTGTATATCCTGTGAAGCGTTTTGAGAAGGCACTATATCAAATGCAAGGATTATTATTAAACTTAAGTTTGGAGTAAATTTTATTTACATTTCACTTTTTGAACCAATTATTCCAATACATTAATAATTATAAACTTTACCTAAGATTGTACATACTCCTTTCATTAAATGTTTACATTTATGTTTTACAAAAAGGTCTTGAGCAGCTCAGTAACTGAGAAACTAACTATCCATAGTCAAGAATCTACCATACTGTTTGAAGGACAGCTTGAAGTCTGTCAGAGATATGGTGAGGAAATGGAGTGGTAATAACTGAACAATGTTTCAATATTTAACCGTCAGAATTTGCATGCAAAATACCTACAGCTCAAAGCGAAACATCAACATTTTATCATAATGTTGTATAATAATGATTTCCAGCACCTTGGGATGTTCTCCCGATGTGAAAGGCGCTACACAAATGTAATTTTGTATTGTATATCAAAAACAGTATCAAAATATTTCAGAATAGTCATAGGCTATGACTTATTCAAAAGGAAATGATTCAGGTAGAAGTTCCAGAAAAATAATTATTTATTACAAATGTCTGAGTTACCAGTGATCGTAAATGGGAAAATTCTAAACGTTGGTTAGTTTAATCTGTTTGACATAAAAGTTACCAGAGACAATTAACAGACTCACTAAAGGATAGTCCGTATAGTTTTTCTAAGGTAAACATGATATCACATTTGAATTTGCTGAACAATGAACTTCATCTATCAACACTCCAAAATCAAAAACAAGAGATTCAACATCTCTATCATCCATGAAGCAAAATGTACGGAACATAAGGTATTAAATCTCATCGCTGTTTACAAAATAACTAAAATCGGAAGCCTCCCAGAAAAAACAGGAATAGCTCTTCTATTTTAGTTGCAAGGCACAACAGAAATAAACCCCATCTTAAGATACTCTATCTAGCTTTAGATGTTCAGAACATTGCTACATCTATAGTAATTAAACATAGTTTAGTATGTTAGAATGATACCTCTAAACACAAAAGTATACAACTTTTCACTAAATAAAGCCCACTCTTCCTGCCAGATTATTTATTAAAATTCAGTTAACTAATCTCTTCCTCATTCTTCCTGTCATGTGGCACAGAACTCGAGATTGCAATTTTGTCTATTGTGGGCGCTGTTTAGGGGGTATGTTCAGGTTGTAACAATTTATAGCATCACTCACTCATAGTACATTATAGCCTTGTACCATTTGCACCTTGTACAATTATCTATCACATCAGGAAATAAATGACTTACTCATGTGTTTTCAATAAGAGAACATTTCTTTTGGTACCAATACTGTGTGGATCTTATTGCGCATATATGCAGACAGACCACTCACTCTCTTTTCACGTGCCAATAACTTCCAGGTCATTAGGCTGTTACTAACATTTCCAGCAGTGAGCTGATAACTCAGAAGTTAGCCACCTTAGCTTTCTGTGTTAAAAAAAAGACCAGACTCCAGGTTATCTGTCCGCTGCCAACGTCACTTGCTCTTTACCCGTAAAATAAGAAGTGCCATTAGCAGTATCCTGATGTCTCAGAAATCAGACTTTTTTTTATATATAAATGCAGGAACCAGCCAGTGTATAGAGAGTGAACTGGGCACTTGTATACATACGCGGTTAAATCAGTTATTGAGTCTCACTATAGAGCAGGTTGGGATTTTGTGGATCACAAACAACCACATTATAACTGGATCCACTGCACTGTGCATGTTCAAATGGACTATCATTAATAATATAGAATGCATCAAACACAATGTGGTTTATAAAAAGCAAGAAATTGCACAAGTAGACTGTGAGAACACTGAACTGCTACACTTGGATAAAAAAATTATAGGTTGCTCATTGAGAACACATTAATAATGGTGTCGTATGGTTTATTCACATCTCCAACAGTTTTGCTGGTGAATGACGTAGAATCTTTACCATTCTAGCTCCACTGGGTATTTCCCTGTGAGACAGGCTGTACAATGACCTATTTGTTTGGGGGAAGATTTACTGTCATTGTCACCATTACTGATGATGGAATTTGGTCGCAGACTTTTACTCCCTTCCTGTACAGCTGAAAGCAACCCATCGACAGAGAGATACACCACACTGTTTGCACCTGAAAAATAGAATTCAAGATTTTTTTTAAAAAAAAGCTGATAAACCTCAGGAGAACAACAAACAAATGGTAATTGATCAGGTTATTCAGGCTCTGATTTTACCTTATCAGTTTCAATACTGAAAAGGATACTCATTGGAATCAGAAATATTTTATTTAATTGTTTGCTCTTAATTCAGATAGAGGTGACACTTGGGTCAAGTACTACACGTGGAGAGAATAAAAAAAACACTATTGCAGACTTGATGATCCAAACATCCCGTTTTGGTTTTTATCTTGTAAACATTGCCTGATCATCACTGAACCACCCCACCTCCTCGGAGTTTAACAGCAAATTTATTACAATTCAAATGAAAAACCCACAACTAACCTATATAGCCAGCAAGGTCCTCAAACTCTGGTTTGTTCGCAATTAGTTCTTCCTTTGTTGGAATATTGATTCCCATGTAACAAGGAAACCTTATTGGAGGTGAAGCGACACGTATGTGTACCTGTAATGGTTGAGAAGTCCAGCATACATTTAACAGGAAAAATAGAAAGCTTTGATTGAAATATTATGTGTAATTGAATTTATACAAAACCTTAGTTAGACCACATTTTGGAGTTGTGCCCAATGCTGGTCTCCACACTATAAGAGTATAGCAGCTATGGATAGAGTAGTGTAGATTTATGAGTCGCTATCAGGACTGGAAGGTTATTCCTATCAGTACAGACCAGCCAGTTTAGTCTTTTTATGCTAAAGAGACTTTAAAGGGGACCTAATAGAAGTGTTTAAAATTATGAAAGGGTCCGATAAGGTTAACATAAATAAGCTGTTTCCAATGGTTGAGGTGTTCAAATCCAGGGGACACAAGTATAAATGAGCAACTAGGGGATCTACGAGAATTTAGGAGACTGCTTCACTCAGAGGGTAGCGATATTATGGAAGTCGCTACTTGGAGTGGTGCTTAAATCAGTCATCGGTGCATTCAAGAGGAATGCTAGTACTTTTACATGAGGGAGAGGGAAATAGAAGGGTGTGGGACAGAGAGCAAGGAATGGGTGAAGACCTGGGCCCATAGAAAAATGCAGCTGCACTTTTTCTGTGCTATCCGCTAAAAACCTATGAAAATGCAGTTTGCTCAACCCCAGGCCTCTGTACACCGGTGCCAGCAGTTTAATCGGCACCACTACTGTTGGCAGCTCAGGACACACATACAGGAGTGGGAAATGGGCTTTGCTCACCCTGAGGCACCATTGTTGAGATTGTCTATGTGTCTCTCTCCTTTGTATGTGTGTGTGTCTGTACCTCTTGTCTGTGTGCATGTTTGTGAGTGTGTGTGTGTGTCTCTCTGTCTGCGTGTGACTATGTGAGTGTCTGTGAATGTGTGTCTCTGTAAGCACATGTATGTCTCTTTCTGTGTCTGTGAGTGGGTGTATTTTCCTCCCCGTCTGTGAGTGGGTGTCTTTCTCCATATCTGTAATTGTCTCTGTATGTGAGTGTGTCTCTCTGGGTGTGTGCGCGTATGTTTCTCCGGGTCTGTGTGTGTATGTCTTCTGGGTCTGCGTGTGTGTTGGCGGCCCCAAGAGGCAGGAGGTGGTGGAGCCCCGCAGTTTGGATACTGGCAAGCAATGCTGTTGTTTTAGCAGATCTCCAACAATCGTAATATGTATTATTTCTTCATCTTTAGTTTTTATCAATAAAGTGAAAACATGTAGGCAGTAAAATGTACTTCTCAACAGCTCCAATCAACCCTGGCAATTTTCTGGAAATTTGTCAAATTTGCTCCCAATTTCCCTCAAAATGTCTAATTTTTAATCAAATAATTCTGTAATATTCTATTGTCCCCGGTGAAGTCTCATGTGGAGTATAACCACCAGTATTGGGCCGAGTGACCTGTTTCCATGCTAACTTTTTATACATTTATTTAGAAAAATATTAATGTCTTAACCTGATCTTTAGCTGTAAAACAGGCAACATAATTTCACATGCTTCTGCTTAACAATTTGTTCAAAGAATTGCTGAATGCAAGCCTGTAGATTGATGCTGCAATCTATTGCAGTTAAGTAAATGACCTTTTTAAATTATTTATATTTGACTAAACACTGAATTCTAATGTATTTAAAACAGTGCCAAAATTAGAAAATCATTTAAATAAAAAAACATAACTTGTTTTCTGGCTTCCTTTTTAATTACCTCTTTGGCACCTGCTTCCTTCAGGACCTTGATGATTGGAGAAATAGTATTTCCACGTACAATAGAATCATCTATCAGCACGATCCTCTTTCCAGCAAAGTTATCACTTAGTGCTCCAAATTTTTGAGCCACTCCAAGCTGACGTAATCTTGTATTTGGTTGAATAAATGTTCTGCCTACGTAGCGGTTTTTGCAGAGTACTTCCACATAAGGCAGTCCTGCCTAAAACAAATAAAATATTGAGGAGATAAAAAAAATAAAGTAGCAGGATCTAAGGTCATGTTGTTTTCAACCTCCATTAGTCAAACAAACCAAACCCAAGTATCATAATTGTAGGATAATTATGATACCATTTGAGAATAAGATTATTGACTTGATTATTGTAATATTTAAGAAGGTTATTTTAAGATTATCGGAGGTGAAATCTTAAATACTCTGAAAATGCTAATTTATAAGCAGACTGTGATTTTAAACCTTCAGCAACAAAAATCAAAACATACCACAATTATAACAATATCTAAATATAGAACATCTCATCAGCAAAATATGAGTGACAAGCATGGAAAATCCAACATTTTGTGCTTCTTGCTTTTTAAATATATTTTAGTGTTTATTCATTGGCTTTTTTTTGACTTCCCATCACGGGCTCTGAATAGCTCCACACAAAATCCATTTCACCCACTTTAAACATTTCATGTTGTGAATTCCTATATATATTAATTCATATTCTTCTGTCGTTCTGTTTACAGTTTATTAAAATTTTCAGTGGAAATAATTTTGCCAAAAAATCTGCCAATTTCTAAAATATATGAAGATTTTGTAAATTATAATAATCCTTGCATTTTGTACTGTCAGAAGAACATCTCAAAGCTCTTCACATGATTTACTTCAAAAGTGGAATGACTGTATTTGTAGGCAAATACAGCAGTCCATTTGCACACAATGTCCTATAAATAGCCATGAAGTTAATGACCAATTTTATTCGGCGGATTGTTGGCCAGGACACTGGAAGAAACTCCACCAAATTACATTCTTACGCATCTTTTACATTTCACCAATAGTACCAATATGTTCCCAGACCAGTTCAATAAGCTGCTAAGAATACATAAGGCAGACTTTGCCTTTATTTTCCACCCCATGCCCCAAACTTTTCCATCCTTTGTTGTACTACTGTACCCCAACAGTTAGTGAATTGTTGTTTGTGCTTTAATATTCATAATGCAGCTGTCAAATGTTTTTGTTTTTCAGCAAACAATTCAATGAACTAATATTATCTCCCTCTACTCTTGTATTGAAATAAATTATTCTCCTTACCTCTTGTGCATAACCAAGTGCTGCTGGAGTTGCAGATTCAGGAACTGTGCTGACCAAGTCTGCATCTACCGGAGCCTCAATGGCAAGCTGATGACCACAGCGACGCCTGACAGTATATACCATTTGTCCTTAGAATTAAAATCCATTTAAATTAGAATAAAACATAAATTACGAAAATAACAACATTACATTTGTATAGCGCCTTTCACGTCGGGAGGACGTCCCAAGGAGCCGGACAGTGTACAGCATTTCAGACCCGAGCTGGGGTCAGGGAGGTGACCGATGGCATAGTCGAAGAGGAGGGTTTTGAGGCGGGACTTAAAGGAGGCTAAGGAGGGGGTGAGGCGGAGTGACTGGGGGATGAGATTCCAGAGGTTGGGGGCAGAGTGACTGAAGGCTCTCCCGCCCATGGTGGGGCGGGTGGGTCGCGGGAAGTAGAGCAGGCCAGAGCCGGCTGAGCGGAGGAAGCGGGCGGGTTGGTAGGAGGTTAGGGGGTCGCAGAGGTAGGGTGGGGCGAAGCCATGGAGGGCTTTGTAGGTGAGAACCAGGATCTTGAATTGGATCCTCTGAAGAATAAGGAGCCAAAGGAATCGGGCAAGAATGGGGGAAATGGGGGTCACCGAGTTTTGTGCGGACGAGGACACGGGCTGCAGAGTTCTGGATTATCTGCAGCCTGTGGAGGGAGGAGTTGGGAAGGCCGACAAGCAGGGTATTTGCATAGTCGAGCCTGAAGGTAATGAAGGCATGAACAAGAGTTTCATCGACCTGAGGGGTGAGGTAGTGGTGGAGTCGGGTGATGTTACGGAGGTGAGGGAAGGCAGAACAGGTCATGGCTTGGAAGTATGGAGAAGACAGTTGAGGGTTGAACAAGACACCTAGGTTCCTGACTGGCTTGGTGAGTTGAAGTGTGCAACCATGGAGGTTGATACTACCAGAGGTTGAGGTGCAAAGGCGCTGGCGTGAGCCAATCAGGAGAACCTCAGTTTTGTTCACATTGAACTGTAGGAAATTCGCCCTCATCCAGGACTTGATGTCCGACAGACAGTCTGTCAGGACAGCAGTGGTCCTGGGGTTGAGGACGGAGGCAGAAAGATAGAGTTGGGTGTCATCTGCATACATATGGAAGTTGACCCCATGTCTGTGGATGATGTCACTAAGGGGGAGCATGTAGTTGTTAAAGAGGAGAGGGTCAAGGACAGAGCCCTGGGGGACACCAGATGTGAGTGCGGGGGCTGGAGGAGAAACCGTTAGAGGCAACAAAGTGGAGACGGTGATAGGGACAGGAATCGAACCAGGCAAGGGCAGGTCCGTGAAGATTGAGTAAAGAGGAGAGGCGGTGTATGAGGATGGAGTGGTCGACAGTGTCGAAGGCGACAGAGTGGTCGAGGAGGACAAGGAGGCAGAGGGAGCCCTGATCACAGATGTTCAGAATGTCATTAGTGACTTTGACCAGGGCTGTTTCCGTGCTGTGGGCAGAACGGAAGTCGGATTGGAGGGATTCAAAGAGGGAATGGTGAGAGAGAAAGGAGTGGAGCTGGGACGCAACGACTCGTTCCAGGACCTTGGAGAGGAATGGGAGGTTGGAGATGGGGCGGTAACTGGAGAGGAGGGATAGGTCCAGGGAAGGTTTTTTCAGGATGGGGGTGATGACGGCTGTTTTTAGGGGGGTGGGAACTGAACCGGTGGGCAAGGAGAGGTTTGTGATATCGGACAGGAGAGGGACCAGAAGGTGGAGATGAGGAGAGAGGTGGGGATGGGTTTGAGGGAGCAGGTGGTGAGTTTGAGTTTGCGAACGGTGGTGGTAAGGGAGGAGGGAGAGATAGGATCGAAGGAGTATAGGGGGGGATGGGTGGGGGGTTGGTCATGAGGGAGAGGTGATGTGGGGGTGGCGGTGGATGGGGTAGAGGTGGCTGAAAGTATCACCTCGATTTGGGATTCAAGGAAGTCCAGCATCTCCTCAAAGTTGGAGTTTGAGGAGAGGATGGGCGAGGAATGGGAAGGTGGACAGAGGAGACGGTTTGTGGTGGAAAACAGAAGCCTGGGGTTGTCCTTTGCCTTAAGATAACCTTGGTGTAGAAGGAGGATTGAGCGGAGGCAAGAGTGCAGTGGTAGGTTTTTCTGCCGATGGACCGTTAGTTTAGATTTGGTCCAGGTGCGTTCAGCAGCTTGAACTTGTGCCTTGAGGGAACAGAGATGGCTGGTGTACTCGGGGATTTATGGGAGTATGAGGCAGTTCGGGAGGTGAGGGGGGGCAAGGGAGTCCAGAATGGAGGAGAGGGAGTTGTGGAGAAGAGAGTGAGGAGGGGAGATCAGTCAGTGAGGGCCAGAGGTGTAGGAGTTCAGATGACTCCAGGGCAGTGGAGAGGGAGGACATTTTTTTCCCCACAGACGCTATGTGATGGTAGAGGGCTGAGAAAGGGGAAGGGGTACTGAGGTGTTGAGGGAAGATGAAGTGATGGTCTGAGATCGCTTTGTTGATGATGGTGATATCCGAGACGATGAGACCCCGGGTGATCAGCAGGTCAAGAGAGTGGCCACAGTCGTGGGTGGAGGAGTGGATGAGGAGTGAAAGGTTAAGGCAAGAGAGGGAGGAGGTCGGCAGAGGGGGGTGAAGTGGAGGTTGAAGTCGCCTAAGATTAGGAAGCGTTCAGAGCAGAGGGAGAGGGAAGATAGGAGGGTGGAGATGTCCAAGAGGAAGGTGGGGGAAGGCTTGGGGGGGACGGTAAACCAGGAAGATTTTGAGGGAAAGCCTGGAGGGGTGGTAGAAGGTAAGGTGTTCAAAGGAGGGGAAGGTTCCCGAGGAGTAAGGGGAAAGGCCGAGGGGGGAGCAGGAGATGAGAGCCACACCACCGCGATTGTAACCTGGTGTGGCCTCAACTAGTGGGAAGGTGTCCCCTGGGGTGACCCAGGTTTCGGTGAGAACGAGGATGTCAATGTTTTCCTCGACGGTGAGGTCATGGATTGTGAGGGATTATTTGTTAGTGAGCGGACGTTCTGCAGACTGATGCGGAGGGGACAGTTAGTGGTGGGATGGTGGGGGAGATGAGGGGGGGAGGGGGTGGGCAGACTGGTTGGATGGGGATGTGAGTAAGGGAGGAAAGTTTGGCTCTCATGGGTGAGGGCCGGTGGGCCTTGTGGTGAGAGTGGGGGAAGGGGCAGTCAGGGTGGGTGCTGTAGGACAGCCGACAGCGTCTACCACAGTGGGCACAACGGCAATAAATGTTCAATTCAGAAATAGTTCCGTATCGTTGTGAAATAATTGCCTGGAATATTTCCATAACAACAACAATTTGCATTTGTTATAGCGCCTTTCACAGCAGGAGGACATCTCACACCACTTAACTTTAAACACATCATTATTATAAATCAAGGTGTGAAAAGAGCAGTTTTAGGAATGTGGAAAAGAAAAACTAATGCATGATTGTTCAGTTTTGAGATTATATCATAGGATGCTTGGAGATATTGAGGTCAGGCCAACACAGTGCAATTTTATTTAACACCGCCTTCTTTTGGCACACTGCATACTTCATTATTATGTGGTTCAAAATAAATTGTAATGGCAGACAAGTTTACTAGATCATGTTTTTAAATCTTTCATAAAGCAAATACCTGGTGCAAGATGGTGCAAATAAACCTATATTTTCAAACAATTCCAATTTCTTTGCGACTATTTTAATTTAGGACTTTGAACCATGAAACAGAGTATTTACACTCAAATTATAGCAGGAAATAATAAATATGATTGTGTAGCACCTTATTGAAAATTCTGAATTACCTTCAAATATGGAGTCAGGTCTGGCAAAATAAACATATTCAAAAATACAGAATGCAGGAGGATCTCCTCCAGGTCTTGGTACACGGTCAAGTGTTTTAATTCCATGCTTAGAAATCTGTACAATTTCCCCAGGTAATACTTCACGGTAATATCTAGAAAGAGAAAACAGAAATGCTTAAAGGTTCTACCAAGCAATAACTACTGAGGTTTCTTCCCTCAAAATCTAATTACAGAAAAAAAAGAGCAGCAGGTGATTGCACTAAGAAGCTTAGTAGGACTAGTTTTTTCTGGCAAATAGATTCATAATCATGGTATATTATTTTGCAGGTATCTGCTAGGAAGCCGACTGCTGTCTATGTTGCTAAAATGTTTGCCAGTTTTTTTTCCCCCCAGAGTCTGACAGTCCTGTTGCACTCCCCAATATCAGCACTTACTCTTTTAGTCATTTAAACAATTTTGCCAGCCCAAGACATCAAAAATATCTCAAAGCACTTCACACAGCAGTGTAAAGTGTAGCAACTGCATTTCTAAGCGACTACAGATACCAATTTGTACACAGGAAACAGCCATGAAGTGAATGACCAATTTTATCTGAGGACCTGGATAAGACAATGGGAGAAATTCCCTTCTCCCTTTCGAATACTGCCAGGGGATCTTTAACCTTTACCTGAGGAAGCAAGCAGAACCTCAGTTTAACATGTCATTTAAAGGAAGCCACTTCCAACAATAAAGTGTTCCTTCAGCAGACAATGAGCTCAACGTCTTGACCTGGGGCTTCTGACCCATTATCTAAGCAAGGCTGACATTTAACTCATAACAACTAATAGGAGATCCCACAACTACACAACTAGCTGAAGGACATTGCAATTTAACTTTTCATGTGATCAAAATATACTTTAAAACTACAGTACTGACAATGGGGAAAGTAATGAAAAACTGATCAGTCATCAGTTCATTCTCATATTTTTTCAATCCCCGTCCATCTTCAGGTCCACTGCAATTTGTAAATAAATGCAATCTATATGTACTCTGCTATTCAGAAAGCGGCAATGAGGAATTGCAAGAGTATTACTTTTTGCCAATTAGTAACCTTACCCTTGGATACAGAAAGCAGTATTTTTCAAATAAAGACATTTTATCTATAATGGGGATTTACTGTGTACAAATTGGCTACTGTGTTTGCACGCAGGGTAGTCACTCTGCTTTACTGTATATCCTGTGAAGTGCTTTGTGGTGGCCTTCTGATGTGAAAGGTGACAAATCAAATGGAAAGATTATTATTCCCATCTCCCAAATGTCAGTTATTTTTTCACCAAAAGTGATAACCCACCAGAATATTCAGTAATATTCTGGTATACAGTAAGACCCCAGTGTGTTTGAGTTAATTAAATCAGACCCTGCATTATATACAGGTCGTGTTATAAAACATCGGCTGCCGTTCATTGCTCCGGGATCACCAGATTACCACGGACATCACTAAAATAAACGGGCCTGTCAGCAACAATCTCTCCAGTGAGCATATCCAGCAGCTGGATGCAGAGGATGTGAGCCAGTCAACCGAGAGCACTTCTGGTATAATGTCCACGGTGCACCCTTGTTATAAATGATACATACTAAATATAACAGGGTCTGATTGCCGTTTCACTGGGAGAATTTATTTGTACAAAATTCTAAACGATGTATGAAAAACAGTGGTAATTCATACTCAAAAAATGTGCACACACTCATTTGGGAATGGAAATAATTTTACAAAATATAAAATATGATATATTATTTCTTTGCAACCAACATTCCAAATAGATAGCTGAAAGGTTTAGATTTCTTTTTAAATTTTAAATAGAAAACACTAGAAAAATGTTTCCTGGTTCTTTGCCACACTGTTAGAGATCTTCCTTTTTATCAAAATGCAAGGATTATTATTTTTAAAATATGGGACTATCAGGAAGCACTGGAAGAAAGAAAATAAATCAAAAGATTTAATTATTTTTTCCTTTAAAAATTCTAGAAATAAAAACGGGAAGCTAAAGGCAAAATGCATTTAAATTACAATTAATCTTTAAATGCATCTTCATGTTGCAGCATTGATAAGAAAAATAAGACATGTAATGATAATATTCCTTGCATCTGATATAGCACCTTACTTTAAGATATCTCAAAGCGCTTCAGAGTATACTGTAGTGAATTGACTGTATATTCTGTGGGTGAAACACGACAGCAGTGCCCGTCGTGAATCTGATCATTAAATCCATGACAAACAGTCATGGATTTAGTGACCAAATTTTTTTTGTGGGATCATTACCCCCGGTTAATGATCTACTAATCGACTAACAACTGGGTTCGTACTTACTGCTAGGTAAAAAGAGGCATGTGGAGTAAGAAAACTTCCCTAAGGTTTCACCCTGAACGGGAATCGAACCTGGGTCCACTCACTTGCGAGGTTCTAACCAATAAGCTACAGGACTCCACATGTATTGTTGTATTCAAGACATTGTACAGTAAATGTAATTAACTGCCTCACCTGGCACCAATAGATTGAAAACTACATGACTCAGAAGAGACCACCCATCCTTCAGTTTCTGATTCAGTATCCGTTTCTCCTGTAGGCAAAAGAATAAAAAATAAATTAGGTTGCACCTAATTTCAGATAAAATGCCAAGGCATTCTCCCAATATATTATATTGATTGGAGGAATTAATATTTCGACTGTAAAATTCACCAAAACACGATCACCATTCAGTAGGAAGTATCTTGATCAGTAAATAACAGTATTCATTTGGATTTTCCAATTTTCTCAAGCAAATCAAGTAAATCTCCATTTTAAAAAACCATACCGCTTTTGTATCCCTTTGCAACACAAAAATGGCCAACTTCCAATTTGTTGCCACAAATCTCTACCTTCTAGTATTATTGACTTTTTTTGCATAGTAAAGTTGGATGTTATACACAACTACTGCTGAAAATTGACATTGCAAAACAGATTTGACCACCTTTCAAAAATGTTTCTTTCACACTCAAGAATGTTTTAAGGAATTTCTTTGAATGTTATTAAAGAACTGCTCATCAAAAAGTCACGAGAACAATTCAACATTAAAAACTAATGGGTGTTCACAGCTGGTTAGCAAAATTCTGCAAACGCAGAACTCTCCACAGTCTGCGCCAACTGCATCTTGAAGTGGAAATTATAATGGACTCCAGGTGTATAAACTGGAGATTATTTCTGAGCTATAGAGTAGGTGTGAAGCAGCCAGGATATTTAAGAGCAATTGGTAGAAAAGTAAAAGGAGGTAGAAGAAATACGAAGATTTACAAGCAGAAATCAATTAATTAAAAATGACTAGCTTCCTTAACTCCTCTCCATAGCTGATTTAACACTAATAAGTTGCAGAAAGCCCACAGGTGGGATAAATGCTTTTAAAACATTAATGGATACAAAAACTAAAATAATGCCTATTACAAGGACATCACCAGTATGGGAAAAGGGAAACCAAAATGTTACATAAGGTTCGTTTGATAGTTTATTTATAGACTAATTGGAAATGTAATGCTCAAGCTAAGAATGTGAAACTGGACGTTCCAAAAGGACTTATACAACTTTAAATATTGTATAATTAGAAAACTGTGATGTCAAAGAGCAATGATACGATTAGCGAATTGAGTTAAATTAAAGTAGTTTCACGTGATCTGAGAGATAAGCTTGCAAAAAAACTGCAAACTCATCTGCAGCTCAACTACAAGCCCTTTGAGCAAGACAAGAGTTGAAGAGTAAACCAAAGAATTAAAGAGATATCCTGACTTTTGAGTATACTCAAGGATTCAAATATTACATTCAACAGTCAATAAGTCACTCCCAGTTCTGTGGGAGATTTTTTTTTCAACAATGTCTCACATTGCTACAGGCTTAGTGGATGCCAGTAAACAACAACAAAATTACATTTGTATAGCGCCTTTCACGTCAGCGGGACATCCCAAGGCGCTGGACAATCAGTGTTTTGGACCCGACTTGGGGGTCGGGATCGGGGAGGGGTAAGGAGGGTGACCGAAGGCACAGTTGAAAAGGAGGGTCTTGAGATGGGTCTTCTTGAAGGAGGCAAGGGTGGGGGTAAGGCAGAGGGACTGCAGGGTGGAGTTCTAGAGAATGGGGCAGAGTGGCTGAAGGCACTCCCTCCAATGGTGGGGCGGGCGAGGCGGGGGATGTGCATCAGGCTGGAGTCTGCTGAATGGAGGGAGCAGGCAGGTTGATAGGGGGGGTTAGGAGGTTACAGAGGTAGGGGGAGCAAGATCATGGAGGGCTTTGAAAACGAGTACCAGGATCTTGAACTGAATCCTCTGTGTGATGGGAAGCCAGTGGAGCTGGGTGAGAATGGAGGTGATAGGGTGGTGGATCCTGGTGCGGGAAATGACACGGGCTGCAGAGTTCTAGATAATCTGCAGCCTATGGAGGGAGGAGTTAGGAAGGCCGACAAGCAGGGAGTTTGTGTAGTCGAGCCTGGATATCATGAATGCGTGTATGAGGGTCTTGGCAGCCAGCGGTGTGAGACAGTGGCAGACTTGTTGACATTCAACTGGAGGAATTTAGCTCTCATCCACGACTTGATGTCTGACAGGCAGTCTGTGAGGACAGCAGTGGTCCTGGAATCGAGGGTGGAGGCAGAGAGGTAGAGTTGGGTGTTATCCACATACAATAAAGAAGCTAAGGCAGATGGAACACAATTTACATTGTATTATAATAGAAAGATAATTTGGCATTTTCTGACAAAATGAAACTTTCAAGATGTTGATAAAAATGGTAATCCTGCTTAGTCTCCACATTTCAGTAAAATACTGATGCTGATAATCTAACCATCTGTAGTCACACATGAACGATGGCCACTTGAGCAGGAATTGGAAGGGTGTTGAAAATTTTATGGGGTAAAAACAATTATGGAAATAACTATTCAAAAAACATCAAACCAGTTTTAAGCCAATCAAGCCTACCCTTCTAATTTTATACGTTCACGGTTGTGCTTTATAATGCTAATCCAACCCCATTTGCCTGCCCTTTTCCATATCCCTCAATGCCCTTTATTCTCAAGTATGACTACCCTTTTAAAAGGAACCATATTGCATCCATGACCTTTCTACACCTTCCACATTTTCACAACATTCAGCTGTTACATTTCAAAACCTATTACAATTTGTTCTGATGCACCATTCAGCAGTTGATTTCAAAGTGGAGTAAGTCATCTGTCCGACAACCAATGATGTATGATATGGAACGATTAACGAGGGGAAAGCTAACATAATAACTTAAAAGCTTTGCATTGAGATGATTTTCTTTATTTTCAAAAATGTGGTTTCTTACTTGGACTGTCGAATTTGGAAACTGGTACAAGGCGGCCCAGGCACAATGGACGGTTCCCATAAGGGTCACGGACAGCGTAGATTACATCTTTGTACATGACAAGTAATGAATAAGAGGTAAGTGTTGCAGTCATTAAATTTCTAATCCTAGAAATAAAATGAAATTGGTGTCAACAGAGTTCCGTTTCATAAACATCGTTTTTCACAAGGAATATTCAGACAACATGTGCTATGGGAAGAATTAAATTGTCACTTTGCATCTGCCTCATCTGCACATACCATGCAAGCTATTACATACTGCGACTCAAGAAAGTAATGGTGCAGTAGTGGGCAGGTAATAATAATAATAATAATAATCCTTGCATTTGATATAGCGCTTTTCACGTCGGGAGGACGTCCCAAAGCGCTTCACAGAATATACTGTAAAGTGAATTGACTGTATATTTGTGGGCGAACGCGGCATGGGTGGGTGGGGAATGTGGATAGAATAATAAGCCTAGAGCAGAAGACGGAATGGGACAAAGGTAAAACAGAACAGTCTGGGGTTGGCAATGAACAACACAGGCTGATACAAAGTCTAAACGTAATTTTTTTCAATTTTCATTGCTGGTATGTGAAGTGCTTTGAGATGTCCTCCTGATGTGAAAGGCACTACATAAATGTAAATTCTTCTGTTTTCTCTTCTATTAAGTTGAAAGAGACAAGTGGAAACACTTTCTCGCATGATAATAGCTTGAGAATGAAGAATGTAAAAAATATAACAAAACAACTGGACTTATATAGCACCCTTCACGCAGGGTCGGAGTGTTTAGCAGTAGCGGAGCATGACTGAGCCAGGGAGAGGGGAGGTAACCATAGGTAAGGTTGATTGGAAAGCTCCTCAGGTGTGATCTGAAGACGGACATTAGGGAGAAAGATAGTGGGATTGAGGCAGAGTTGCGTAGTGGCTGAAAGCACTGCCGCCAATGGTGGAGCGGAGGTGACAAGGGGAGGCCAGATCCAGCTGAATGAAGGAAAAGAGATAGAGTTGTGCCAATGCATGAAGTGATTTGTATGTAAGTTTGAGGATCTTGAAATCGATCTGTTATGCAATACAGAGTCAGTGGAGCCTGGCAAAGACTGGAGTGATGGGATGTGGAGTTAGTACGGGTGAGGATATGGGAGGTGGAGTTTTGAATTAATTGGATAGTGGAGCTGGGGAGACTGACAAGGGCACTGGAAAAATTAAAGTGGTAGGTGACGAATGCGTGGATGAGGATTTATGGTCAGAGGTGGGCGACTTGGCGGAGTTGAGAAAATATAACAAAGTAAAAATGATTTGCTTACCACAAAACATGCACACAACTTATTTTTCTTTATGACTAACCCAGAATTTAAAGTTTACTATAAGTACAGTCCAAGCTTTAACATATGGAAAACTACAGGTGACTGGTGGACAGAAATACTCTTGGAGCTGCTTTGTCCCAGGATAGAGTTTCATAAAAGTAGCATTTGTTACCTAGCCACCCAGTCAGGTGTATCAGCTTCCTCCTTTGGTGGGGTCAAAGCCAGCAGCTGTGTAATAAGTTCACTGTCTGAGCTGGTGGACAAACCAACTCCATGTCGCAGTACCTAGACGTAGAAAAGTTATTTTATTGCACTTCATTTAACAGCCCACAAATTTCACAATTATTTTCATTACGCAAATAGTATTATTCGTTCTTTTACATTAGACAAAAACAACAGTTAATGTTGGAATAAAAAGCTGAACGCCCTCTAGAAAGTGTAAAGAGTCATTGCTCCAAAATGTCGCTGTGTTCAAACTTAAGAGTAGAGAAGACACAGACTTAAGATGTAAACATTAACATACTTAAGAGGAAATGTGAAGCATACATGGAGAAGGGAATGGAGAGGGGATAAGGAAGGGTGGAGGCTCCCGCAGAGAATAAATACTGGCATAGTTTGGTTGTTTTAATGCTATAGTGTATAATAAGCTTTGCAACTGATATAGTGCCTTCCACATCGGGAGGACATATGCTTTACAAAATTTACTGCAATGTGTGGCATCTGTGTATTTTGTAGGTTAATGTGGCAGCCAATTGGCATAGAGAAATGTCCCACAAACACCCAATAAGTCAACGACCTATGTAATTCTATGTAATACCTTCATTTTCAGTTTTTTGGCATTAACGAGTTCTCCATTGTGCGCAACAGCTATCTTTCCATGAAGAGTTTCCACTACAAATGGCTGACAGTTTTGGAGTCCAGAAATACCCGATGTGGAATATCGAGTGTGTCCTATTCCCAGGTTTCCAGTGCGAAGTTTCTGTATCTGTTCCTCTCGAAAAGTACTATTGACAAGGCCCATTCCCTATGAAAAAGAAACAGTTTTAGCATAATCACAGACCTGCTTGAAATTCACAGCAGCTCAAACAGTATCTGAAAGACAAAGATGTATGTACACAAACTCCAACAAATACTTAAGTTAAAACAAAATGTAATAAGCAAGACTGAATTGATATTTGCTCAAACAAAATATGACGTAATATTGAAGGCATGTTTATTATCTGACGGGGAGGGGGTAAACCCTTTCGAGCTGAGCCGGCTTGACAATGGAATGTCAGAGTAATCAATCCTCCTTGGCAGTCTCGGAAGTCTGCTTCCTGATCCAGGTAGGTATACAGTATGACTAGGTACTGTTGATGACAGACCAACCAACCAAGCTCATTGGCAAGGTTTGGGAGGACTAGACTAAACACCGAGAACAGGAATTCTTCCCACTCAGATACAGTTAGCTTTGCAACCGATATAGTGCCTTCCACATCAGGAGGACATATGCTTGGGACATCCTCCCAACTTGAAAGGCACTATACAAATGTAATCTTGTTGTTGTTGTTAATGTTGCAAGCCAAAGCCCTCGGGGCTAGGGTGCTCCTTCCTGAAAAGCAGCAAGAAGCTTCGCAGACAGTCTCTCAATAGCAAGCTATAGCGCTAGCAATAGCAAGAGAATCAGAGGAAAGTATCTGCGAGGCGTGTCAGGGAGGGCGGAGGAGCCGGTTAGTGGTGGAGAACAGGAGCCTGGGATTGCCTTTTGCCTCCAGGATTAACCTGGAATAGAAGGATGATTTGGCTGAGGCGAGAGCGGAGCGGTAGTTCTTGATGAGGTCCAGCCAGATGTGGCGGTGAATCGTTCGGCCGGATTTGAGCCAAGTGCGTTCGGCAGACTGTACATGACCATTAAGCAAGTGGACATGGCTGGCGAACCAGGGTGAGGATCGGGAGTAGAAGGCAGTTCGGGAGGTGAGGGGGGCAAGGACGTCGAGTGTGGTGGAGAGGGTGCTGTGGAGAAGAGTGAGTGCAGTGAGTGGATTGTTGCGAGAGGTGGGCCAAAGGGGGAGGAGATCAGAGGACTCCAGGGCAGCAGAAAGGGATTGCAGGGGGATCTTCTTCTACAGGCGGTAGGATATGGTAGTGGGTTTGAAGGCAGTGGGGAGAGGGATATGGGAGTTGAGGGAGATGAAATGGTGGTCAGAGATGGCCTTGTCAGTAATGGTGACATCCAAGACGCTGAGGCCCCGGATGATTCACTACCCCAGAAGGCTGTAGATGCTCAGTCCTTGAACATCTTCAAGGCTGAGACTGATAGATTTTTAAAAAAGAGGCATTAGAGGATATGGGGATAGGGCAGGTAATTAGAGTTAGGTCAGAAGATCAGCCATGATCTCATTGAATGGCGGGGCAGGCTCGAGGGGCCGAATGGCCTACTCCTGCTCCTAATTCTTATGTTCTTATGATCACCAGGTCGAGTGGGTGACCATGGGTGTGGGTAGCTGAGTGGATGTGGAGGGAGAGGTTGAGAAAGGAGAGAGGTCTGAGGAGATGGAGCAGGAGGAGGTGAAAGTGGAGGTTGAAGTCAGAAATACATAAGTAGGGCATTTTGGATATTAAGCATGGTGATGGTTTTCCACTGGGGTCAGGCACCCAATTGACCGCAAAATGGCACATTTATCCCATAGTCATATGTAGAATTATACTTTACTCTCAACAGTGTTCTAGTTGAATAGCCATGATAAATAAGTTTCCAATTGGGTTTGGCTTTTAAAAAAAAAGCTCTTGAAAATTTCCACTATCGGAAACAAGCATAGTGAAATATAATTACCGCAGTACGTACTTATAATAATACTTGCATTTGATACAGCGCCTTATCACATTTTTTTGGATGTCTCAGAGCGCTTCATAGAATATACTGTAAAGTGGATTGATTGTGTATTTTGTGGTTGAAAAGTGGCAGCCAATTGTCCACAGCATTATCCCAAACAGTCGTGGATTGGGTGACCAATTTTTTTTTGAGGGATCATACCCCCAGGAATGAGATCTGCCAATCAATAAGGAGAAACTCTTTCTTTTCAAAATTTAAAAGATCATTAAAATCTGCCTGTACAGCCAGACAGGATGTTCGCATTCAAAGAACAAAGTAATACAACTATATTTGATATTATAATGCTTAATATCTGATTCATCAGGTTGTCACCTGTGTCAGTCCTGCATGCTATGCATGCACAACAAGTGATGTTAACAGTGACTTAATGCCGCTGAAATCAGTCAATTTGGCTACCGATGACCCAGTTGGTGTTTTGCAGTAATGTTAAGTATTTGCATTTTTTATATAAACAAATGTCTATGACTATAAGCCTATTACGCGAGGTAAACCAAATAAGGCACAACATTATAACAAAGCAGATTACAACTATTACAAAGGTTATCATGGACATACCTTATGAATTGCATAAAGTGGCGGGGAAGCTCCATTACTTGTCACAATTCCAGCACTTTCTTGACCTCTGCAGCAAACAATCAACATTTAACAAGAATTAGAAATGCATCTACATAATCCTGACGTGAAAGGCACTATGTCAATGCAATTTGTTGGTGTAAAATGCAACCTACTTAATTTATATGAATTAGTTATTGAATTGTGAGCTACGAAAAGAATATACCCTGTGACCAATTAGGTTGTAATGAGTGTATCTCAGTACTAGATTGACCAAATCCCTGATTGTCCAGCACTCTGGGCACCTTCCTGATGTAAAATGCAAATGTAATTTTGTATTGTATAATGTAAGGATAACTTCCAAATTCACTTGTATTTATGAAACCACAAAAGATGCACAATACATTACAGTATATCCTGGGAAGTGCTTTGAAACCTCTCGATGATGTGATAAGGCACTATATGAAATGCAAGGATTATTACTATAAATTCTTGTTTGATACAGCACAAGGTTTACAGCTTGTTTAGGCCCAGAAGCACAGGCAGAATACGACCCTGAATTATTCTAACCACTATCATCTGTAAGCGAAACAAAAACAATTTGGCCATTATCATCCTGCAATCGATTCCAGTCTGCTGCTCAGCAATTTTAGTTGCTTTTCCTGAAAACAAGGTCCCGTCTGCATGTTCAGGTGGATGTTAAAGACCCTGTAGCACGATTTGAAAAGAGAAGGGAAAGTTTCTTTTGGTGTTCTGGCCAACAATCACCCAGATAAAATTAGTCACTCAACTCCATGGCCGCTTACAGGACACTGCTGCACCCAAACCGGCTGCCATATTACACTGATAAAATACACAAAGTCAAACCACTTTACAGTATATCCCGTGAAGCGTTTTGAGACATCTCAACAACGTTATAAGGTGATCTCTAGCCAGACAATGTATGAGGAGAAATGGAGAGGGAGGGAAAGAGCAAGGACATGCCTGACCTGCTGCCCTCGCGATGCTGCCTCGGTTCTGTAGTCTGCCCGCCCTCTGCAGCAATGGGTTCAATGCCTGCTCAAACTACAAGGACCGACATGCGCGGCACTCCACGCATTCTCCCTCCCCAGTGGCCGCACAAAATCCAGCAGGTGGGTGAGAAACTCTACCCTCGAACAATATTATAGTCCAAACTGAGTGAAAGGCAAGTTTAAACTCTTTGGAACAAGTGTTTCCCGAATGGAGTAAAATGATCCCTCAATTGCACATCACATTTAATGGCTTAATAATGACATTCCACGTTCCTGTTATACTCTGTTGTTCCACTTCAACAACTTGAACACAATTGAATAGAATAATCACAGCTGATAAACAGCCTACCTGCCGACATCTGCCGGCCCATCTGCTTTAAACATCATAGAAAATGTATAATACAGAAGAGTATATGACCCATCTGGTGGGAGGTGCCATACACTAATTCCATTGCCCTTCTCTTTTCTCATCCCCATTGCTCTGTGCCAAAAGCTTATGTGACAGATATGACGGTGAACCCAGTCACATGGGCTGCCGACTAAATAGGAGCTAACAGCTGTCATCTCTGCAGATAAACTGCACTGCAAATCGATCACCGTTGAGCGCTGCTTTTAGAATACCCACTTTTAACACTTAAGGAAAGATTGAGATCAATACTTAATACTGAAGCAAAAATTAACAGAATGCTGAAAATCTAAAATAAAAATGTGATATGTGCAAACATAAAGTGCTGCTTATTCTACGTAGCATAACTTTTATTAATTAGGAACCTTGCTTATGTAAGAATAATCATGAGAATTGTACTTCAAATTGTAAACCAAGCCAGTTTGGGCTTGTTTTTGGAGAATTATACACCATGCCAGTTAGGAATCTGGGTGCCTTGTTTGACCCTCAACTATCCTTTCTCCCCCATAATAATAAATAATCCTTGCATTTGATATAGCGCTTTTCACGTCGGGAGGACGTCCCAAAGCGCTTCACAGAACACACTGTGATGTGAATTGACTGTATATTTGTGGGCGAACGCGGCAGCCAATTGCGCACAGCAGTGTCCCACAAACAGTAGTGGATTGAAAATGACCAATTTATTATTGTTTTGGAGGGATTATTATTAGGCTCTGTGTGGAGTAAGGAAACTTGCCCAAGGTTTCGCCCTCTGCCTGGAATTGAACCCAGGTCTCTCACTTGCAAAGCGAGTGCTTTGCATATCCGTGCCATGACCTGCTCTGTCTTCCCCCACCTCCACAACATTGCCTGACTCTGCCATTGCCTCACCCCGCAGACCGCCGAAACCCTCATACATGCATTCTTCACCTTAAGCCTCGAGTAAGGAAACTCCCTCCTTGTCGGCCTCCCCAACTCTTCCCTCCACAAGCTGCAGATCATCTAGAACTCTGCAGCTCGTGTCCTCTCCCGCACCAGGCTCCGCAACTCCATCACCCCCACCCTCGCCCGGCTCCACTGGCTCCTCATCCCTCAGAGGATAGAATTCAAAATCCTTGTCCTCACTATCAAGGCCATGCACGGCCTTGACCCCTCCTACCTCTCTGATCTGCTGACCCCCATCAACCTGTCCACTCCCTCCATTCAACAGGCTCCGGGGTGCTCCAGGTCTCCCACCCGACCTACCCTACCATCAGCGGCCGAGCTTTCAGCCTCTCTGCCCCAGTCCTTGGAACTCAGTCCCACAATCCCTTTGCCTTGTTCCCTCTCGCTCGCCTCCTTCAAGGCACGGCTCAAGACCCTCCTTTTTGATCATGCCTTCAGCTGCCCTCATACCCCACTCTGCGCTCTCCCATCCCAACCCTGCCCCCATGCTTGGGTGCTGGTCCCTGACTGTTCAGCACCTTAATAATAATAATAATCCTTGCATTTGATATAGCGCTTTTCACGTCGGAAGGACGTCCCAAAGCGCTTCACAGAACCTTGGGACGTCCTCCCAATGTGAAAGGTGCTTTACAAATGTAATTTTGTTATTGTTCATACTCGTAACTGCAAAGGGCCAATAGAAATGCCCTACAAACAGCAATGAAGTGAATCGCCTATTTTAATCAGGGGATTGTTGGCCAGGACATTGGGTGAAACTCAAAACTTGAGAGCGTACGTGCTGCACGCATAACCCTCGTTCTGATCTACCAGTTGAAATATCCCTGCTTTTAATAATAATCCTTTCATTTGATATAACATCTGCTGGATATTTCAAAGTGCTGTATATTTGTGGGTGAAAATGTCTACAAAGTGAAATGCAATGTCCTATACACCCTTCGAGCATTCTTCAAAACATTGCAGGTTTTCTGGCTGATTAGCAAAACAGCTTTGACATAGATGAGTATTTAATTCCAGTTACTATCTTTACCAACTACTTGCGCAATGTTATATAAATTCATATTGTTACAAAACATAAGAATCTTCAAATGAGGAATCTTTTTTAGCTCCTCGGAAAGAAAGAATTCACTTGGAGCATTTTAAGTATTTTAATGAATTTCATACTTCCAATTAGTTTAGGGATAGGAGTTCTTCCCCTCCCTCTACACTGCCCTGAATTCTTCAAATTTGGATCACCAGGCTACAGAAAGTGAAATATTTACTGTCATGTACCATCAGGTATTTTTTGTTACACAAGTTTTCAGGTATTCAATACTTGCAAAGTTATATGCCATCCAAATACACATTCAAGAACATTCTACGAGATGGTTTTGTGTTATGATGCACGTTATGCACGACTGAATGTAGAATATCAACACCAACATACAACAAACTAGTACTTGCATTTATATAGTGCCATGAACATCTAACATCTTACAGCACTTTACAGCGACAAAGATGAACACTAGAAGCAGAGAGGGTGGGGTGTGTTTGTGTGTGGAATGGAGGAGACTATAGGCATAGTCAACGAGGTTGTTTATCGTGTGGCTTTTGAAGCCAGTTAGAGGCACCAAAACAGGAGTTCCAGAAGGTGGAGGCATAGTGGCTAAAGGCTTCGCTGCGGATGGTGAGGACAAAGAATGAGCAAAGTGGACGACCAAGATAGTGAAGCTATAGAAGATCATAAAAGTACAAAGGTTTGAGGGCATTGAGATTTGTAGGTGAGGACCTTTAAGTCGACTGTTGGGAGATCGAACCAGTGGAGCCTGATGAAGATGAGAATGTGAAACTTAAGTGTGCATGTTGATGCAAGCCACATGTTGGATTGCCTGGAGCTGTAGATAGCAGAGCTGAGAAGGGCAGTGAATAGTGAGAGACTATTTTTAAAACATCACATGGGAGGTAACAAAGGCACGATTCAGGGTTTTGGTCTCATTCAGCATGAAATATGGATGGAGATGTGGTGAAGGTACAGACAAGTGGGCTTAGCCAGGGACTGGATTTAAAGGAGGAAAGAGAGCCAAGAGTTGAACTCCAAGGTTGTGCACTGGGTCAGTAAGTTGCAGTGAGTGACTGCTGTATTTGTGTCTTTTATATTCTGACTGAAGCATCAGGTTTTCATTTTGCAAGAAAAACATTTGGACCCTTTAAAGAACACTAACATACTCCACTGTTGTGGAGCTGGGGAGACCAGCAAGGAGGCAAGATTATTATTATGTAATGAGAGAAGACTTAACAATTTGCATTTATATAGGACCGTTCAATGTGCAGTAGCGTCCCGGAGAGCATGAAACCAGCATCCCACTAATTTCCTTTTTAGGCAATTTCTCATTCAGAAATCTTAATTTCATAAAACGTTTCACTGAAGCCTCAAACAGTCCGTTCACTACCGATTTCCATCTGCAAACCGAGTAACGTTCTCTTTCTCTATGACCGTTGCCTTCAGCTCCCCTCTCGACTCTCTACCCCCTCCTCGCTCCCTCCCTCCCCTCCCCCTGACCATTTCCCCCCTCCTTACCCCCCTCCCCCTGACCATTTCCCCCCTCCTTACCCCCCTCCCCCTGACCATATCCCCCCTCCCCCTGACCATTTCCCCCTCCTTACCCCCCTCCCCCTGACCATTTCCCCCCTCCTTACCCCCCTCCCCTGACCATTTCCCCCTCCTTACCCCCCTCCCCCTGACCATTTCCCCCTCCTTACCCCCCCTCCTCCTGACCATTTCCCCCCTCCTCGCCCCCCCTCCTCCTGACCATTTCCCCCCCTCCCTTCCCTCCCCTCCCCCTGACCATTTCCCCCCAATGCTCGGGTCCCGACCCAACTGCCCAGCGCCTTGGGACGTCCTCCCGACGTGAAAGGCGCTGTGTAAATGCAATCTTGTTGGGTGTCGTTGTTGCTGTTGGTGTTGCTGTTGCGAGATTGCCGACCCGCCGGCACTGAATGAGTCTCAGCGCGAAGCCATGTGGTTTTTGCATTAAACGCTCTTCGGCGGAGGGAGGGAGGGAGGGGGGGGGAAGGCGTTTCAAAACCCCGCAGCCCCCGAACGCGTTTGCATTTTACTCTCGGATGCATCCAGACGGGATACCATTTTTTTTCTCCCCAAAATAGCCTTCGGGCCATCCCCGGCTCGCAGACGGAGCCCCTGATCAGCGGCAGCGTGCGAGTGAAATGGAGGGGAGTGGGGGGGGGGAGCGGCGGGGGCTCGGCTCAGGAGATCACCAACACTAGTGCGGGGTATGTTTATGCAATGTGCCCGTCTCGGCAAAGGGCGGGCGGGGGGTTAGGGGGGGGGGGGGGGGGGGGTTGGGGGGTGGGGGGGGTTGGTGGGGGGGGGTTGGGGGGTGGGGGGGTACGGGTTTACCTGTGTTGCAGCGCCACCAGTCCCAGGGCGATCACGTGAGGCACATCCAGATGGGTGGGCCAGTCTCCGGCCGCGACGCAGCCGAACACGCCGCAGTCCTCGCCGATCCCCTCGGACTCCATGGCTCCGGCTTTCACCCTCTCAGCACGGACGGACGCCACAGAGAGAGAGAGAGGGGAGGGAGGGAGGGGGAGGGTGGGTGGGGGGAGGGAGGGGACCCGTCGACCAAACCGCGCACTTCTCTCCGAAGCGATGACCCGCATCCGGGACGGACTTCACTTTCTCTCACCAACACGCGCTCTCACGGACATAGATTTTGTAACTGCCCCTCCGCGCGCCGACCCCGCCCCCCCTGCGCCCCCCCAGCGCTGCGCCGACCCCGCCCCCTGCGCCGCGTCGACCCCGCCCACCAGCGCCGCCCCCCCTGCGCTGCGCCGACCCCGCCCCCTGCGCCGCGCCGACCCCGCCCACCAGCGCCGACCCCGCCCCCCCCTGCGCCGCGCCGCTCGCGCACATGTGCTTCTCCAGTGGGGCCAAAGCCGCACCAACCCCCGGACAGGAAGCGAGCGTCGGGGTGCGCGGGGCGGAGTGGGGGAAGAGAGGGAGGGAGGGGGGGAGGGATTTAAATAAATTATGTCGCAGTTGACGAACTACTTCTTTCGGTGTTAGACTGATTCTTGTGTTTTGGCACAGGATCAGGTTTTCGAAAGGGCAGATTTACAAAGGCAATCGGGAATTTCTACTTTTTTTTCGCGCGGTTTTGAACATCGCCTCCATCTCCCCCCCCCCCCCCCCAGCTAAGAGTGTATTTTGGTACATGCCACTCACGCGCCCCCGCCCCGTCCTGCCCCGCGCCGCCGCCGCCGCCACCGCCTGGCGCGAGCTGATTGTTTAAAAGTTTGAATTCGGGCCGTTCAGAACGTGCGGCGGTTGGGAAGCGTCAGGTAAGAGCGGCGGCTCCTCAGACCAGCTGTCACCACCACCACCCACCACTTCGTGTGTATCGGCGGTGCCCCCGGTTATTAGTGAGTAACCCTGAGCGGGGGGGGAGGGTGTGTGTGTGGAGTTGTATCACTCCCAACACGCGGCCGCCCGAAGGGGACCAGCACCGGTCCTTACTGTGTCAAACCTCTCCACATGGAGTGACTTGAGGGCGAGGGGCCACGCAACCCGCTCAGCACGTGCAGAAGAGGGTTTGCCTGAGTACAGGAGGGAGGAGGGTGTGTACAGAGTGTGTACACGGGGGGAGGGTGTACACGGGGAGGGTGTGTATACAGAGGGTGTACATGGGGGGAGGGTGTACACGGGGAGGGTGTGTACAGAGTGTGTACACGGGGGGAGGGTGTACACGAGGGGAGGGTGTACACGGGGAGGGTGTGTACAGAGTGTGTACACGGGGGGAGGGTGTACACGGGGAGGGTGTGTATACAGAGTGTGTACATGGGGGGAGGGTGTACACGGGGAGGGTGTGTACAGAGTGTACACGGGGGAGTGTGTACACGGGGAGGGTGTGTATACAGAGTGTGTACATGGGGGAGGGTGTACACGGGGGGAGGGTGTACACGGGGAGTGTGTGTACAGAGTGTGTACACGGGGGGAGGGTGTACACGAGGAGGGTGTGTATACAGAGTGTGTACACGGGGGGAGGGTGTACACGGGGGGAGGGTGTGTACAGAGTGTACACGGGGGGAGGGTGTGTACACGGGGGGAGGGTGTGTACAGAGTGTACAGTGTATGGCGGGGTGAGTGTGTACGGGGTGGGTAATACACATGTCTGTGTACAGAGGGGTGGGTGGGTTTGTCTGTCTATTACATGGGGTGCATTTGCCCACGTTTATTGCAGGACTGGGAGTTACCTGTACGGGTTGGTTTTGTCAATGTGCTATGGTTTTGTGTAGGGGGTGAGAGGCGTGTTGGCCTGTGCTCGGAGTGACCAGGGGAGTGGGTTTGCCAGTGTGGGGCGTGTGTACGGGGGAGGGTTTTGTATGCACTACAGAGCATGTGCAGAAGTAGGAGGGTTGCTCCTGTGTGGTGGGAAGGGGAAACGGGAGGTTGGCCCAAGTGCCGGGTGACTGCACAGGGATAGCGCGGATTTGTGTTGTAGAGTTTCTTGTTGACCGAAAGGGCTCAGGTCCGGGTGTGCCGTTTCTTTTCTGAACTGTGTGTCATTTTATCAGCTTTCAGGAGTGCAGAATTTACTGAGAATGGCGAATCTTGCAGGTGAGTGAAAGTAAAACTGTTTATTTTGTGGGGTTGCTTGGTTGTTTGCACTTTTGCTTCCCTCACCAACATGGGTACACTTTGACTTGAATTCCAACTGATTGTGCACTGATTGTCCATTTCTTTATATCTGGCCCTTTGTTTACTTTATATCTTTATTGGGGTAAGTACCAATCTGGTTGGTGTTAAATTGATTGTAAGGTTTACTGATTGCATTAAGTAACTATTGTTCTTTATCACCTATTGAAATTCTGAGATGTATCCATCACTTAATTTGAAGTTTTTGATTTTTTTTTGCATGATTCATTCTACCCCATGAGTGCTGATTACACTGATGTTTATTCCAGATGCATTTTATATCTTTCAGCATTGTAAGTTGAACTTTATTTTTCTTTTAAACTTCCAATAGAACTGAAGATTGGCAAAAAGCTGAATGAGGGAAAAACCAAAGAGGTGTATGAACTACTGGATTCTCCAGGACAAGTATGGATTAAATCAAAGGATCAGATTACAGCTGGCAATGCAGCCAGGAAAGATCAGATGGTCGGCAAGGCTGCTTTGTCCACAAAGACCACAATTAGTATTTTCAAATTGCTTCAAGAAGCTGGTAAGATTCATCAGAGATCACTTGTTTTTTGTTTCACTAATCTCTATCATATCGTAAATGATTTGTAATTCTGCCCGAATTCCAATACTAAAAGTGTCACTCAGGCTCAGTTGCAAGCCCTTGCTTTGGACTCAGAAGGTTGTTGGTTCAAGTCCTACATCTGAACTTTGAGTTCATAGTCTAGGTTGACATTCCAACGTATGCTGAGAGAGCACTGCTTTGTAAGTGGTGGTTTAATGTCTCGTCTGAAGGTCAGGTACCTTTGACAATGCAGCAGTCTCCAATGTTGCATTCCAATGTTAGCCTGAACTACAACAACAAATTACATTTGTATAGCGCCTTTCATGTCAGAAGGACGTCCCAGGGTGCTGGACAGTCAGGGATCTGCTCCTGAGCTGGTGGTTGGGAGCAGAAGAAGTGGAACGTGGGGCGGGTTGGGGCAGGAGGATGACTGAAGGCACAGTTGAAGAGGGGGGTCTTGAAAGAGCCAATGGAGGGGGCGAGGCGGAGGGACTGTGGGATGGAGTTCCGGAGGATGGGGGCAGAGAGGCTGAAGGCCTGCCTGCCAGTAGTGGGGTGTGCAAGACAGGGGATGTGAAGCAGGCCAGAGCCCACTGAGTGGACAGGTTGGTAGGAGGTCCTGGAGTAGGGTGGAGCAAAGCTGTGAAGGCTTTGAAGGTGAGGACCAGGATCTTGAACTGTATTCTCTTGAGTGATGGAGAGCCAGTGGAGTCGGGCAAGGATGGGGGTGATAGGATCGCAGAGCCTGGTGAGGGAGAGGACACGGGCTGCAGAGTTCTGGATGATCTGCAGCCCGAGGAGGGAGCAGTTGGGGAGGCTGACAAGCAGGACGTTTGCGTAGTCTGGCTTGAATGTGATGAATGGGTGGATGAAGGTCTTGATGGCTGCGGTGACAGGCAGTGGCAGAGCTGGGCAACGTTGCAGATGTGGGGAAAGACGGAGTAATAGCCCGGATGTGGGAAATGAAGAACAGTTGAGGGTTGAATAGGACCCCAAGGTTCCGTATTGGCACTGAGGTATAGAGTGCATCCATGAAGGGTGATGCTGTCAGCACTCGAGTTGATGGAGCCAAGCAAGAGGTTCTTGGTATTGTTGACATTCAACTGGAGAAAGTTAGCTATCATCCAGGACTTGGATGTCCAACAGGCAGACTGAGGACAGCAGTGGTCCTGGAGGCGGAGAGGTACATTTGGAAGTCATACACATATATGTAGAAGTTGACCCTATGTCTATGGATGAGGTCAGCAAGGGGGAGTATGTAGATGTTGAAAAGAGAGGACCTAAGAAAGAGCCCTGAGGGACACCACATGTGACAGTGGGAGGGCTGGAGGTGAAGTCAAAAGTGGAAATGGTGGGAGAGGTAGGATTTGTACCAGGCAAGGGCAGGTCCGTGAAGGTTGAGCTGAAAGTGGAGGAGGATAGAATGATGTGGCATAGTTGTGATGTGGGACTTGAGCCCACAACTTTGTGACCCTGAGGCAAAAGTGCCACTGAGTTGGGCTAAGATCACTAACTAGCTTAGCTGTTGCCTGCAGTGTCTTCCATTTCAGTTACTATCTGGTAATTACAATATAAAAATCTAAAGTAGAATTTGCAGAGCTCTAATTGTTAATGGTCTGCACAATGTTTGAGTGAAATCAGAATGAAACCAGAATAGTCCTCGGTTTAGTATATTATCAGGTGGTATAAATTGGGTTTAATCTAGACTATTTAGTTTAAGTACTTTGCATTTTGACTGAATTATGTGACTTAAGGTTCAGTAGTCTTGGATTTCTGGATTGACTTGTTTCGCTATGTGCAGTATAACAGATTGCCAACTTCATCTAAACTGTTTTTGATCTATGATGAGCTGAAGCCTTTGTGCAGTAGATTTGACTCTCATGCCAAATTTGCAATGTAAAATGGAGCCTTTTGTGTGTTTGGTAGTCAGCTGGTTTGGCTGGCTGTTTGCAGTACTAATGAATTTCTTGTGCATTTCTGCCATTCATTTTTTTTATTTTAAAGGCATCAAGACTGCCCTTGAGAAGCAACATGGAGATACTGCATTTATTGCAGCTCACTGTGAAATGATTCCTATAGAATGGGTTTGTAGAAGAATTGCCACTGGCTCATTTCTGAAGAGAAATCCTGGTGTAAAAGAGGGTTACAAGTTCTGTCCTCCCAAACTGGAGATGTTCTTTAAGGTAGCTACAACTTTCATATCCATCAGGTGGTTGTGGCTGAATTTTTTAAAATAAGATTTCTCACTGAAGTATTCATATTAAAAGTAGATTCTATTCTGTACCTTTTAGGATATGTAGGATTGAATTCATAAAACCCTACAGATTTCAGCAGACTCTGCTAACTGCACCAGAAGGTCCCTATTTCATTCTCCATGTTCTCTAGTCTTATCTAATTGCCTTTCTTCAATTCAGTAGCTCTTGTATATGTTCCATATCCTATTTGTTTAATGAAAAACTTACCTTTTATGTTTCTAGTAATCTTCAATTTATACCTTCCCTGTTCATGTTGGGTAAATCACTATTCATCTTCTTGAACTATTGTTACAAGCCCCTCTTAATCTTCACTAACCTTCTTGACCCCTGCTTCTTCCCCCCACCCTCCACCCTCCCCAACCCCCAGCTCAGGTCCATAAGATAAATCTTTGCATTTATTCCTAAGTTATTCAAATTCATCAAACTATAATAGTATTGTTTGAACTTTTATTTAGCTGTGATTGTAACTTAATTCTCCATTTAAGAAGAGGTATTCCAACTTATGATAGTGTTTGGCCAAGTAGGTAACGTGTACAAAACTCTTTTCCTCCTCACAGATTTTTTTTTAACCACCAGAATGCACAGTCAGCAGATCATTTTTTTTAACCTAGAAATAAATAATGGTTAACCTAAGAAATGTTATCTTAGGTTCTGTGTACATAGAATGGCCTTGCATCCTTTAGGTTGGGTTATATTTTCCTTCAAAGAATAAAGCAGTAGGAAGATTTTGCTGGATAAATTCAGCAGTATCTGAATGAACACATTGGGGTTGAGAAAAAAAAACTTTGCTTTTGCCAACCCATAGCTGAGTCCAGAAATAGATAAGGTGTATATTGAGCTGTTCTATAATAATCCTTGCATTTGATATGGTGCTATTTATGTCAGGGGGTTGTCTTGAAGTGCTTCACAGGATTTTGCTATAAAGTGACTGTTAATGCATTTCACAGGCAAATGTGGCTAATTTGTACACTGGAGTGTAAGCCTAGACATAGTTCAAAGGCCTGACATGGGATTCAAACCTATAGCCTTCTGACTCTGAGATGAATGCTTCCAACTGAGCCAAGCTGGTGGCTGGCTCTGGTGAATGGCTCACATTCTGCATTTTATAGGAAATTCAATCCATAAAATCTCTGTAATATGATGTATTACATGTGTGTATATAATATATAGCTGTAGATGATGGAGTATAATGCAGGATCTTTCCATCTATGAATATAGAACTGTCACCCTCTTCCTTGTAAATGCACCAGTTTATTTCTGGAAGTGGAATGCCCACTGTGATCTGTTTTGGTTATAGGATGATGCTAATAATGATCCACAATGGTCTGAAGAGCAGCTGCTTCAGGCTCAGTTTTATTGTGGTGGTCTGCTAATTGAGCGATGTGAAATGGACATCATGAATCGTACCACATTGGCTGTGTTTGAGATACTGGAGAAGGCTTGGGCCACTCAGGATTGCACATTGGTGGATATGAAAGTAAGTCATTAGTTTTTAAAAAAACTTGCACTTCGTGTTATTTTTACAAATTACTTACTTTGATTTGCTTTTTACCAGGTGGAGTTTGGGGTCTGTGTTTCTACCAAAGAGATTTTACTTGCTGATGTCATTGATAATGATTCTTGGAGATTATGGCCTTCTGGGGACCGAAGCCTGCAAAAGGATAAGCAGGTTGGTTTTCATCCTAAAGTGAGACTTGGGACTTCAATTAGAATTAATGTCCTTCCTTATTTTGTGACCTTAATGCATTTTTTTGTAGATTGACAATTTCTGTTTATTAAGAATCCTATCAGTTCTTCCATTGTTGGTAACAGGTATTTAGATAACATTTAGATAACAGTGAAATTTGAGAGGCTTTCATTTTTCAGGTCACATTGAGTGTAGCAAATTTGTGCCCATATAGCAAAGATGGGTACCAATCCAGCATTGTTGAGTACTTTGAGATGTCCTCCTGATATGAATGGTTCTATGTAAATATATATGACTTTAGCTTTCAAAATGAAGCATAGTCGATCGAGATTTCATTTTATCCACTTTTGTTGACCCAAATTCTTTGAATGTTTAATCTTTATTCATAAACTGTTAAAAGTATAGATCCCAAATACCAGCCACTGTTACAAATTTACTGTGGCTTCCTGATTGCAGTCTTATTTGTCACCCATGTATACTTTACCTCTCCCAACAAATGATTTGTGGTGCTCATTCATTTTGGCAAAACTATGGTACAGGTCTATTCAAGAGAACCATTGTCCTTAATGAAACTTTGTATCATCAGGTATATCGTGATCTTAAAGAAGTGACTCCTGAAGCTCTGCAGATGGTCAAACAGAACTTTGAATGGGTGGCAGAAAGAGTACAGGTATGATTTTTCTGTAATGTAATTTTTCCAATTTAGATGTGATACTAGATATTTGTGTATTTGTCTCATCTCCAAAGCATTAACCACAGTAAGGTATTTGTGTGAGAACCATGCACTTTGAAATAGGAAATTTGATGCAATGCACAGCCAAGTAACCAGCAAAAATAACTAGTATGGAGGAAGAGTTTAGCTTTCATTACATTCGAGTTGGATAAACTTTGCATTGGAAATGACTTGTATATAACTTAAGTCCTTTTTTAATTACTTTGAGTTCTCAAAACTAACCTCTGGTTTGGTTTTGAGAATAAAATTATAAGCATTTGAAATCATTCATCTATGAGCAGATTTTTCTTATCTTTCTAGAATGTATTGCATTGCTGTATAAATGTGTTAGTAAAACAAACATTTTATGTTGTCCATTCAATCATCTTTTGTTTTAATGTCTCAATGTATTTCCTGTAATATACTGTGTGAAAAAGTTACTTACACCAATATCTGAGGTCTATAGAAGAATAAGTACTGGGTATCTTGCTCTGATGCTTTGGTCATTTTCCTGGATTATGACTGCTTCAGAAAAGCTCCCAGAAACATTTGAAGCTCCAGTTCCCATTAAACTTTCAAGTACTCCAGGTTGATGTTGCCATAAGTCCTCCATGTAATAGATTTGAGACCCACCCCCCAGGAATGGAGGTAATGGGTTCCAGATTACCAAAAAAGTCATTGATTCCCATTCTTCACTGAAGGAGTGTTATTTGGTGAAGTGCTTTGCGACGTCTAAAGACGTGAAAATGCCTATATCAAATGCAAGGATTATTATTCCCTCCAGATTTTTCTATTTTGTTCACAGGTTTTTGAATAATGATTTGTTCCATTAATTTCCTTGCAGACCTTGCTAGTAACCAAAGCTTCTGGAAGAGTGGTGGTGATTATGGGATCTACAAGTGACCTTGGCCATAGTCAAAAAATAAAGCAAGCATGTGGAAATTATGGTATACCATGTGAATTACGGGTTTCATCTGCTCACAAGGGTCCAGATGAAACTCTTCGAATTAAAGCGGAGTATGAAGGCAAGTGGAAAACAAAAACTGGAATTCTTTACTGAGATAAATCTGAACTTGCAAGCTAATTTCCTAACCCTTTCACATCTTCTAGCTACTGACTCCTGCTTGGTATAAGGTACTGCACAGGTCCCTTGAACCTTGCACTCAATTTTGTGATCTTGGGGAGTAAGGCCCTACTGCTGAGATCAGTTAACTTGAAATGTTGTGTCTATATTTGCTTTGCTAACAACCACGAGATGGGAATCCTAGTGTTAACGCAGCCAAGGTTTTAATTCATATTGAGAATTTACTGAGTTGTCCAACAAACTTTAAAAAGATTAACTTTTTAAAAAATGTCTTCATCGAAACAAAATACAGCATAAAAAGATCAGATACTGTTAAGGGAATGATTCCTTAAATATATTTGTTGCAAGATACACAAAAATGAGAACTGACTGCATTTATCTGCAGACTTGCTTGTATTGATTTACATATAGCCTCAAATAGTTTACAGTGCTTTGTGCAAACTTCAATTGGTTAAAGCATAGAGATCAACCTATTTTTGATATGTAAAATATAGGCTTATGATCATTCTGATCTTTTGACTTATTTAGTGATTTTTTTTGAATAGCAAATTCTATGAGAACTGGAATGCTGTAGACAAAGATGAACTTGTCAAGTTGTTGTGCAGTACATAAACTACCGTTCATTAAAAGACTTGCTGCCATCCACATGACTTATTTCAATGCACACTTTGTTGAAGTTATAGTAAAGAAGAAGTGCCCTGTAGAGTTCATTCTTCCTGAAGTTGAACTTCTCTACTGTTGGCTTATAGAGTTGAAGAGTAATATTAACAAATTTATGGCTGATGTTAGAAAAGACATATGCAAGTTTTTTTTTCAAATTTGTTCTGTTGCATCCTACAGAGGTATTTCTTCCCAAGAGGGTGGATTTAGTGAGCTTTCACTGGCTGTTTTTCTGACTAAGCCAAATCTTTTCCATGTGCCAGATAAAATGGATTGGGGGGTGGAGGGGAAAGTTATTCAGAATTAAAGCTTACATGAAGAGTTCTGAAGTGAGTCTTATTTACAAAAACACTGGATCATGCAATTGGTTTGAATCTCTTGTGTTTTGGAATTGTTATGCCAGTGACCAGATGTACATTCATTGTGGTGCAACTTTATTTAGATTTTGACACTTGAAATTTGTTTTGATCCAGATTTCAAAACTTGACATATCTTAGTATGTGACCATTTTAAGAAACTCAACCTGTATATTTTTTGAAATTAGGTGATTATATTCCTACTGTGTTTGTGGCTGTTGCTGGTAGGAGTAATGGCTTGGGACCAGTACTGTCAGGAAACACTACCTACCCTGTAATAAACTGTCCTCCCCTCTCTGCTGACTGGGGAGCTGAAGATATCTGGTCATCACTCCGAATGCCTAGTGGTAAGTTGTCGAGTTTGTAAAGTGTCTGAGTACATATAGAAAATGGTGATATATTGAAATGTAGATGTGAACTACTGTTTTAGCTGCAAAATAGATTTGAGTTCCACAAAAAAACAAGAGATGGATGAATCTTTCCTGATTTCACAACATAACAAATGTTCAGGTGACATTTGTAGCACTTCTACAGTAAACTTCAGTACAACATTAATGAGATGTGCATTGATGTTGTTCTAAAGTTTTACAATTGTTTGTGCTGAATAAAATTGCAAAATGAACTATAACATTTTCTGAAAGGATTTGAGATTGATGGATTTTTAAAAATGACCAAATGCTGTCACTTGTGTAGATTTAGATTCTATCATATGGGAACAGGCAACTCAAAAGATAGAAAAGTAACTTGACCTTAGTAAAATTATTTAAACTCCACTAAGTTGACAAGTATTGCATTTTCTTAAAGCAACTTTACAACACTATTCCATATGCCAGCCTGGTGCAGTGGTAGCACTCTTGCCTCCGAGTCAGAAGGTTGTGGGTTCAAGCCCAAAGTTGGAACTTGGAATCACATAGTCTAAGCTAACAGTGCAGTCCTGGAGTGTATTGCATTGCCAAACTTTGGATGAGACCTGAAACCAAGGTCCCAACTGTCTGTTCAGGTGGACGTTAAATATCCCATGGCATTATTCGAAAAGAAAAGGAAATTTCTCCAGGTTTCCAAGCCAATAGTCCCCCAAGTCAAATTGGCCACTCCATGGCTGTTTGTGGGATATTGCTCTGTGCAAACTGGCTGCTGTTTTTGCCCACAAAATAGTCAATCCATTTTATAGTCCTGTGGGTCCTGTAACATATTGTTTAGAGCACTCGCTTCGCAAGTAAGAGGACCTCGGCAAGTTTCCTTACTCCACACACCTCTGTTTACCGAGCAGCAAGTAGGAACACGTTTGTTAGTTAATTGGCTGATTGCTTTACTGAGGGTAATATTTCCTTCAAAAAAAATAATAAATAATAATTTGGTCACTCAGTCCACAGCTGTTAGGGGGACACTGCTAAGTGCAATTGGCTGCTGTTTAATCCACAAAATATAGTCAATTCACTTTGCAGTGTATTCTGTGAAGCGCTTTGAGAATTAAAATAATAATGACATGATAAGGTGCAATATCAGATGCAAGGATTGTTATTCCATACTGAATTATTGTCATTCACTTTCAATTATGGGAGCAACATCTACACAGTAATTGTTTAGATTCACAATTCTTGAAAGCATTCCATTCAACTGCACATGATCTAATGTAGAAACAGAAGCTTCTTTGTCCCCTCTGACATTTCCCCTTAAACTTGCACATTATTAACTAATCATTTAAATACAGGAGGTATTACATCAGAACCTGACATTGCATGGACACTGGATAGAGATTTTAAGTAACTTTTTTTTCTTCCCCACCTCGTGCTTATCTTTCTAGGTCTTGGCTGTTCCACTGTTCTGTTTCCTGAAGCAGCAGCACTTTTTGCTGCTCAGATCTTTGCTCAGTCCAATCACTTGGTGTGGGCAAAACTGCGAGCAAATATGTTAAACACCTGGGTTTCTCTGAAGAAAGCTGACAAGCAGACGAGAGCCAACGATCAAAAGTATTCCTTCTGAGATGAATGATCATTGATCACATTCAACACACTGTATGTGCAGGAGCAATATACTACTTAAAATGTTTGAATTCAAAACCCAATGTGACTATTTGTTAGTTTAGATACTCTTCAGCATAGTGATCGGTTTCTGCATGTGTCAGACACCTGGCTGCCCCCCCTATCCCCCCAAAATACTGCTTATAACCAATGAAGTATCTGGTATTTGTGATTAACCTGTTAAGTCTTCAATGATGTGGTAGGGCAAATGACTGTTATAGAATCATTTAAGCACTCAATGAAAATCTGTAACTGAATTAACTATTTGTAACTAATAAATTCTAGGAGATCATGCATCTCGATGTTGAGCTGCACTGGCACCCAAGGTAGTTGTGTGAGTTCTTCTGGTCTAGGTACCAAGCCACAGTTTGACTGTTTAGAGAATTTAAAATCTCCTTTATGGTCAAGCCAATACTTATGTTGCATTCCTTAAACTTAGCATTGTCATATCTGTGGTACTGGTTTTGAGCTAAAGTAATCTGAAGTGAGAATTTCATTGTTAAACATTTTTGGAAGTTTGAAATTACTCAGATTATTCATTCAATGTTAAGCTTTTCATCATGTTCCATTGTATTGCATCTGCAGTTGATATTAAAGGATGTATCCTAACAAGCTTCACTTGTATGAATTGCTCATTTCCTAATGATTGAACATCTTTCTTTCCTTCAACACAAACATAAGTAAGGAGGGCTGGTGGCATTTTGTTTTTAAAAAGAAGTGCTGTTATGTAAAATTTCCAATGTCAATCTACAGCAGAGGATTATCATGTAAGGAAGAAAAAGCTTATGGAATTAATCTTTTGGTAGAACTGAGTGCAGTAGCCCTGAAGATAAATGAAAACAAATACAATTATACCAAAAACACTGCCATTTGTGTGAGCATAATAATGAGTGACTCAACTGGAAAAAGTAAATAGCAGGTGATAAAGATTTAAGGAGAAACTGCCTGAAGGGTGGAGATGTCAAAATATGGGCTGATTTGTGCATACAAAACACTAATGGGAGGTTTCTGCAGGATAGAACCTGCACTAAAGATCTCTAGATCAATTTAAGTTTAAACAAATAACACTAGTGCAGCTTGCAAGGAGAGTAATTGATATTGTGTCAAAGCAGCAATGATGAGATAAGGACATAAGTTGACAGTGATAGCTAAACATAATGTCCTTCCCTAACATCACTGCATTTTTTTTTGCAAGAGGGGAGAATGATCAGACAACTTAGCTGCCCTTCCAGAATCTTGAAAGCTAATTCTATTGCCAAGTTAATACAGCACAGGGCAGAATCCAACCTGCTCTGTTCAGTTTTCTATAATATCAGTCAGCCTCTACGACAAGGTTACCTGAGAGCCACATGTGACAGTATAATCTGTACAGAATGCATCCATTAATTGTGATTAAAAAGTGAAATTAACTTTGCTTGATGACAACATGCTGTTCAGTTACTAACTGCAGATTAAGTTTTGTGCTAGTCGACATGTTTTGCCCACAGAATAAACAGTCAATTCACTTTACAATATATTCTGTGAAGTGCTTTGTGACGTCTCAAGGCGCTGTTTCAAGAAGGACGAAAGCAGTCGGGAGAATGGAATGAAATTCTGTTCTGGATCCAGATTTCCGTTAGTTCAGTGAGGGAGGGTATTCCCTCCTTTGGCTCAAGAAGGGGAAATAACAACCATCAACAAAATTTGAGAAGCACTGACAGACTGATTCCAATTCCTGATGTGGGGAGAGTGCTATCGCTGACACAAGAGAATTTAAGCAAGCTATATCATTCAACTATATTTGTGATCTAAACAAATTTGTACATGTTTACCTTAGAGAAAATTGCTACGTGAATTCTTGAATTGTTAACTTTTGTAAGTACAAACAAGGAAATGTAAAAAAGTTATAATGTATCCAGCTTTGCTCCTGTACTACACCACTTCTGTTGTTCTGATTCTCTTGGATCTTCCTTTACTAATACTATAAAGTTATCAGTTTTGAGAGGAGCTGGGTCGCTTAATAATTACCCTTTCACCTGTGTGAGAAGGAAGTTCGTTCCCGTAATCACCCGTTATATAAAAGTATAATTTCCTTTCCTTGGAGTAGACGGGTTATGTCAGCCTGGCTATAGGATGTCAGTGGCACTCTTTCCTCTGAGCAAGAAGATTGTGGGTTCAAACTTCAGTATATTCAGAACAGGTCTGGCAGAGTGCCTTCTAAGGCTGCTATGGGTTAAAAATTGAACGAGCAAAGTTTTTTTTAAAAGCTCTTGCTGCTACCACACCTGTTTCAAAGCTACATTTTCTGCCATTGGATGGCACTGCAACACTTTGAAGCTTTATGCAGCAGAAAATGCCTTTTCCACGGTGGGGTGTTATATTTCAGTCCACGTTTCATATGGTTAAATTATAACATCAACATATTACATGTGTATAGCACCTTTCATGTCAGGAGGACGTCCCAAGGCACTGGACAGTCGGATCCACACCCGAGTTGGTGGTTGGGTGGAGAGGGTAGGGATAAGAGGGTGACCGAATGCACAGTCGAAGAGGAGTGTCTGTCTTGAGCCGGGTCTTGAAGGAAGCAAGGGACAGGGCGAGGTGGAGGGATTGTGGGATGTAAAACCAGACATATGTGGAACTCTCAACAGCTTGGTTTGGAGACTTTTAAGCATGGTGATTGGTTTCATATACCCAGCTGACCCCAAACAATTTTTAGATTACCTTAAATTCACAATTAGATTGTTATTGTGATAGTGAGTTCTCTTCACTTATCAACAACACTTTGTGTCTTCTGTAACGGGTTTGATACTGAGATAAGCATAAGTATATATATATATTAAAAAAGTTTGTTCCCTGCTCAAACTGTAAGTGCCAGCATTTTATGTATTACGACTCAGTTTTAAGGCTTTGGGATGTTGTCAAAATATATGCTTGTGTCGATTAAATATTTTGCATTTATTTTGAAGTGCGTATTTTAAATTTGTTAATATAAACAAGATACTGGTTTAGACTCGAGAAATCCAGACGCTAATCACTGGAGCATTGGGTATAATACTGTGAGAGTACGTAAATCAAAACCACAACCAGATAACTAATTTCTTCTGCTCCAAAAAAGCCATTAGGCTTAACATTATGGGTTATTTTCTTTAAAGAACAGTCTACACATAACAATAACAAAATTACATTTGTATAACGCCTTTCACATCGGGAGGACGTCCAAAGCTATTGATATACATAGGAAATCATATCAGCTCAAGTCTCACCAAGATTTAAGACTAATCCATCTTGTACTGTGTTAAGATTATTACTATGATTATCTTTGTGGATTTAGTATAGGAGCATAGTAACACACATCCAATCATTTTACCAGCCGTGCATGTTAAAGATGTGTTAAGGTTTGGTCGCAATGAATACTAGTTTTATTTTTTACTGTGGAAAAATGACTATCTGATTGACTATTGTAGGTTTAGTGATGACACTTTTAGTTACCTAACCTGACTGAACGCTGCACTCACACTAGACAGTAATATTGGATTACTCTACGTTAAATAAACATTAATCCATTTGGACAATTATGAGGAGCTATCATTTCAATGAGCCAGATTACCACATTTCTGAAAGCACTAAACAGTAATTTGAAGTAGTTTTTAATAACCGAAGTGTTATTCTGATAGCCGTAGAAATTACATAATTGTTCTTCATGAAAACCTGATATTATACAGTAATTACACTGCAAAGCAGGCTTGACATCTTTGAATGCATTCATTTAAAATATTTGATCAGATTAAATTGACCAAGAAGCAACTTGGTTTCTTAAATGAATTATAGATGTTCTATCTGAAAATCTAACACATTTCAACTTTTACAAATCTGTTTGATTGGATATTGACCAATGAATAAGTCAGATATTGAAAGCTAGTATCTGGTCGGTCTGTCACCAGCATTTGAAAAAATTAAGTACTCCAGGATAAGATACAAAAGTACATTATCCTCTGCCTTTCATTTAAAATTTGATAATAATTTGCTGCGGCCTTTCAAGTCAGGAAGACATGCCAAAGCAGTTCCCAGAATATACTGCGAAGTGTAGTGACTGTCTATTTTGTACACCAAAGTGGCAGCCAATTTGTGCATAGCAACATCCCATAAAACAGCCATGAAGGGAATGAGCAGTTGTTTGCACAACCCCTTTGCTCAGAAACATCCCCTGCACTGCATTGGAATGCAATCTTAGACTATATGAGTTCCAATACAGTATTTAGCATTATTTTGAAAATAAGGCATTTAAATACTAATATTTATCTTCAGAACTATAAATATCAAACTGTACCCTTAATAAATTAGCAGATAAGAAATATCAGAGGGTTAGCTCTTTGTAGACTTCATCCCAGAGTATTGCATTATTTTAAACAAGCATTTTAAACAGGATTAATTGGGAGAAATATGTCAAAATAGAACAAAATTACATTTGTATAGCGCATTTCACATTGGGAGGATATCCCAAGGCGCTGGACAATTAGTGTTTTGGACCCGAGATGGGGGTCGGGTTCGGGGAGGGTGGAGGACGGTGGGGGGATGGAGAGTGACCGAAAGCACGGTCGAAGTGGAGTGTCTTGAGACAGGTCTTGAAGGAGGAAAGGGATGGGCTGAGGTGGAGGGACTGCGGGATGGAGTTCCAAACTGTAGGGGCAGAGTGGCTGAAAGCCGTCGTCCCAATGGTGGGTGGGCGAAGCGGGGGATGTGAAACAGGCCAGAGGCCGCTGAGTGGAGGGAATGGGCAGGTTGGTAGGGAGTTAGGAGAGGTTGACCCCATGTCTGCGGATGATTAAGATTAAGAGTAGAAATTGAACCAAGCTTTTAATAACCAAAGTGTTATTCTGATAGCCTCAGATACAGATTAGAAAGCATCTTGCACAAGTTTCAGTTTTTGATGTTCATTTTATTTTAAAATGTACATGTTAAATACATAAGCTGAGATTGGATTTCTGTAGAAACATTTTATATATGATTTATGTACAAAGAAGCCAAACAACTGGCATGTTTACAAAAAAAACAGAAACTGGAATTAGAACTTGAAAATAATACAAACATTTCATGGGAAGCAGGAATGCAAATCATGAGACCACAAAGTGTGCAATCTTCAAAAACAGTGTAAGGCATTTTACTACTTACAAAAAAAAGTGCAAAAAAGATGTTTTCTGCTTTCTTTTCAGTAAGCAGAACACTTAAATATAGACAAAAATAAGTACTTATATCAGCTACAATTTACTATAATTTGAAGTACCCAATGTTAAAAAAATCTATGTTTTAAAGTTCACTTCTAATTTGTTGTATTCAAACTTTTCAGCAATGTTTTATGACTTACTGGACAGGTATAGAGTAAAATGTTCATGTATGCTCATTAGCAGTGGTGCCATTTTACTGAATTGGAAAACTCAATAACTCAATTTTCTAATTTTGTTAGAAAATCTGGAATATTTGTGCAAATCATGGCAATCATATTGTATAAAGAACAAAACACATCTTTAGTGTTGCAAACTGATACCATCTAACACAGCTAGTCCAGTCTAAATGCTTTAAAACTAAGCAAAATGTCCCTGGATTTTTGTCCATCCAAGAGTTTTTAAACATGGTATTAAAGGGCATTGCTGTTCTATTACAACCTTCTATCTTATGCAAAGAATTGTAGTTACCTTTTTGTGTTTTGGGACTTTCAGTTGACAGAATAGATTGCATTTGTTGAGATCGTGCCTGTAAGTATATATGCCTCTAATTGCACTCACTCAGAAACCAGGATTGCATGTGAGAAGATAGCAATGAGCGAAATTATGATTGAAAAGAGGATTGGATGGTCTTTTAGATAAGCCCAGGCGGTTAGTCACTTGGAGTTGTCTCTAGAAAAGTATGTCAAAATGTGCTGAATTTTGATCAGGCGGTTTTTCAAGGACATCATGGATAATACTGATAACTGATACCTGGGATCCACAGGCAGAACTGCAAGAAGCCACCAGCACCAAGCAGGTCCATTTGGAGTGGCCTAATAATAAAAAAAAGTTTAGATAAGACAATACCATTTATTACACTATATGGTGTGTCTCCCAATGAGTACCTGATGCTTTCAGTTACAGACTTAGGAATGTAGGAATAGGAGGAGGCCATCCAATTCATCATGCCTGTTCCTCCACTGTGTTACATCATGGCAGATCTTTCAATCCCATCTATTTTTTTCCAGATTCTTAACACAATAGTAATCCTTGCATTTGATACAGCGCTTTATCACGTCTTTGAGATGTCTCAAAGCGCTTCACAGAATATACTGTAAAGTGCAGTAACTGTGCATTTTGTGGGGGAAATGCAGCAGCCAGCAGTGTCCCACACATTCGTGGATTGAGTGACTAACTTATTATTATAATTTTATTATAATTGAAGGGATTATGATGCCCTGCAAATCGACTAACAAGTGTAAAGTGTAGTAATGGTATATTTTGTGCTCTTGGAGAGCATTAGGGACAGGTTGGCGAGAGCCAAGGCTTGGGGGAAGCCCAGAATGTGCGTTGAGGTAACTGCTGGGAGTCAGACCAGCTAAACCCACATAGCTTGCCATTGAGAGCGCTGTTTGGCAAGCTTTCCCGCTGTTTGTCCTAGGATCACTCTACCCGGCTGATCATGAAGTGTGCGTGTGTGTCAGACACCCGACTGAATCACGGTAACGGGTTTCCATGTGTGCATGTGTCAGACACCTGGCTGATAATCTTTACGTTAGTTAAAATTTAAAGCAATCGTCCAGCCCAATTGTTTTTACTGTAATATTCACCTTTAAATTCAAATAATTCATAGTACAGAAGATGTGATTTGAGGAGAAAAGGTTGTACTACCTGTATATCTGCTTCCCTTTCTGGCATTGGCCCAAAATGTTGAAGGATTTGACTACGGAATCGATTCCTTAGATTTTGAAACCAGTTGTAAGCCTGTGAATATACTTGGTTATGAAGATCAACAAGTTTGATAAACTCCTGTCTGTCAACCTGAAAAATAGACAATGCATTTCCAGTTATGCTGACGTTTGACACAAAGTAATTATAAGAATGTTATGTTTAGGTATCCAATAATACGATACTGAATAGAAAGCAATATATTGTATCTTGAAAACATTAAGCTATAGAAAATGTGTCCATAAAAAACGAGAATGTGTGCTAACTTGCATAATACAGGTACTCTAAATAATAACTGTGATAACTAAATAATAACATGGGTAAGCCATGGGAAAGCTAAGACAAGAGAAAAATCAACTGTGGCTCAAACTCAGAATTTTATTTTGCATTTGAAAGATAGAAAGACTAAGTTTCACTTCTAAATTTCACGGTTTGCTTCTGACATGCTAAAGATCCCATAATACTGTTAAGCACTTATGAAACATGAAATCTACTTTTGAAAGATTATGTCATACACATTTTTAGTTACCTCGAATTATATAAACTGTACAGCATCAAAACAATAATTCAAACCAACTAATCCATGCTGGCTTTCCCTCTGGATGGCGTCTAATGTTTTTTTATCATACTTTAACAAGCAGAATGAGCGGCTCTCCATCTGTGAAAGCCAGTTGATCCACCAGCTAACACCAGGATCTCTCCATAAGGAACACACCCACATTTAGAGGGGTATGGGAGAAGGGATTAAGAATGGTAGAGGCTCACGTGGAGTATTAATATTAACCTGGATTAGTTGGGATGTGTAGCCCATTTCTGTGTTGCACAGTTTATGTAATTCTATGTAATCTAACATGTAATGCGTTTCAGAAAACATAATCTTCAGTCCATTAAATATCTAACCAGTTAAATAATAGCAAATGACTAAATATGCTCTATATGGCTGATAGGCAAGTAGAAATGGCACAGATATAATTAAAATAAATTTAATTTGGTTTAAAACTGTTGAGTGAGTCTACCATATTTAACTGTCATTGGGTGCATCTTTCCCAAACAAATGTGTGCATGAGTCATTTGAAGGCATCATTTCCTACCAATTCATGGAATACAGACCCTTGAGCCAGATAAACTAATTTCTAAAACCTCACGACACGGATTGCGAAGAGACAATGTGGCCAATGAGAATATATTTTCTTCTTGGTTTCTAAATTTATAGCTTGACATTTACGTTTTAATGTTCTGACCAATTCTAAAACAGCTTTAATAACTATTCATGTCAGCAGAATAGAGCAAGTCAAGGGAAAACTATGATAAGTTCAAACCAATTTCTTGAATAATATCTGCAGGTCTACCGACTGGCAGTGAATTAACCCGTAAGGTCACTGAATCTACAGAGTTCTCTGCTATAGAATGGGCCATGAAGTTATCTTGGATTGATCAATGAGAAACTCTAATCTAAAATAATTTTACCTTAACATCTTCCAAGTATTCAATATTAGCAATAGAGTATCCATCTTTCTGCCCTCTTTCCAAAACTTTGAAACGGTTTCCTCCAACTGTGTCGACAACAGACCGCCCATCAGGAAGAAAGTGGACATTTCTTATTTGCAGCATGCAACCATAATCAGTAAATCTAGAAACAAAGGATAACACATTAATGAAACTGAAAAGTAAGATTTACTGGAAATATTATAATCAAAGTCATCTTATCAATTTATGCAGGGTAACAAAAATCTACTGCCTAATAACTATTGGCAAAATTTAAAATTATGCTTGACCATTATCCAAGCTTCTTAAAGAGTAAGACAAACACTTCATAAACACTTTCAGAGTAACTAAAAGCTACGTTATGAAGCATTTCTCCACAGTTCTCCAAGTTACTGGATAAATTAATTTGCAGTGCAGAAGATATCAAAATTATTTCAGTTTTCGTCATGTCATTTCTTTGAAAGACTCTGGGGCTTACCACATTTTTTGGTCCCATCTATTTACCAAATTACAGGATAGTACATGAGCGGTGTTTTCTCTATTACAGCAAAATAATCTATAACTTATGGACATCAGAGGTTGAATTCTAAAGGCCTTGTGCACATTCCCAATACAGTCACTTGGTGTGATGTTCCTTTTTCTGTGAAGTCTTAGTTCAAAAATTTTTTTAAAAATTGCTGTATTTTATAACAATTACTAATACTGCTTGCATTTGAATAAACAGACAGGACCTCAGTTTAATATCTCAATTGAAGGATTGCAATTTCCCAGGATTGTATTAGATATCAGCTAAGACTGTGAGCTCAAAGCCCCAACTTGGCCTTTAGCGAAGGCAAGAGGGAAAATTGTGCCAGGCTGACACTACTGATGAGCGATTCAACAGGGCTTGTTTTGTTGAATTATGTTATTCAAGTGCATTAGAAATGTAAATATTTAACATTTAGTTGCTTAAAATACAATCTTTCTGATGAACTCATCTAGTCAATAACAAAGACTACATTGTACTTCTACATCATTTGTTTCTATTATATTGATGACCAGTGCTTTTTCTTTATTAGCCAATGAACTCTATTCTTGTTCTGTAGTTGTTCTACATCTGATCGTGAGCACGACTGTATTAGTCAACTTCCAAGTAACTTGAAACTACTGTAAATATAATTCAACATACCCATTCTGTGAATCACTGATGCACATTCCAAATTGTTTTGTACCAGTCTCAATACATCTTCGAATCATAAGTCGATACCGTGGCTCAAAAACATGAAGAGGACATGGCACGGTAGGATATGCCATTGTACAAACAAATATGGGAACATTCTTGGTCAAACTGCAAATGGAAACAAATCAAGAATCACTAAATATTTTGTAACACAGAATTACATTGTAGCAAGGGTTGGATATTGATATTGTTGTAAGTGAAGGTAGACATGATCTTCAACCAAATCCAAACGTTCACAAACTAAAACTGAAGCATTTGCTGAGGGCACTAAATGTTTTGGTTGCTAGTTCTCTCATTTTCTCCTCTTAACACTCAATTTCCGTGCTGCAGCAATCCTTTTATTTGCCAATGTAGCATAAGGGTTGAGAAATATACTCAAAACTGCAGCAAATATCCTTATAGAACATTTCAAATTAATTTTAAAGCAAAAATATTAAGTTAATAATATGCAAGCAATATTCAATACAGATAACTGAATATCAATGCTGAGAGCTTCCTAATTTTTGGCTGCTAAACATCTCAAAGCGCTTAATTACTTTTTTCAAAGAAATCCTTTACAATTCAGAATTTTTCACATTTACCACTTATTTCCAAAATAATACACCAGCATTCAACACTATGGACTTACTTTGAAAGTTCTGCCGTTTCTTCAATGTGAATCTTTTTTCGTTCATGCAGTTCTTCAGATAGGTATTTTGTTATCACTTCTTCCAATAAATAGGTGACAATGTATTTCCTATTTGCAAGGTACTAAGGAACAAAAAACGTTTTATATAATTTTTGACTTTTTAAAAAAAAGTCTTTCTTGATTGATTACTTCCCCCTCTCTCTGAACTACCATACACATATACTCTACAGACACCAGCAAAGCCCAAAGTTTTGCTTCACCCTCTCCCACATTAGTACATTGCATATCACCATTCACTATGCAGTACAAATGCAAGTCTATGAGTTTATGAACACATACACTTTGGCAATTCTGATATGCCAGGTTAATACAGAAATAAGGAAATCAGATTTTGACCATCTAAATTTGAGATAGCAAAAGAGGCTATATTATATATAATATATATATATATATATAGTGCTAGACAAATGTTAGTTCAATATTTGTCAAAAATAGTATTGCACATCACTTACTTTCTCTCCATCACCCCCCTCTCCCATTATTGCCACTAAACAGGTTGTCAGACAGTTTTCCTTTCAATGTGATCTAGAACTTACTTCCTTTAGGCTCTCTTTACACAGTGGGCACTGGGCACTGTGATCCAAACATCGTTCCAGGCAGCTTTTACAGAAAGTGTGACCACATGGTAGCGTTACCGGCTCATAGAACAATCTGTTTTAAAAATAAATGCACAGGTTTAGAAAATGGCATTATATCGAAATTATATTAACAAGGAATCAGGAAATGGTTAATATGTTAGCCTTCAGTGAGGTCTTATTGCTTACTTCATGGCTATTTGTGGAACATAACTATGTGCAAACTGGCTGACAAATTCACCTACAAAATAGTCAGTAAACTTTACAGAAAATGTTATAAAGCACTTTGCCACATTTTAATATATGGCAGGGCATCAAATACAAGTATTACTACTATTATTTTAGGTCAGGCTATATTGCAGAAATAAAGCTACTAATGGCATCAGATTAGCTCAACTAACTAACATTACTGTTGCCAAATCACTGTAAGCATGAGCTGAATACTTAAAACAAATAGCAGGAGAGATGTAATGCTTGTAGCTATAGAGTCTAAGAGTTAATCTGATTTAAGTACTCATTTGGCATTCTGGCAGTAGTTTACTTCCTACCTCATACAAAGAGAACACTCAAAATCCGATGCATCTATTAGATTTTCAGGGATAGATCGATCAGAAGTTGATAAATGTAGATATTGTTCAGCATCTGAATAAAAACAAATACATTTTCCAAATTTTTAATTAGAAAAATAATAGCATGTTAGAAGTAAGCAGAGAAAATATTCTAAATGCATTATATATTACATAGAATGATACTGCATGGAAACACGCCATTCAGCCCAACTAGGTTGTACTGGAGTTTATATGCCACCCATGCTAATCCCCTATAAAATCCCAAGAGATATTCAGATAAAGCAGGAAGATTTTTGGATATTTGACCCCACCCTTCGACAAAGGAATTGGTTCACTCTTGCTTGTCTCATAAGATTGTCTTGTGTTCATGTAAACAGGACAATAACCAGAGGCATTGAAAAAGCTGAACCTGTTCACACAATAATATAGCAAGACATTAATGTTTCTGAGAATAATGTTCTTAACAACACGAACCACATGAAAATCTTGAGCTAAAAAGGATTTCTCAATGCAGTGATGCAAAGCATTGAACCATTTAAATTATGATGGAAAGGCAGAATTCAGGAACAAATCATTTAATATACATTTGACATCCGTTTTTATGGGCAAAACTTTTTTAAAAAGTTTTTATACCCTCTGGAACTCCATTCTTGGAATCCCTCCATGTCCTCCCTCCTTCAAGATCTTCCTCTCTGACTGAACGTTTGGCCATCCTATCACCATGACTGCCTTCAACCTTCTCGATTCCAACCCCCAGCTCGGGTGCAAACCCTTAACTATCCAGAGCCTTGTAATTTGTTGTTGTTGACACTAGACTTGGACAGAATAGCTGAAGTTGAATAATTTTTACAGTAACTAACCTGGTTTTTTATGTTTACTCCTTCCATCTTCAATCCCCAAATATTCTTGTTCAGTGGAAGACAGTTTCCTTTTCAATAGAGCTCCCTTGTCTTGACTTGAAAGCAGGGGAGCTGAAGAAACTCGTTTCAAGCCAGCGGGGCCAACGAGCTTCTCCACTCTGTGTAGGATCTGGACTGAATGGGCTCTTCTCAGGTACATGGATTCTGTGGACTCTGATTCTTCTATAGGTTTTGGCACATCCGACACTGCTGATTCATGGCACAATTTCTTTAAAACACAAGTGAAGGAATGTTGAATTTCTTCTTATTATTATTATTATTATATATGATTACCCAGGACAGTTAGAAATAACACAAGATCCTAAGTATTGCAGCTATATACTGATCCAGAAAGACTATATGGTAGTACAGTAAAATAAAGGTTAGACTTGGCTCTAAATGGACACTTAAACTAATAGAAACAATAGCTCAGCTGAGTAAGAACCCCTTTGAACAAAGATCTTTAATAAACACTGGCTATTAGTAAATGTAATTTGCAGAAGCAAGGTGACCTGTCTCAAATTGCAGCTAAATTAAAAAAAGTCCTACCTGTTTATGTTAACCGGGGGTGGGGGGATTTGAACAAATATTGTCGACGTAAGCGGGAATAACACAATATATGCAGTGCTGTTAGGGACTTTTAAAAATTGAAATTTGTTTCGTCGATATACGTAGATAAGTGGTTGGCAATATAATCTAAAATGCAAAATTGTGTCTCTTCAGGGAATGTCAACAGCTCTTACCTCATTACTTTTCATCTCAGCTGAACTAGATGTTTGACTACAGGCCACATTGGTAGACAAATTAACCGGTAACATTTTACTTTGAAGGTGTTGTGGCGATATCCACAATGATTCCTCGAGTCCTTCTTTCACATTCTCAGGAACAGGTGATAGCAAATCTTGTAAAATCTAGATATAGAAATAAAACAGGGATATTCTAGAAGAATAATAACTGAAAAATTGTGCTCTGATTTGAAAAACTTGTATCAAGGGAGAATTTCACGATTAATATAGCTTTTAAAAAAGTTTCATTATTGGAAACATTTCACAAAAAATATTTTTGATTACAAATAAATGAATTAGAGAACTATACTGATAACCAGTTCATTGTAGTGACAGCTTGTTTTCAAAATTCTATGGAAAAATGATTCACATTTCAGATTCTTAAAATTACTAATAAAACATTGGTTTCAATGATCCACAAATATCATTAAATCTACGATTGAGATTTACTCTGCTAACATGAGCATTTAAATCAATAAATGATCGACTGCTTAGAAAAGTATACCTTAACGGTTCGAGAAATTCCACCCAAGTCTTGATTTACTCGTTAGCATATAGCCACAAGACTCCTTTGACGCTCATTGTTTGTGGGAGTGTCTGCCCTCTACATGACACCTTTCCCACAGGTTGAAAACCAGTTTCAAATTTAAGGCCGTATTAAAAGTTCCAAAAATTCTAAAATGCCACGTCAGAGTAAATCTCAACCCAGGTGGAATTTCCCCACGGTAAATTAAGATCAAATTAGAACCATTGTGTAACACATGCCAAACAGAGGCAATAAACGGTTTCACATACATATTCACCTTGCAATAATAAACTCAAGAGCTTTAATCTCAGCTTCAATAAGCATTACACTTCACTAAGCATAATTACAATCAAAATAGACACCCCATAGTTGAACTAACAAAAAATTACCTTTCGCATTTCTATTTTTGCTGCAGTAAAATCTTCATCCAAGGCCAAACACTGAAGAAATGATTGTAAGGCTTCATCTGCCTGACCAATAGTTATCAACACTTTTCCTTTTCTGAAGTGTCCCTAAGAAAGTTAAGAAAACTTTAAATAAATTACTGCAGACAAATTTAGTTAGAACACTACTTCATGACTTGTAAGAACCACGATTTGGTTATCATTGTTATTTCTGAGCCAAGTGGGTGCACAGTACTCCAAGGCACTGCTGGTGACAGACCAACCATACTGGCTTGTCCACAGAACTTGGGAGTGGAAGACTGATGGAATTCCTCCCACTCGTCTCCTGTTATCCCTGCATATCAAAGCTCTAATGGGTAAGGTGATCCCAGCTGGACACGTAGCAGAAAACTTGCTTGACAAATGCACTCAATGACAAACTATGCAATTTTAGCAGGTTAAACCTGCAGTACCCCAATGCATTCTGCGGTCCCCAAATCTTGGTTCTTGCCAAATTGTGCAAATACTCTCCAGATTTAGGTAAGCCGGGTCTGTCCCTCCAAGAGATGCATATTCAATTCCAGACACAGGGAAATTTCCACATGTAGGTGCCATGCATATATGGAACTCTCACCTTAGTTTGGATACTCTTAACCATGCTGATGGTTGAGCGTATCTGGCTTGTTAAACAAAACCTCACTTCTGCTTCTTCTTTATATACATGGTTTCATATTAGTCATGTAGTAGGGATCTAATGATTTCCAACTATTCTTAACTTGTCCATTGCAGCAGGAGGGGTGTTATGTAAAATATAAAACATATCATACCTCTGGCCAGTTGGGCATTCTTGAACACACCACTTCTATATCTTCAATTGCTTCTTTGAACCGTTGAAGACCAGCATATGATTGAGCCCTGTAGCCTCGAAGTGTAATATCAGTGGGTTCTAAAGAAATATAAAAAAAAGTAAGAATATCCAGCATAGTAATTGGCAATTTGTGGCACTTATTTCATAATCCTAAATATATGTATACTTAAATGAGATTCCAGTCTAAATCACCCAGTAGTACAACAACTTGGAATACCAATAAGTTGCATCAGGTTTAAGTAGCTCCAATGTAAAAACTAACGTACAGAATTGTGGTTTGCCATGTTGATACATTTAAGACCCAACTATGAATAAAACTTGCAATTATCCTTACATCTGTCATCACTATTGCGTTTGTTGGGTGTATCCAAATTTGTAAACAGGCAAACGAGGACCTGCGCCCTAATTTTCCTTTCAAAGTCCTGATGGTGAAAGTTATATGAAGATACATTTTTAGTGATTTAATTAATAATACAAAGATTTAACAGGAAACTTTTTCAGTAGGTGCATGGCAAAATTTAAAATTGAATTTTCTCTGCACCATAAACCTTTAATTAATGCAATTTATTTGAGCTGCAAATAGCCACGGCTTTATATAATCAAAGAACTGTTGAGAATACGAATTACATGACCCTAATACTAAGCACTACTTACAAAGATTTTGAAAAATTTAACCTGAACACATCACAAACATAAGTACTTAATACCTGCAGTATTTAGTATCTAAAGTTGTATTAGTATTCAAATCTACAAGAAATCTTTATAGCCTGCATCATATTAGTAACTACAATTTTATAGACATGTATATGTGTGCAAACAATGGGTAATCTATCCAGTTTGCCTTTGTTGTTGAAATTTTGGTTTGACAATTTTACTATATATTCTGTGAAGCATTCTGAGACATTTCAATGATGTGATATATCAAATTCAAGGATTATTATTATTATAAATAACTACACTCAACTCCTCTCAATTCAAGAGAAAAAAAGTCAAGACAGCCAGTGTGGTGTAAGAAAATGCTGCAATGTCAAATGTGTAAACCTTTGGATGAGATGTTAAATTGAGGGGGTAGATTGGAGAAGGAGAAAGGTAAATGGGAAGTGCTAAAAACGCTAAAATGGCTCTAACATGTCATCAACGCCCCAACAGACAGGTGGTCCTACAGCAGAAAGCTTTCCAAATAGTGATTTCAATGGCAAGTTATACGGCTTTAGCGAGTTAAGCACCAGCAGTACCCTAACAGACACTGGCGTTTCCAAGCCTTGGCTTTTTACCAACCTGCACCTTATTCCGTATTCCATCCCACACGGGAATTTCCATGTGTAGGTGACAAACTTTGTCTGGTTTCAATACGCTTTAAGAATGCTGAGATTTCCGTGTGCGTCAACAAGTGTTTGCCTACAAAATACACAGGCACTACACTACACTTCACCGTATGATAAAGTATTATTTGGGTTGGTTTGAGCCAGAACCCATTGCGATAGACAATAAATAACCCCAACGCCTTTTATTTCTTTGGGGAAAAAAGTTTTTCTTCCTAAAACAAAAAGCAAAAATAAAACTCTTGTAAAATAAACCGAGAGGAGAGACGGGGTACTTAACCGCACTGCCTCAGCGGCCTGGCCTGCCCTGCCCTGCCTGCCCTGCCTGCCAGCCCTCTGCCTGCCAGCCCTCTGCCTGTTATAAAACAGACTCCATTCGCTTCCCAATGACTTCACTGGATGTTACACAACCGTACAACACACGTAACACCCACAGCCTGTGTGTTATACAACTCAGGGCACCGGGAGGTCAAACTGGGGGGGAGCGAGGGCGGTGTGTGGGAGAGGGGGAGGAGAGCGAGGGGAGGGGGAGTGAGAGGGGAGGGGGAGTGAGAGGGGAGGGGGAGTGAGGAGTGGGGGGGGGAGTGAGGAGTGAGGGGGGGGGAGTGAGGAGTGAGGGGGGGGGAGTGAGGAGTGAGGGGGGGGAGTGAGGAGTGAGGGGGGAGTGAGGAGTGGGGGGGAGTGAGGAGTGGGGGGGGGGGAGTGAGGAGTGGGGGGGGGGAGTGAGGAGTGGGGGGGGGGAGTGAGGAGTGGGGGGGGGGAGTGAGGAGTGGGGGGGGAGTGAGGAGTGGGGGGGGGAGTGAGGAGTGGGGGGGGGGAGTGAGGAGTGAGGGGGGGGAGTGAGGAGTGAGGGGGGGGAGTGAGGAGTGAGGGGGGGAGTGAGGAGTGAGGGGGGGAGTGAGGAGTGGGGGGGGGGAGTGAGGAGTGAGGGGGGGGAGTGAGGAGTGAGGGGGGGAGTGAGGGGGGGAGTGAGGGGGGGAGTGAGGGGGGGAGTGAGGGGGGGGGAGTGAGGAGTGAGGGGGGAGTGAGGAGTGAGGGGGGGAGTGAGGAGTGAGGGGTGAGAGTGAGGAGTGAGGAGAGGTTCATGAAACCCCAAATGAAAGAAACCCTTTCCCCAGTAAAGCCCCTCCAGACCGCCCCCCCCAGACCCCCCCCAGCCTCAGACCCCCCCCCTCAGACCCCCAGACCCCACCCCCAGACCCCCCCCCCCCCCCAGACCCCGGCCTCAGACCCCAGACCCCCCCCCCCCCCCCCGGAGACACTGACCCAACTCCATCTCCCGCTGCAGCAGCTCCAGCGCCTCCTGGCAGCGGCCCCCGGTGACCAGCTCCTCGGCCCTGGCCTTCGCCCGGCCCCGCCGGCCCTGCGCCGGCAGCCACTTGTCCATCACGCAGCACAGGATCACGTTGGACCGGAGGGGCCGCGCCTCGGGGCCCGGCGCCGGCTCCCCGCACAGGCGGCACGGCACGGCGGGCTGCAGCTGCAGGCAGCGCCGGCACCAGGTGTGGCCGCACGGCAGGGTGACCGGGTCGCTCAGGAGCTGCCGGCAGGCGGGGCAGCACAGCAGGGCCCGGCCTCCCCGGCTCGGGGGCCCCCGCTCGTCCCGGGGCCCGCACCCCGCTCTCGCTCTGACCCCGGGGCCGCCGCCGCCATCGCCCATTCGCCGCTTGAAGCTGAAGAGCAGACAGTCCACCAGCGTGTCCAGCTGCTCCGGCCGCAAGGGCTCACAGCTCATCAACAGGCCGCCCGGGAGCGGGATCTGCCCGGCGGGGCGGTGTGGGTGTGGGGGGGGCTGGGGGTGTGGGTGTGGGGGTGTCGCCGCTCAGCCTCAGTCTCCGCCCGAAGACGGCACTGCGCCTCCGACTGTTACCGACTGACCCCCCGCGGGCCGCGGCCCGGCCCTTTAAAGACTCCCCCACGTGCTCACACAGCGCGATCTCATTGGCTGAGAGGCACGTTCGGGCCCCTGTTTTGTAACAGGTCTCAGTGAAGAGGGAAACAGTCACAACAATGTAATCAATACACCTCCCGGGGGGGGGGGGGGGGGGTGATCAGCACAGCGTGTGATCAATACAGTGTCTGATCAGCACAGTGTCTGATCAATACAGTGTGTGATCAGCACATGTGATCAATATAGTGTGTGATCAGCACATGTGATCAATATAGTGTGTGATCAACACGTGTGATCAATATAGTGTGTGATCAACACGTGTGATCAATATAGTGTGTGATCAGCACATGTGATCAATATAGTGTGTGATCAACACGTGTGATCAATATAGTGTGTGATCAACACGTGTGATCAATATAGTGTGTGATCAACACGTGTGATCAATATAGTGTGTGATCAACACATGTGATCAATATAGTGTGTGATCAACACGTGTGATCAATATAGTGTGTGATCAACACATGTGATCAATATGATAATAATAATAATCCTTGCATTTGATATAGCACCTTATCACGTTGATGAAACGTCTCAAATGCATCCCAGAATATAAAAGTGTAGTGACTGTATATTTTGTGGGCGAAACACAGCAACCAATAGCACACAGTGGTGTCCCACAAACAGTTGCGGATTTAATGACCAAATTATCACACTGTCAGTGTCACTGCGCTGACACACTCATTCGCTCACTCATTCATGATGACAACAACAACAATAAGATTACATTTGTTTAGCGCCTTTCACGTCGGGAGGACGTCCCAAGGCGCTGGACAGTGTACAGCATTTCAGACCCGAGCTGGGGTTAGGGTGGGGGAGAAGGGAGGGGAGGGGAAGGGGGGTCTTGAGGCGGGACTTGAAGGAGGCTAAGGAGGGGGTGAGGCGGAGTGATTGGGGGATGGAATTCCAGAGGTTGGGGGCAGAGTGTCTGAAGGCTCTCCCGCCAATGGTGGGGCGGATGGGTCGGGGGAGCAGGCCAGAGCCGGCTAAGCGGAGGGAGCGGGCGGGTTGGTAGGGGTTTAGGAGGTCGCAGAGGTAGGGTGGGGCGAGGCCATGGAGGGCTTTGTATGTGAGGACCAGGATCTTGAACTGGATCCTCTGAAGGATAGAGAGCCAGTGGAGTTGGGCGAGAGTGGGGAAGATGGGGTCACGGAGTTTGGTGCAGGAGAGGACACGGGTTGCAGAGTTCTGGATTATCTGCAGCCTGTGGAGGGAGGAGTTGGGAAGGCCGACAAGCAGGGCACTTGCATAGTTGTGCCTGGAGGTGATGAATACATGAACAAGAGTTTCAGCGGCCTGAGGGGTGAGGTAGTGGCAGAGTCGGGCGATGTTACGGAGGTGAGGGAAAGCGGTTCATGGCTTGGATGTGGAGGAGAAAAGACAGTTGAGGGTCGAATAAGACACCAAGTTTCCTGACTGGAATCTATGTTGATCAACAAATGTGATTTATATAGTGTGTGTGATTTACAAGTTTTTACACATGTGGCAAATTGGGAATCCAGATGTGGCGAAACTGCATTTTTATTATTTTTGATTTCTAAATAAAAAACGAATAATACTGTTGGAATCTGGGCAATGAACAGAATAAAACCCACTTTTTCTATTCAGCCCACTTTTAATAAAGAACCCGAGAACAGAGGAACCAAAGATACTCAGGGTGGGGGGGAATGAAATATTAAATTAGAGTTTTCTCGAATTGAGTCAAAAGAAAATTGAGTATGTTGAAACAAGACCATGAGTAATTGCAGGCTCAGTACAGTGAATTAGAAAAGAAAGCGCAGGAAATGTCTATTGCGGAACAAACTCCAAGAGGACTTTCACATTTAAACCAAGTGGCAGAGTTACAACATGTAGCATCCGGAGCTGACCCTGAGAAACATTTGAGATGTGTGCAGAGTGCATGTCAATTGTATGGGATCCGAGAAGAGAAGGATAGACTTGGGAGTTCTCCAAATGACGCTGCCATTAAACCTTCGGCACCAATTACCTGTCGGAGTACGTTCTGGTGATTATAATTATAAAAAAACGGTTGGGGAATTACAAAAGCTTTGTAACCCAGGCACTAACTGCATTAATCTGGCTATACAGACAAAACAGGAACTTAATGAGCATCCCCAAAGTTTTGTAAAGATTTATTGATGTGTATGCCTCTGGGACACTCAACATGACACAGAGGCTGCTCATTTTAAGGGTTTGTTCTTAAATAATTTAAGTACACCTATCAAAGGCAAAATAGATATGATTGTTGCATCTGCTGATCCGTTAGAAGATGTAGTGCTGTCAGACTAAAGCGAATGTTTGGCAGGCCACATTTGGTTATCACCGCTGCAAGCACTTTTTCTGAATGATGCTTTCTTGGTACAATGCAATTTCCTTTTATAATAATGAGTTGTGGAGTCCTGTAGCTCAGTGGTTAGAGTCCTCGCCTTGCAAGTGAGAGACCTAGATTTGATTTCCAGCTGGGCAAAACATTGGGCAAGTTTCCTTCCTCCACACGCCTCTGTTTACCTAGCAGTAAGTAGGAACCTGGTTGTTAGTTGATTGGCAAATCACTTTTCTGGGGGTAATAATCGATTAAAAAAGTAAAAAACATTTGGTCACTTCAATCCATGACTGTTTGTGGGACACTGCTGTGCGCAATTGGCTGCCGAGTTTTGCCCACAAAAATATACAGTCAATTCACTTTATAGTATATTCTGTGAAGCACTTTGAGATGTCTAGAAGACATGAAAAGTGGTATATCAAATGCAAAGATTATTATTATTATTATTATTATTATAATTAGCCTGTAGGATATTTTGATCTTGGGTTAAATAGAAGCAACGGAATTCCAATTTAAGTAAATATTTATAATTAGCATTTGAAGTCAACTCAGTTAATTCGGAATATCCAAAACTGTAAGAACATTTTGTCCTTGCACATAATATATTCTAAATTAATTCCGTAATTGGTACCTTATCTATGTACTATATGTATTTTTCAAATTGTAAGATGCAGGCCATAAAGTTTGATGCCTAGCATTTGACACTAACGGAGACCAATATTTTTTCCATTGCTGTACAAATGTTACCATGGAGTGAAATATGCAATGTTTTGTAATGCACTGTTTGTGATAATCACAAGCGAAATGTTATGAAGCATTGCAAACTTCACCCCCAAGTTAGTATTAACCATTCCTTATTGCATAACGTTAAACCGCATAAATGACAAGGTCTACTACAAATTGAAAGGGCAGAATTAGTCTATAGGTACTTAGGACACAGCATTAAAAAGAATATATATATATTTTGACAATTTAGTGCCATTTAAAATAGCACCAAAATTTGCATGCATTGAATAAGAGTGTACATCTGAGTTACTACAGTTTAACTTTTAAGAAGCTCAATTTATTTGGAAAGGTTATTTACAAATTTCTATTTTTGGTCTTTTGATTTTAAATAACCACAGGCCCACTTGTTATGAGATATTTGTGCCACAATTACTTATTTTGTTTCTAGATCTTGCTGAACACGAGCAACGCAAATACTGTATTTGTCTATAAATTTACATTTGTGTCACTCAATAAAACACCCTTTTTCATGAATTTAAATATAATAGTACAACACAGTGCATTTATAAAGTGCCCTTTATGTAGGGTAAGCTGGTCAGCTATGTAGAACAACTGCAATTAGAGGGCGCTTTGAGATGTCCTCCTGTGTGAAAGGTGCTGCATAAATGTAAATTGTAGTTGTTCTACTTGCTATAGATACAAACTCATACAGCTCAGAGCATTACCCTATTCTGGAACCTCTACACTCTGGAACTCTATCCTGCAAACCCTCTGCCTCACCCCATCTCTTGCCTCCTTCAAGTCCCATCTGAAGACTTTCCTTTTCAATCGTGCCTTCGGCCACCCTCCCATACCCATCACCCCTGCCCTCCTCCCCTTCTGACCCCAACTCCCAACTCGGGACAAAACCCCTGATTGTCCAGCACCCTGGGATGTCTTTCCGACGTGAAGACCGCTATACAAGTATACTTTGTTGTTGTATTGCTCCATTTTCCATTGGCTTTCAGTGCATTTCCAGAATTTAAGTCCCTCCAATAATATGCTTCTGCTTCATAGGGAATGTTTCCAAAATCTAGCACCACAGGAATAATCGAGAGGGATGGGGGTACCTCAGAAATGAGTTGGAAATTCAGTGATACCTCACTAACAACACTCTTGTTTTTAGTCAATATTGACAATACACATTAATATTGGACTGTTACAATCTGGTAATCAGGTGGCCTAAATTTAAACCCAGAATAATGGCATAAGAGGAGATAAGATTCACTATAGTTTCTTATAGTTTCTTAACACAAGGAATAGGTTAATAAAATTCTCAAACTTTACCCTTATTGAATGGCCTTCAAAACCTGAATAATGGCAAACACTGTAAACTACAGTACTAAAATAGTATGGGATGGGATGGCAGGTAAATGGGACTGAAAGGATTGCTCTTAAAAGAGCCAGCCAAAAAATGATGGGTCAGTTGACTTTATTCCATGCTGTAAATCTCTGTGGTTTCTAAAAGATAACAACAACAACAACAACAACAAGATTCCATTTATAGAGCGCCTTTCACGTTGGGAGGATGTCCCAAGGCGCTGTACAGTTGGGTCAGGACCCGAGCAATGGGGGGAAATGGTCAGGGTGAGGGGAGGGAAGGGAGGGAGCGAGGAGGGGGTAGAGAGTCGAGAGGGGAGCTGAAGGCACGGTCAAGAGAAAGGTCTTGAGACCGGCCTTGAAGGAGGAAAGGGAGGAA